CTGCTGCTGCTGCTTCTTCTTGTGCCATATCCGTCATCGGACGTTGGCGATTATGTTGGCAATCTTATTTTTGTCAACAGCCATATGAAAAAATGCTGCTGAGTTTTGTCCAAACCAGTCCCTTAGGTTTTGAAGCCATGATGTTCTTCTTCTGCCTGGACCTTGTGTCAATCTTTCCCTGGAGGATTAAGTGAAAGATGCCGTATTTTTCTGGGTATCACATCACATGTCCAAAATATTCTAACTTTTGCTTTTTAATGGCTTTGATTATTTCCCTTTGCTTTCCCAGGCGGCTTCTTACCTCCTCATTTGTGATTTTGTTAACCCAGTTTATACGTAACAGTCATCTGTAAATCCACATTTCAAATGCTTCTAGTTTCTTCAAGTGGTTTTCTGTCAGAGACCAACTCTCTACTCTGTAGAGCAGGATAGAAAAGATGTAACATCTGACAAGCCTGACTTTCAATTTTAGGCTTATGTCATGACTGCAGAAGACCTTTTTAATTCTGAAGAATGCTGTTTGAGCTTTCTCTATCCTTGTCTTTACTTCACTGATCATGTTCCAGCTTTCATGTAAATTAAAAACGAGGTACGTGATTCCTTTGCTTACAGGAAGCAATTGATCTATCATGAGGCATCTGAGTTTTTTACAAATGAAGCCAATTCACAGTATCATGGCAATGAGGCCATTTGCTTTGGCAGTATCTAGGCCAGTTTGCCTGGAAATAATATACAGATGTTTCTTTGTAGGATAGCAGAGATACAGTTCTAGATAACAGAAGGATTAGACGTAAGTGGCTATAAAACAGTTATAATCCACGCCATAGTGTTCATACTATGCACTTGATGGACTTCATTCTACTCCTTATTCACACACAGAAAAATAATGTTATTAACCTTATCAAGGCTACTTTAAGCACAATGTACAACCAACTGAGCATAGTGGTACTGTATTAAGAACAACAATAAGCCACAACATGTATCAATGCAAGTTACTTAATAGAAATATGACAAACATGAATATGGTATGTCTAGGTAAGGGACATTATTATATTCCAAATTCTTTCTTAGAGGCAAATTAAATGTACTAATCAGCAGTCTGAAGTAGTAATCTTCAAAGTAATAATACAAATCTCTGTTTTGGGTTCTTTTGTGAATATATTCAGTGATCTCAAGAAATAAGGATTCTATTATCTCTGAATGACCTTGTTTGTTTTCATATAGATTATTTCTTTTCCTTCTCCTCCAAACTCCCACTCTGCTGCTTTTCTGTTTTACGCAATATAATCAAGAGAATTAGCTGGCAGATTCTGTTACCAGGACACAAAAGAGCCAAGAATTCCATTAGGAAATTATGAAGAGTGGCTGAATCTTCTCCCATCCTCAAGAATGTAAATAAAGAAAAGTATTCTCAAAAGTGTGCTAAAGACAGGCCTCCAAATAATAGTTTCTCACTCTTGTGTCAAGTGCCCAGCAAGAGAAAAAGCAGTATCTTGAAGACGTAAAAATGACTCTATAAAGGAAGCCACACTCAATCATATTACAAGTTATAACTGTGCTATGACAGATACAGTATTACCTTTGCCACTCAATTTGGATAGAAAAATCATCGTTATGTTTACTCTAACCCTGGTATCTGGTGACACTGCATCAATAGAAGCCAAAGACAGGAAAGACTAAAATCTATTAGAGTCATAAAATCCTTGTTTAATTGTTAGGATGAGCTAAGCTACAGAAAATAACACAAAAGTTGTTAAAGAAGACACTGCACAGCTATTCCATATGTTGGGAATATGATTTCTCTATATAAATATATCTCAGGAGAACATATACCAATAGAGGTGTTTGAAACAAGAATATTTTAAATCTTGGAAAAGATTATATAATCTCAGGTTATGTGAAAAACGAGAGATATGAAAAATTATGTAAATATTAAGTTAGGAAGAATACCAAAAGGAGAACTCTTGCTGAAGCAACTTCTGCTATCCAAAATGGAGAAGCCCATTTTTCTGCACTGTTCAGACAGACCAATCAAAGAAATGCTTTACAAGCCTTGATACAGCCTTGTCTTCCAGGGCAAGGCAATTGCTATGCTATAATATGACACAGGATTGCACTTGCAAAGTCTTCCTCGTGGAGGTATTCAGCCCAAGTTTTCAAAGAGTAACTTTGTGCTTCCAATGCTGCCCTGCTCTTGAGGCAGGATTATGGCAAGACTGATTGATGCTTTGAAAAGAGAAAAGATGCTTTGAAAATTGCCCCAGCTAAATAATTGTATATTTTTGACATTGAAAAATACCATACAATTTTCATTTTAGCAAGGTTTAGTGTTCTGTTTTCAGTCCTAAAAGAAGAAACATATCAACTTACTCCCTTTGCAGGTTTTGCCCTTGCCATTTGGAAGCAGTTGAAACAATGTGTTGTGCACTGTTATACTGTCATTGTATTGCTTTCCAACTTGAGGTAAGTTTACTGTGGACTGGGTAATATCCTAATTCCAATTCAAGGTAACTTTGTTGTAAATCAGATAAATTATATATATCGATTTTCTTCACAATTTTAATCATGATAGTATTTTTATAGTTGCCAAACTCTGCTTTGTAGCCTGTATTACTAGCAAATAAATGATGAAACCTGGAAATTTATCGAATTCTTTTTATTATTTTCAATGTGTCTGCTATTGCTGTTGATTATTATCAAACTATTTTCAGTTTATTAACTACCTGATACAAATTGCTTATAAATTGGGATAATAAAATTCTTTAGGTTAATTTGCTTTTTGGTCATGGAATACAATAAATGATCTGAACTGATCCACAGTGATAAGGATGCTATATTATAATTTATAAAATATATTTATACTTAGCTTTTACCCTATATTGACTGCCAGATTGGCACTTCACAATTAAATAAATGGCTCAGAGATATAGTAATTCAGATTCAGATATATGAATCTATTTTTTGCTTTATCATAGTTTATTAAACTATAGCTTATTGGTTTCACATAAAATGAATTGAGATGCTTAAGGGAAATGTTTTGTCCTTTGGGGAAAAAAGGACGTGCGAGTACCAATGAAATGAAGAATTATCATGGCTCAAAGGATCAACATCCAGTTATACTGTACATATACAAAGCATTCCCCAAGGTTTGTAGATCCAAACTACTTGGTGATGAGTCTATATATAAAAATATATACTTTTCAGTTACTATCTAACATACCTCAAACAGTCAGCATATAAGCAGCAAGTAAACTCAACTCTCCCTCTCACTATGATGTTATCTACTAGCTTGGTAACAAAAACATCTGCAAGAAATCAGAGAGCATCTAGAATCCAGCATTACCTCAAACTTTTTACCTGTATAAAAGAGACCATATTGAGAGGGTCAGAAAGTAAGTTGGGGAAAGCTAGCACAGAGCGAAGAGGTATTATCTTAAGCTCTCTTTCCTGTTTTTCAGTTTACTAATTGAGACCATCTTCAAAAGCTTTCCTCTGTCTGTCCCTACAACTAAGAAACCAGCTTTACCTTTGCGCAGTGGCACAGCTACTTTAGGCAGCTCATTTTGCATGGCATTAAACCATTATGTCTTAATTATTACTGTATCTTGCAAGAACAATTAATGGGGAAGAACGTTTGAATATTCTGCTTCAGATGCCAAAGCACCCAAACTAGGCTTATATATTATCCAGTTTGATTTAGGTAGAGAGAGTCCATCTCATAGTACAGATGTTCTTTGGTCAGCGCTACTGAGCAAAGTAGGTGGGATGAAGAACTTGCAGAAATATAATATTTATGGGACTTTTCACCCAAGAGGCAGCTTGCCGTGTCTAGGCCTTGGACCTTAAGAAAGAGCAAATGAAAGTCTTTGCCATATGGATTCCAAGATAATAAGAGTACTATTAGTCAAGCCCTAGACAAAATGTTCAAGGAATGGTCAGCAAGCAAAACCCCCATATTGTATTTTGGATGCATGATGCTAGCAGAAGATGGTCTAGAAAAAATATGCTGGCAAGGTTGAGGGAAAGACAATGGTTAAGTTGGATGATATGGATCAAAGAGATTAATGTGTTGTCCTTGGAAGAGATACTAGCTATTATTAAAGATGAAACAAAATGGGGAGCATTTGCCAACAGGAGTTGATCCCAATTCAATGGTAATAAAACAAATGAATAAGTGCCTTTATTTGTTGCTTGCAATTTTGTTTTTAAATGATCTATCTGGATAATTATCAAGTTTTTTTCTGGTGCTATTTAATGCAAACTGCCTTAAAATATATGTAAACGGATTAGGTGTTTATCAATGAAAATAAAAAACGTAAGACATGGAATTCTCTTTGTCATTTTTAAAATTTCTGCTGGGGCTCTTGCGCTTTTGACAATCATTGCTGATACTGTATGAAGCTATTCTACGAGGGATGACGGACTTACTGCATTTTGCCTATGGGACGGTCCTTGACGGTGCTTACCGTACTAAAAACACACAGATTTTTTTTTTTAAAAAAAGATACCAATTTCCCAGGCTCTGAACCTGAACTACTTCGCAGCAGTTTCTGCTTTTGCCAACAAAAGCAAGAGCTCCTTAGTCGTGGCAGGTATCCGCCAGGGGGCGAAAGGTCCTGCCGAGCTCGTGTCAAAGTCACATGAATCCAACGTTGGAACGCGTCCTCGAGTGACCCTGGCGCGGCTCTTGTACTGGGAGAAAGAAACCTCATGGCGTCTCTGGCTGTTGTTCCCACAGCAGCCGGAGAAGGAGGAGCAGCCGCCACTTCCCGGCCCGGTGCAAGGAGAGAGAGGTTCGTACGCAGGGGCAGAATTTTGCTGGTCTTTTTTTTTTTTTTTTTTTTTCCCGCGCTGCCCAAAACCCCGGGGGGGGGAAAGCTTCCCCCCCCCCCCCACTCCAAAGGGTGGAGAAAGCAAGGCTCCACCCTGCGCAGGCACGGGGCTAGGGAGCGATTGGGCGCGTCTCTCCTACAAACCAGCTAAGGGACGGCGCCCCGGGTTACGGCGGCTTTCTGACGACCGCGTGAGGGAGGGAAGGAACGTCTCTGCCTGGGGTCGGGAAGCCTCGTCAAGCCGAGAAGCTGCCGGACTCGCCTCGGGTGGTTTGTATTTGAGGCGCGCCCTCTCGGCTTACCACGTCAGTAGAGAAACAGCCCCAAGCGGCCAGTCGCGCGCAGCAAAATATATATATATATATATAATAATAGTCGGAAGAAGGAAGCGAGAGCGATGTCAGCTTGAAAACGCTACAAGTCTCTTGCGGTAAACCAGCGTGCTTTGGGGCTGGGAAAGAGGAAAGAAGTTAGGTCGCAACCGAGTTACATGCAAGGTCTCGCAACCCTCCACCCCACCCTGTTTGCTTGCTTGCTTTTGAAGAAGCGAAGTAAAAAGAATCCCGTTCAACACGGGACCGAGTTATTTTAATTTTCGCTGTGAGTTGAAGATTTGAATTGTTCAAAATTTCCCGCACGCCGGTAAGGTCATTCCGTTGGTTGAAAAGAAGTAGAACTCTGTGTAAATGCCAAGTGATTCTTTTTTTTTTATTATTGCTAAACAAGTCTCAGCAGTTAGTGATGCGAGATGTTTGATTCTTTACTGACCCTAAAAACTCACTTAAGTATATATTTGACCGTACATCTCCCGAGTGTCCGTTTTTCTTATCTTATCCCTTCTTTTCTTTCAGCTGACGCTCTGTATAAAGAACTATTTCTAAAAAAAAAAAAAAAAGATACTACAAAATGGATTTTGAAAAGTTGCCAAGGTAAGAAAAAAAGAGAAGATCTGTCATAACAAGTCTGACGGGCTTTAACTGGGATATTTTGTAGCCTTAGGAAATATATTTGTCTGTGTCAATATGACACTATTGCACTAGCATAAAGAAATTTAGTTTAGGTAAGAAAAAATATACAGTACTTTCTGTATGTGCAGTACAGAAAGGTGTATTGAAAATTATTTTGTAAATCTATTTCTACATTTATGCTTAATGTAGATTAAGCATAAATTGCTTGATTAATTGCCAGATAAAATTATCCTTGAATGAGATCTTGCTTTTTTATATAGGTTCTTTTTTGATAGTTCTTAGAAACAAATTAATATATTAATATATCAAGAAAGAGAATTCAAAAAGAAGCCAACTTTCTTATGAAGTATAAATGCATAATTATATTACTGATCTTTAGTTTTGAATTTCTTGTGTGTTTAAAATTATTCATGGGCATATTTTGACTTTTGAGACAGCCTATTTACAGAATGTGGCACTGTAATATTTTAGACACATTAAAATCAATAGTGCAGAAGCTATTCGTGATTTCGTTTTATTTTTTTACAATAGATTTTCTGAAATATTTCCGGTGATAATTATGCAGGTAGTAAAGTAGCAGGTACAGAGACAAGTTTCTTAAGACATATTTTAAAAGAGATTTGTAATTGGGAATCGATAGGAAACTCTCTGCAGGTCTTAAATTAGATGTCAGTAATTTTGGGTTGTTTTTTTTAGAGACATAATAAAGTATGTCCTATTTCTTACTGACTGTATTTGTCATATTGAACTAAAGTATTCAGAAGCAAAATGTTTACATTTCTGCTGAGCTCTTTTTGAATTAATGTTGAAGATGTGGCAGCTGTAGATTAAAATACAATCTACAACTTTTAAGAACAGTTTAATCCTATTTTCATCACTCTCCAGTTCTTCAAAAACAATGAAATTAACTCACAGTCAGTATCATTACTGCCAGATTTAAAATGCTAAGAAATCCATAGCTGGCCAATCAAATTCTACAAAAACTGGTATCCATTCAATGCCCCACCATGATCCATTTTTAATTTCTTGTATCCCAAATATCTAAACAATTGCTACTGTGGGGAAAGGGTGTAAAAGTTGCCAAGATACTATTACTCTGTTGCACTTTGAACTCCTGTAAAATAATGATACTTCGGGAAAATGTTAAATGGGATGGACCATTGCAGGAAATGGGAAGAGAAACTATGTCCAGAAATTGGGAGGAAGAGGAACAGATGAGTTTCACTAAGGGAAATTAGCCAATCCACAATTTCTCCAGAATTTCATTGTCTAGAAAGATTAAGTGTAATCAGAAATGCACTGTAACTAATAAATGAAGATAATAGTATGTAATTAAAAAAACCAAAACTGTAATGAGTAATGAACAAGCCTTCAGATTTTTTACAACTTTTCATCAAATAAAAAAGGCAAGTGAAAAAAAAGGAGGTAGCTGTGTCATTGATGTAGCAATAAATGATGCATTTGCAGATCACAATGACTCAAATTGCCATTGCTAAGTGACATGGTAGTAAAATGCAACATTATGGGTACCTTGACTGATGATCACGATTGAGCCCAAAATTTTTGTTGCTAAGCAAGACAGTTGTTAAGTGAGTTTTGCCTCATTTTACGATATTTCTTGCCATACTTGTTAAATGTACCACTGCAATTATTAAGTTGGTAACATGGTTATTAAATGAATCTGGCTTCCCCAGTACCACTTAATTCAGGGCCTTAGAAGTTCAAATTCTCACTGAATGAGAGGTTATGACATTGGACCATCTGTATAGTAGCTCTAAGACTGTCCAAGAGAAATTTGCAATCTATACTTCTGTTACCTTGAAATAAGACCCATAATGGTATCAGCTCTTTAGCAGCTTCCTCAGATTATAAGTAATTATTTTCAAGCAACATTGTCATGAAAACATCCTTTACAACATGAATTGAGATGAAAAGAATTGGGTGACATAGAAAGAATAAAACTGCAACAACATATAACCCATGATGCATTTAGAACCAATTTAAGATTGAGAGTTTCTTTGATGTGGCAGGGAGGCAAGTCTCTTCACCGATAACAGAAAAGCTTGCAGCTGGGTGCCTACATATAATACCTATGTCCTAAATCTCACTAAATGGTTAGTGAGGGAACTAACCATTAGAGGAAGGCTATAGATTTTACTTTTGAATAAACCTATGTGGAATTATGAACAGTAAGTAAATGCATAGAAATTTTTAATAAGCTACTACATGTTATGATGCTTTCATGTTGCATCTAGTATTGATAGGATCAACAGTTATTTGTGGGTTTTTTCTCTTTCTGAACAATATGCAATTCAAAAATTACCTAGATCTGTAGGTAATAAAGAATATGGGAGCCTTGTTAGGTAGAAAACAGAAATGCAGTGAAACATGGTAGATTTTTAGTTGATCATATTCTCTCACCAAGTAAATCTAAAAATAATATATAAAAATGCTAATATGATAATCAAAACATTCTCAGTTTTAAAGTCGTCTAGAAAAAAGAATTGTTCAGTTAAAAGAAAAGGAAAATTATCTGTCCATCAGTTGCATGCAGTAATAAAATTGGAGATTAATTTTAGGTGATTTTGTGTGGGTGCACCTTCAAATAATTGTTGACTCCTGGTAACTACCTGGACTTGTCCTTGCAGTTTTCATGGCAAGATTTTAGAAGTGGGTTGCCATTGTCTGTTTCTTGGGGTTGAGAAAGAATAATTAGCCCAAAGTCACCCTGCTGACTTTGTGCTTAATGCAGGATTAGAACTCATAGTCTTCCAGTTTTTAGCATGGTGCCTTAATCACAATACCAAACTGACTATGTAAAATAGATCTCTAAAACAATACCATGTAAAAATGCACCTCTAGAACAACAGCATGTTCATACAATGCTTTTAATACTATTTTTACTTTTCATTTGTCTTTCATTGATTTTTAAATTTAAAATTTTAAATGTACTTTTAAATGGCTAACATTGGAATGTGATTGTATAAATATGGTATTATTCTAGAGATGTATTTTTACAATGTCCTCCAACAAATTTACCATGTTCTTTCTTTTACTACCCAAGTACTTAAATGTGACTTGATTCATGATTCTGGAGTTCTGCACACATGATGTATACGACTTCTGTCAATTCAGTCATATGTACTGTATACATTCCATTAATGCTCAAAGCTACTGAGCCAGCAATAGCTACATCTGAGTATTCTAGGATGCAGCTCACTGTGCACAGGAGTGGGCTTTAGGAGAATGAAGTTACGTCAAGAGGTTATTGTGTAGTAGTGTATTATTTCTGCTCTGTTCTTGGAGGATGAGGCAATCTTTCAGTTCCCCTAGGAGTAAACAAAGTCTTTACCTCTTATTACCTTCCAAAGGACAACATGTAACTGACTAGTGATTTTCTGGGAAGTACAAAGTATGTTTTTTTGTCATAAAAAATAAAATGGGAAAGGGGCATGTCTGCCTGTGATTTTTTAAAGATTAGAAAAACTAGTGACACAGTTTAAGTTTCTTAGAAACAAATATTTCAGAAAGTCAAAAACTACGTTTCATCCTTTTTTTATAAAGGATGACTGGGAAACGTTCAGCACACATAAAATAGAAGTAGAATTTGAAATAAGTTGAGAAATCTTTGTCTGTCCTGTTATATTGAAGTTACTATTCTCTTATATAATATTAGAGGGACGCGGTGGCTCAGTGGCTAAGATGTTGAGCTTGTCGATCGAAAGGTTGGCAGTTCAGTGGTTCGAATCCCTAGTGCCGCATAACAGGGTGAGCTCCCATTATTTGTCCAGTTTCTGCCAACCTAGCAGTTTGAAAGCACATAAAAAATGCAAGTAGAAAAATAGGGACTACCTTTGGTGGGGAGGTAACAGCGTTCCGTGCGCTTTTGGCACTTAGTCATGCTGGCCAGATGACCACAGAGATGTCTTTGGACAGCACTGGCTCTTTGGCTTTGAAACGGAGATGAACACCACCCCCTAGAGTCGGGAACAACTGGTACATAGGTGCGAGGGGAACCTTTTCCTTTATATAACATGACTCCTAGGACCTAAAGAAATCTAAGCTGACATCTCAATTTGGTCAATTGTGTTCTGATAGTAAAAAGTTTCATTTTTATTTGAGTTGGGATTCAACTTTATCATTATTAGATCTGGGATTCAACTTTATCATAAAACAGTCACTGTGGTTTTCTATATACAGTGTTTCCCCGAAAATAAGACCTTGTCTTATATTTTTTTGAACCCTGAAATAAGCGCTTGGCCTTATTGCCATGCGCTCAAAAGCCCAATAGGGCTTATTATCAGGGGATGTCTTATTTTGGGGGAAACAGGGTAGATTATTGAGATTATTGCTATTAGTACTGAATTTTTGAAGTATTAAATGTTTTGCAGTTTTGTTGCTTGTGGGTTCATTTTCTCTTTAAAAAAAATTGTGAAGTAATTACTAACCTAAGACTATTTTCAAGTAAAGTTATTTTGATGTGAGGACTAATCATAAATTGGATTATAAGTACTCTGAATGCTGACTTTGAAATATGTTCTACTAAATATGGTGAAGCTTATTTATGATCAGGTTGGAGCTCTAAAAGAGAGCTTACATATAGGAGTAGGATAAATACATTAGGAGTTCAGATTTTCTACAGTCTTGCTCAATTTATGATATGGCCAGAGATAATTGCAACATTTTGCTTCTTTTTAAAGGGTGGTTGTGACATTTCTGGGAAGTGAAACAGCATTGAAACAAAGAAGTGACAGGAGTTAGATAAAAGACCCTTGAAAGTAGCACTAAGCATTCTTGCATTATAAAAGGAAATGGTGACTTAGCATTATTACATGCAAATAGAAAGGTTTTTAGTATATGAAGAACTAACCAAAGAATTTTTTAGTGACTGTATCATGCAACTAAAGAATTTGTCTCACATTTGTTTTAATGTTTTTTTGTTCTTGTAACTTTATTTCTTTTGTTCAGATAATTGTTTTGGAGGCAGTGTCCCAAACATGTCAGAAACTGTGAGAACAACTCTGGAGGCAAGCTTTTGTCTTGTTCTTAGAATTCTTCATGCAGTTGAAAAATATGTAATAACATTCAGTAGGTTAATTTATAGTCACCTTAATGTGGGCACCTGTTGATGCTGGTTTTGAAACTCAAATTCATTTATAAAGTAGGAGTTTGATTCAAATCATTAGAATTCACTGAATGAATTAGACTGATGACTCACACCAGGAAGTCAAGGTAAAACAAATTCCAACAGAGATACTAATTTGTAATGCTTGGTGTCTGAAGGTGGCTTTATAGGGATGTGACTGCTTTGTATCTCCAGAGCTGAAACATATCTCAAAGGACTCCACAGGAATGAATGACAAAGAAACTGAGCGTCAATAATTAGAATGATAGTGCTCTTTTGAGACCCATCAAGACTGAAATATTTAATACAACACTCTTAGTTTAAAATTCCATGTGGTGCTTATGGTGGTTTCCTTTCCCAAAAGGAAGATAACCTTAAATTTAACAAGTATTCACAAGGAAAAGTATATATGGACAGACAAAAATCTGGTGCAAAGCCATTTTTCGCCACCTTGCCAAATTAAGAGGGTAACTTTTCAGAAAGTTCACCTGCCATTAGGAAAGTCAGGAGAAAGGGAGAGTGATTAATTCAAGCTAGTTGTCTGTAAACAACATATCACACTTATAAACTGAATTCTTATCTGCAAATTTCACCTATTCTCTTTCCCATACACTTACACTACAGACGTATACTGTACGTATGTTTGAAGGCACACATATAAACATAACACTTCCTCATTTCTTGCCAGAAACAGCAAAGAAAAAAAAAACTTGAACCAAATGTTATATTGCATTTCAATTATAGGTGAGCTTGTGTTAAGAAAGAAATGTCCTTATTTTCAATCATTTGGGAGATGTCCGAAGTTGTAATGTTAGATGACTAGGATATTTCATGCCCATGCCTTCATTTATTGCCAAATACCACTGAATTTGAAAACAAAGCCTGTCTTCAGTCCAAGGTTTAGGCTAGCATGACTATGAATCCCAGAATTATTCTACGTGTGGGTGAAAACAGTGCTGTGTTTGTATTCATAAGAGTGGAAGAAAGCTGCTCATTGCAAAAGCTACCTCTCCTGAACAACGCTTTCTAATCTTGTTTTCAAATATATTATTATCCTTGGAAACCGAAAAGCAGGTGCTGGTGTAACACTACATTTGCAATAAAATCTATTTGAAAAGAAATTGTTGGAGCGTTGTAAGCTGGTTAGTGAGATCATTAAGTTTATTTATTTATATTTCATGTTTCATTTGTATTTAGGCTATTCCCCAACTGGCTCTGAAATCTTGAAATAGTTTGTTTGGAAAGAATGATGTAAATCTATAGAGTTCAATGAGGTGGGAAACACAAGTAAAATTTTGCCTCATCCTTAACATTTCCATTATATTAACATGAAGATGGGAAAGCAGTTATTACACACAATTGAGACCACTTTTGGCAGTCCACATTATTCTGCCTGGCTTCATCTATTGATCCAAATTGCAAGAACTGGACCCTCTCTTGTATTTTATTTAATTGCTTTCATGTGCAGAATAAATTTCCTAAAGATGCACCTACTTTCAAGGAGCTCTTTACTAGGGACATGAGAAAGTCTTTTGTGGATCATTCCTAAAACATGGAATGTTTTTATTTGGAATGTGTATGTTTATTTCCATTTGTCTATTTCTGTCCAACTTAGATGAATGTGGAAGGCATATTATTATTTGCAGGACAGATTCATGATTTAACTTGATAGCTTATATTTGAAAGATTTACAAGAGAAAACAGTCTAGGCATCAATTATATATTGGGATTAAGTGATGAAGCACCTGTTTAAATCATGTCTGTCCTGTAACATGGAAAGAAAATAGCACATGTGTTTAAAGACTTTCCTCTTTTGCTTTGTATATTAATAGCATACACAGAAATAAATACATAGGTATATAACTGTATGTGATTTCAACATGTAATGTGTAATCCTGGAATTGAATTGTCCCGTGTTGTTTGCACTGAGTTCCATATTTTTGCATTCAAGGTTGGACAAATTGAAACTTCTTTTCTGCTCTGTCAGTGTATTTTTGTATGAGAATATTATAATTACATACCAGACTGTATGCCTATTCTTTATGAATTAGAGTAATTAGAATTAGAAGTAATTTATTTTTGAAATATTTGGTTAGTTTTGCTCTTCGCAAGTTGGAAGTTTGGCTGCATAAAGAAATGAATTTCTCAATATGTTTTTCTTTCCCTGAACAGTTTGTTTTAGTTTCTTTTTAATCTGCCAGAATCATCAAATGTATTTCTTTGCCCATTATTTGATACTTACATTTCATCATTTGATGCTTAAATTTTAAATGCAGGAGGATTATTGCTTATATTTAGAACAAAAGCTTATGTTTGTCAAAAATAAGACTACTCCTGGGATAAAACAGAGGCCCTATAAATCTTTTTATAAATGAGATTATTTATTTATTTATTCCAACATGTTTGAACAGAATCTCCAAAATCTAAGCTTCTGGGCGCATCTGAAAGCTTCTGAGCAGATCAAACTCCAAGTCACAGACACAGTCACAAGCCAGGTTGCATAAATATTGTAATTCAACAGCCAAGTTTTATATTTTATGTTCATCAACAAGCTACATATTTTAAATTAGCAGCTTAAAACTGTACCAGTCTTATTACATTTGCCATGTTTTCTTTTGATCTGTGCATACATTAGGATCCTATCCATTGGGGATTATTGATAAGAAGAGAATTAATTAGTATCTAGCTTTTCAAAGGAAAATCCCAAGCTCCTTTAAGATAACATATCATATTTTATATTAGGCAGAAATTAACTACTCTGAAAAGAATGTTCTGGTTCACATGTTATAGTAAACCATAGTGTGGTTTGTTTGGGGCTACTGTGTTGGCCAAGCTCAGCCATGGTGGTTTATAAACCATGTTCATAGTATAATGTTATACACAAATTCAACTATTATTTTGAATTACTATCTTAAGAATACAGCAAAAAATATATAGGCTGACAGTAATAGGCTGCAGCCAATCTCCTTTCATTAATGTTAGAAAACAACTCAGCTTGGTTGGTTGGCATTTTTTTGCCAGCAGAATAAGGAACAAGATGTGTTTTCACAGCATCTGAGTATGCACAGTGACGACATTATGCAAAGCCCACTCTATGTTCCAGCATAATTATATAAAAGAGAAATTTTTGCAGTGATTCACTGCAAGGTGATACCTGTCACATCTTATCCTATTTGCATTGGAAAATATGCAAATAGTCTTAGTAACCCTTCTCCAAATTAAAGATATTGGGCTATGTGGGAAAGAACAGATAAGAGAAGAAATAACATAAATATAATTCTACATTTATCATTTTGGAATTATGTGAGATTCTATTTATTTCTTGCTTGACCATAAAACCTCAACCATAAAAATCCACTTTCATTATTCTGTTCTTTACCTGCAATGGTATGACAATATGTGACTATATGTTATTCTTTCAATAGGGTTTGTGAGATTTGCCAAGAGCTAGTAGAGCAAATAAAATACATGATTATTTCATATTGCAGTTTACATACATGAGGTGACAGAAATATTTCAGAGTTCTAAATGTCTTCTATAGAATTTATAGTCAGATATTAAAAATATGTTTCTTGTGTCTGCATGCATAATCTCCAAGCCTTTTTAAAAAATGAATACTCTTGTTCCATATTCACTTTATAGAAATGTGGGCTGAGAGTGAATTTTTAAAAAGGGAAGTCAGATTTCATGAACCACATCAGTTCTTGTTGCTCCTTTCTAACATTTCGTTTTATTTAAGGTTTTCATGATGGAATTTAAGTTTACACAAGAACGACTATGTGTTTTAAGTCAATGCTGATGATACTTTCTACGTCCTGGTGTGGTGGTCTTGAGCTTTTGCTCGAAAGCAACATAAAATGGATCTGAAGGAAAGCTGTCCAAGTGTTAGCATCCCCAGCTCTGATGAACACAGAGTGAAGAAAAAAAGATTTACTGTAAGTATAGAAAGAGAAAGTGATTCATTGTACAGGCAATTTCATATTCTCTTCCTTGTTCAGTTTAAGGAGACTTCAATGCTACACAAATGAGAACAGGCTTAATTTAACTATCTCTCTCAGGGTCGTGCCACAGAGGGCTTTGGCTTCAATTCCAAATCAGCTATATATTCCTATAATCCCATTCTATTCTCCATTAGGCAGCTGGGACCATTCACTTCTGAGTCAACCATGGTGCAGCATATATTACAAGGTTTGGTTTTAGCCTGCAGTGCTGGAACTCCATATAGCTTGGGAATCCAGCTGCATTCTCACTAGCAGGAAACCCACCTCCTGGCTCCAAGGCACTGTCCAACATTTAGTTACCCTGTGAGCACCACAACTGTACTGAACAGGAAGGGGGTACTATGAATTGTGTCAGCTCCCTCCCATAATGATAGTGGTGATGTTTTAGAAATAACTAACGTATGATATTTCAAATTTTTATTAGTTTATCAAAATACAAAGAAAAAATGAAAATAATGGAAGAAAAAGGAAGGAGGGAAAGTATAGGTATTGTGGCCTATCGGCTGCTGGCCTCTTCTGCAGCCAAGTCAGATGAGGAGGTGATGTGGTAGTCAGGGCCAGCATCAAGGCAATCTGAGAGCTCCCAGGGGGAAGAGGGAATGGCGCTGTCAGAGATGCAGAGGCGGAGCCTGGGCTATCCATCAACCCTCTGATGGAGAGTCAACAGCTCCCAGGTCTGTAGGTGGCTGATGAGGAAGAGGAGGAACAGCTGGGTTCAGTGCCTGACGCGCGGATGTGTAGAAGGCATAGAAAAGAAATCTATGGGCCGGTCCTTGGGATGGAAGAGCCACCTCTGCTAGCGAAGCTCCACCCTAGCTTTGGGGATAAAAGGCAGGGGGCAGAGATGAATAGGTGTGGCAGACAACTATTCATCTCCCTGCTGATAGCCTGCACTTCCGAATCCTGTCTGGAAATTATCAGAATTCTTCTTGGAATCTGCGGGCCTTCTAAGTATGTGTGTGTGTCTGCTGCTGGAAGAAAGTGAGCGAGCACACCTTCCAGGACTTCCTTTGCAAGTGTAGGAAGAGAGAGAGAGACTTCTGGTGTGCCTTGGGCCAGTTCAGGGGGGAAGGGAGCGAGCGTCACTTTCCACAGGACTTAGAGACTTTGTAGCCTGCTGTGAGAGAGAGCGGCTGTTGGCACTCCTAATAAAGGGAACGTTTCATTAACTACAAAAGGCTTGTCATGTTTAGGAGCTGGGTCAGAACAATAGGGTAAAAGGAGAGAGAGAAAAGGAAAGTGTTGACTTCCAATTTTTTTTAGCACGGTAGAATAAGATAATAACATACAACTCAATTTTTTACTTTTACATAGTAAAATATATATTAACCATTTCTATAACAATAAATCTATCTAATTAGTAAAACCCAAAATCTAAGTTTCATTTTTTTCCATCTTAAGCACCAAGTCCAGAAGTTATTTCCAAATTAAAACAAACTTAGTTGAATTTGTCTTTAATTAAAGCAGTCAATTTAGCTATCTCTGCTAGCTCCATCAGCTTTTGCAGCCAGTTATCCATTGTAGGAATTAAAGTATCTTTGCATTTTTGTAGAGCATGTACAGCATTCTTGCTGCTGTCAGCATATATAACATTAAAGTTCCATTTTTTCAAGTTCTTTGTCCATAAAAGAAAAGTCTTTCATTTTTTCTTTACATTCAGTTCTCAATACAAAATCTATTTCTATAGATAGATTATGTCCAAAAGATATTAATAAGAGATGTGAAACAAATTTGACCTGATGCAGAAATATTAGAATCAGAAATACTGGATAATAAAAGTATGTACAGAGAAGGAAGCTAAAGTGGAAACACAAGTGACAGACCAAGAGAATGACCTGGATAAAGACTTTCTACTGGATATATAAAAGAAGTTGGCTAAACTTTTGAATATCAAAGTAGAAATACGAATGATAAACCAAGAGAATCATGTGGATATAGATAGTCTTTGACTTATGACCACAATTGGAACCAGAGTTTCTATTATTAAGAAAGGCAGTTAAATGAGTTTTGCCCAATTTTACAATCTTTTTTGCTGCAATTAACTTAATCACTGCAGTTGTTAAAGTGAAATTTGCTCGTAAAATGAATCCGGTTTCCCCCATTGACTTTGTTTGTTGGAAGCTGGCTGAGAAAATTGCAAATGGCAGTCACATGATTCCAGAATACTGCAACCATTGTAATACATGGTGTTTGCCAAGAATTTGAATTTTGATTCCTTGTCCATAAGGATGCTGTGACAATGGTAAGTGCCATCAAAAGTGACTGGTTGTAAGTCACTTTTTTGCTGTTGTAACTTTGGTCACTAAACAAATGGTTGTAAGTCAAGGACCATCTGCATTGACTTTTTATTGGATTTACAAGTGAGGATGGCTAAAGCCATGAAAAAGCCTTTGGAATGGGAAAAGAAATGAGACCAAATCAGATGACAACATTTGATTAAAGATTAAAGATCAAATTTGATTAAAGATCAAGATTGCCAGAAATAAAAGGAAGGAATATAAAGTTGGTTTATTTGACCAGTGTTAAAATAAGACATGTTTCTATAAAATTCTGCTAACCCTTTAAAGACATTTTGCTGAAACTAGGACTGAAAAGTTGATGTTTTATGGATTTCTATCTAGATAAGGGATTATGAGTAAATATATTTGTTTGCAACTTTATAGGGCATAAAGAGCTGTTAAATTAGTTTATACCTGTCATGCAGATCAAAAATAACTTATCTATGTATTTCTTTCCTATTTCTTTATCTTCTTTTTTTCCCTTCCTTTGAACTTTTTATTTTTATTTGTCCTCTCTCTGAGGTTACTTTGTATTTGTTTTTACTATTGTAATTAAAACTTTCAATAAAAATTGTAATCTTTTTTTTAAAAAATAACTGGGTCATTTAAAACTTAGATCTGATTCCATATGGACATGCCAAACAGAAAAGTTAATAACTTCAGAACTTCAGATTCACTTTTATGAATAGATTTGACTAATAGCAAATAATAATAACTAATAACAGCGTAATAACAGCGTAAAAATATTGTCATATATTTATATTGGCTTTAAGCATGTTGATATTCTATGTTGCATATCAAATTTACTGCATTGACTTTATTTAAAAATCAGAAAAAAACTCCTTTAAATACAAATACATTACATTAGACTATTTCCCTTCTTTGTTAGTCTTGGTATTTTATGTTTCTCTGTTCCTTTCATTGTTGCCTGTTCTTCCTTCCCCACCTCATTTCAATAACTTGTATGGATCTGGTTTCTATTTTTCGTGTTTAATTTTGGCATTGGGTTTTCTTTTTAATTTCATCTATAGAGCAAATTAGTTTTATAGTGTCTATTGAGAGAATTTGTAAATATTTCAGGTTGTAAACATGACAACATAATGCTCACTTGTTATCACTGTATTTAACTGAATAGCTTCATGAAGGATCATGATGGCAGTAACATTGCTTTTTCTGTTACTGCATTACAGCCCTTATCTGTCTGAAATTGGTTTTAGAATAAATCAGATAATTTTCTTAGTATTACAATTTTAAGGTAACTAGGAGAAGCAGTTGCAGTGATTTTGCTTGGAAAAGATTGTCTTTTTTCCCCTTGCCCTATTTATCTTTGTATAATTAAGCTACATCTCGTTTTTTTCTCCCTTGCAAATCTTTACAATTGGAAGGAGATGAATAAAAATGATAGTATCAATAAAGTAGGTTAAATAATTTTTTTTTGAGAACCTGGAGCAAAATTCAGATCCCATCATAAACAGTGTAAAGACTTATAGCAAAGGAATATTACATTAATCAGTATTCCCTGCTCTGGAAAAAAAAAACCCACAAAAACCTGTACAGCAACAGGAGAAACTATTAGCATGTATGAAGGTGGTTAGATATTGGGCCCAGCTCTTAAAGGGCATGATATCAGTAATGCAGTTTGCTATAAACCCAAGCACAGTTCTATAGATAGAATTAGATTCAGATCAAACCTTAAATATCCTTTAAGATTTTAAGATTAAGGCCTATTATTATTGAGCCATGGTGACGCAGTGGTTAGAGTGCAGTACTGCAGGCTACTTCTGCATTGAGCATAGAGTACACTACTACCGGCTCCCTGCAAATTGGCAGTTCAAATCTCACCAGGCTCAAGGTTGATTCAGCCTTCCATCCTTCCGAAGTGGGTAAAATCAGGACCCAAAGTGTTGGGGGCAATATGCTGACTCTGTAAACCGCTTAGAGAGGACTGTAAAGCAGTATATAAGTCTAAGTGCTATTGCTATTAACACTAGCACCATTCAAATTTTGCTTAAATGCTACTTCTGCAAAAAACCAGTAAGAGAAAAGAAGAAGATTCTGGATATGAGAAAGTAGTAAAAGCCTGAATAAGAAAAGGACATGGTTCCTACTGTCTTTAAATATGAAACTGTGCTGTGGTTATTAAAGAAAGCATTCTAATACCTTCCAGTTTATTAACTCCAGTAGAAAAGAATATCTGTAGCTCAGGGTTGATCTGTGGAGTCCTTGGTGCTCTTTGAGCCTGCTTATTGGTTTGCAATTGTTTTATTACCCTACTAGGTAACATCAATGTTAGTGAGTATGGTGTTTGCTCCCTGTTTATATATAGTAGCTTGCCCTGCTAGTATTGGTAGAGGTATAGTTTTCTCTTTGTTTGCTGTTTGTTTGTTTATTTGTTTATTCAGGTGTTAATCCTTGTTTATCTGGGAATTGATTGCTGGTCTTTTTGTTTCCTTTTTAATATTTTTTGTGTCTTGAATGATGTGCAAATGTTGTTTTGCCTCTATGTGCCTATTGATGGCTGATTTGTCTGAGTGCCAGTTGTGCCAATTGATCTAGTGGTAAAAGCACCAGGCTAGAAACTAGGAGATTGTGACTTTTAGTCCTCCCTTAGGCATGAAAGCCAACTGGCTGACTTTGGGTCAGTCATTCTCTTTCAGCTCAATCCACCTCATAGGGTTGTTGTGGGGAAAATAGGAAGAAGGAATATTAGATATGTTTGCAACCTTGAGTTATTTATAAAAATAATAAAGTTGGAATAAAGATAAATAAAATAAGCACTGACAGAGCAAGCTACTATATATAAACAGTGATTCCTGCACTCACGAGCATTGCTGAAGTTACTTTGTCGATTAATGAAACATCTGTGAACAATCAAACACAGAGCACCAAGGATTCCACATTTTATTAATCTTTGCTTAATCTAGATGGTTACTAATGTTTCTTAATGCAGTTGTTTGGGAAAAAAAAACTGATCACTTAATTCCATACCTGTATGAAATTTGCTCTCAGTTGGTTGACTAATTTATAGGAACTGTTTTTCCTAGATTTTATAAATTGATGAGTTCCTGCACATACCTCCGTTTCTTTCATAAAGCATGTCTATAAATCCATTTAGAAGAAAAATGAATGTGTTCAGCAGACCCATACTGGAGAATGCAAAAGTCTTTTGATGAAATATTAAATAGTAATTAAGCAAATGGGATGAGTATACAATAATCCCATACATTTTAATAAAATTTTTCATTAAAAATTGTTTGTATCAACAGGTCTACAAAGTCTTGGTCTCAGTTGGCACTAATGAATGGTTTGTCTTCAGGCGATATGCTGAGTTTGACAAGCTGTATAATACAGTAAGTAAAGAAGTTCTGCTCAAACTAGTTTGGGAAATTCCTCTGAACCAATTTCTTCTGCTATATTGTTGGTACATCATGATTGAGAATTGAACTGATTTCTGATGTTAAATTATATCAAATGACTTATGTGTTTCAGCTAAGGAAACAGTTTCCTACAATGAATTTGAGAATTCCTGCTAAGAGAATATTTGGAGATAATTTTGATCCTGGTAAGCAGATCTCATTTAGTTCTCATTTTATCTTTAAACTGTTCTTGCATCAATAATTTCAACTTGAATTAAGATTTTTTAAGGGTTTTTTCCCTATATATCAATATGTATAAATTTACATAGAAGAGTATGTGGCTATAAATGTACAATAATGTGATTTATCATCTGAATCAACAGTAGGCAATCTAATTCCCTCCAAATGTTTACAATTCCAACTCCATTTTGTTGTAGCCAGTATGATCAGAGGAAAGGGATTGTGAAAACAGGTTTAAATCAAGGCATGGAACTCTGCAAACACAAGTGCATTAAGCATCAGACTTCTAAAAACAAGGAATGATGCTTACTTAGTATATTAAATTCTGCTTATGGTCATTAATGCCAATTAGGATATATTCTAATCAATTGCAAAGTTGTGTAATTCTGATAAATATGGATATAAATTCTTCATTAAAGTAATTCTGTCATCATCCAGAACATTTGTATTTGAACATTTTTCACTTGCATTAATAAGAGTTTTTGATTTATTTTTGATGGGTTTTTTATTTGTTTGAATCTGATGTGCAGAATTTGATAATATCGGGGTGGTGGTGGTGGTTATATATAACATGCCTGGTTGCTGAGAGACATATTGCATTTTTTATTTTTATTTATTTATCTGTATCCCACTTTTATTATTTTTATAAATAATTCAAGATGGCAAACACACCTTCCTGCTTCTATTTTTCCCACAACTCCACCCCGGTGAAGTGAGTTGGGCTGAGAGAGAGTGATTGGCCCAAAGTTGGCTTTCATGGCTAAGGAATTAACAGACAGACTGAGTTGCATTCTGTGAATGATAAATTGTAATTACTGTAATCAAAGTTCAGAATAATTTGGTCTTTAAATGAATGAATTTAAATATAGATTATAGGCAGATCTAGAACTCATGTTCTCCTGCTTTTTAGTCTGATGCCTTAATCAGTAGTCCAAACTGGTGTGGTGTTGTGTTGTGCTGTGCTGTACTGTACAAGTAGTCTTCAACTTAAATCCATTCGTTTAGCATTCGAAGTGACAATGACACTGAAAAAGTAACTTACATTTGGTCATTATACAACCATTGCAGCACCCCGCACAGTCACACGATCAAAATTTGGATGCTTGGCAACTGGTATGTATTTAGGATAGTTGCAGCATGCTGGGATCATGTGATCATCATTTATAACCTTCCCAGTTGGCTTCCAATAAAAAAAAAATGAATGGGGAAGCCAGATTCACTTAATGAACACATGATTTACTTAATAATGGTTTGCGCATGTCCAAGATGGCGCTTGGACAATCCGCCGCGCCCTCAAAACATTTTTATTTCAGCAGGCTGGTCTGGCTTGACTCTCCCTTTTAATTTGCTTTTAAGTTTTATACAAATTGGGTGTTTTTAAATTCGTTTTTGGGGCAAAATTATTTAATGTACTTTTAAATGGTTTTTAACTTTTGTATGATGTATTTTTATCTTGTGGCTGTTCACCGCCCTGAGTCCTTTGGGAGTAGGGCAGTATATAAATTAAATTTTTAAAAAATTACGATAATTCACTTAACAACCATGGCAAAAAAGATCATAAAATTGGGTGTGACTCACTTAACAGCCACCTTGCTTAACAACAGACCTTGTAATCTCAGTTGTGGTCATAAGGTGAGGATTACCTGTATTGTAGTCCTCAATTTACAACCACAATTGAGACCAGAAGGTCTGTTAATACCTGCATTATATTGTATTTTACTGTATTGCATTGCATTGCATTACATGCAATCTATTAGCAGTCATTGGAAAAAGTCTATACCTGTCAGTGCTAGTACATATAGATAATATGTTTTAAATTCTGATGGATTATATGTAGCAGATAATCATATCCTAGATTTGGAGCATTTGTCCTCTGTAATTAAAGTCTTTCTTTTTTTTCCCGTTAGTCAGTTTAACATGCAAATATAAATAGACTGAATATGAATGCTTGTTTTGTACCATCCAAATGATGTAATAGGCTTACCAGTATTTACCAATCATATTCAAAGAAAAGCATTAGTTCAGCTAGAAGAAAATTTAAGCTAAAGCTAGGAAATATTACTTAAGGAAATTTAAAATATTTGTATATTTATTCATAAAAAAGAATTCCAGTTTATCTCTGATTACATAGAACTTCTTTCACTGAATTCTATGTAGCCTAGGTAAAACATTATCTAGTTTCAAAGCCGCTTTTATATATTATTGTTTCCCTTATTATTAGTTTTCCAAGTGTAATTTAGGACTGTGTTTAACAGAATAACTAGTTTTTGATTTGAGATAATCTGCCATCTTAGGTTTTCCTACTAGCTACTTTTACTTAGGTTGGTTTTCTATCTCTGATTTCCTACACAGAACAATGTATTACTGTGTAATTATTACATTATTATTAATGTAATTAATATTAATGTAATTAAGTATTAATCAAAATGTGTGTGTATTTATCATATTCTCAGATAAGCTGTATAGGAATGATATATTTTTTTTAAAAAATTAAGTATTTAGTAGTATCCATTTCATCATATTCTTCTTCTTTAAGTGACTGCACCATTAAATCTATAGTTTAAAGGATTTGGAACCTAGAACCAAGGAGAAATCTCCTGACAATTAGCACAATCAGTGGAATGACTTGCCTCCAGAAGTTATGGGTATTCCAACACAGGAGGTTTTTAAGAAGATATTGGAAAATCATTTGTCTGAAATGATATAGCAGGGGGTTTGACTCTTCCAACTCTTGTTTTTCTGTTATTCTGGTAAAAAATAAGACTTTAAAATAAAAGGTATATTTATTATCTAATCTAATCTTTTACTTGTCCACTGCTGTTTATGGGATGCTGGAGAGCAGCCCTGTTTACAGATACAAGAGCAATGTTTTTTTACTATTTTTAATGAGGTAATCTAAGAAATGTATATATTTAAATTTTGAAACAGGCATTCTAATATCTGATCTTTTCTCATTTGTTTTTCAGATTTTATTAAACAAAGAAGAGCAGGATTGAATGAATTCATTCAGAATTTAGTTCGACAGCCTGAGCTTTGCAATCAGTAAGTGAAACTTTGTTTTACCCTCAAGAGAATAAAATTATGTGGTAAACTATATACTGGAAACTACAATCCACATGTACCTTCTACATGTGATATACAGGTAGTTCTCTACACCTTCTAAGTGATATACAGGTAGTTCTCAACTTGCAGCCATTCATTTAGCAATCATTCAAAGTTACAACAGCAGTGAGAAAAATAACAAGTGGTACTCACACTTAAAACCATCTTAGTGTCCCCATGGTCACATGATCAAAATTCAGGTGCTTGGCAATTGGCATGTATTTACGATGATTGCAGCATCCTGCATCATGTGATCAGCATTCATGACCTTCCCAGCCAGCTTCCAACAAGCAAAGTCATTGGAGGAAGCTGGATTTGCTTAATAACCATGTGATTCGCTTAACAAACATGACCAAAAAGGTTGTAAAATTGGGCCCAACTCACTTAACAACTGCTTTGCTTAACAATGAAAATTCTGGTCCCAGTTGTGATCATAAATCAAGGACTATCTATATTGTAAGAGAATGTCTATAACTTTTGATTACCAGATGCTGCACAAAATGACATGGAAAGTGATCACCAAGGCATGCTTTTGGCAGGTCAAGGTTAGAGTTCTCAGATGTGGTGTTTGATATTTTTTTAAACCACTGCAGAATTGTTGAAGAATTGTTGCTAAAATCATTACTTAAGCCTTTAATAATTGGTAGCCTGATCCTATGCTTTGATTCACACAAAGTTTGAGTTTTTCTGATTGAAGGAATGTATGGCTGATTAAAATAATACTTCTGAATAATTCCTCCATAACTTATGACCAGTCACTTAGCAATCATTTGCTAAGATCAGTTGATTAGCAACCATTCAAAATTAAAACAGTCCCCCTACCTCAAAAGCTATTTATGACCCGGATTCAAAGTTGCGATGTCTGGGAGCTCCCATGGTTGCATTGCTGCATTTTGGGTGTTTGGCAGCTGGCCCATATTTACAGCATCCCACAATCACGTGTCCTTGATTTACAATGTTTTTGCTGGAAATTGGCGTTTACTTCGGTTTTCAAAATTCACCCCATTGTAAATGGGTTCATTTAATGACTGAGGCTTTCACTTAACAACTGTAGCATTTACAACACCACATTCACTTAATGATTGCCACAAGAAATGTTAAGAAAAGTCATAAAATTGGGTCTGGTCATTGAATGACCTGCTTTACAACTTTCACAACAACATCCAAAATTGTGGACTCAATTGTGGTCATAAGTTGAGGACTAGCTGTACTGGTGGCTCAGTGTGGCCTAATAAATTTGGCAGTTACAATTAGATAGAAAGTCGAACTACGCACCACGACCCTAGGGATTGGGAACTCTGGTGGTAGGTGATATCCTGTCCACAAGGTAAGTAAGAGTAGTTCAGATTCAGGTTCTACTTATCCCATGGTTGTGTCTTCTCTGGAATACATAATCAGTGGTAAAGAGGTTGGCAGCTTCACTGTTGGTTTGCTATGGCTTATTAAATTGTGACTTTTTTTGGAAAATGTTTGGATTGTTAATTCCTTTGAAAATATTTTTAACTGATCAAATTTCTGCTGCTTTCATTCAGTGATATGTAATTGTGTAATTATTGTTATTAATACAAAATTAATAACAGTCTTCGGAGAGGGGCGGCACATAAATTGAATTAATTAAATTAAATTAAAATTTAACAAATTAAAAGTTAAAAATGGCAACAATATCAAAAGTATTATAATGGAAATTGCTTCTTCCTGGTGGTGATCACAAGTGATCTAATTAGTATATATTGTATCAATGGAAATAGAAGTTTCATTTTAATTAGCTCTGATGTAATTTACCTAATTTCCTGTTTGATTTCAGTTTTCAGCTTAAGTCATGATCATAATTTTTTTTTGTTTTGTTGTATATATTATTCACATTGAAAATATATAATAAAGCATTATATAATCAGTTAAATTATCTTTTCTAGTCCAGATGTAAGATCATTTCTTCAGATGGACAATCCAAAGCACCAATATGATCCATCTGAAGATGAGGATGAAAGAAATAGTCAAAAGGTAACTAATTTTTTGCATTCTGTGCTTAAATTACAGAAGTTATTTTATTTCATCAATCCTATTGGCCTTTTCCAATGTCTCTCTTGAATTATACTTCAGTGGAATATAAACCTATCTCTCTTCTCAAATATAGTAGCCTCACAATGTTGTTATTTCACATTATTCAAGGTTTGGAGTCCTTTAACCTGTATTCCTAAACTATTTTTAGAATATACCTAATCACTCTTCCTCTATTCAGGTGAAGATGCCAATCTTTATGTCAGTAAGCATAGGTTTTGGAATCTTTGCGCTTTCATCAGTGAAATTACAAGAACGTCTATAATACTTTGTAATAAAAGAAAATATGTAAGAACAGCCACTATTTCTATAGTATCTCTGGCAATTAAAGCGGCATTAACTAATACTAATCACTACCATCAACTACCGCCTACTTCATGCTGCAGTGCTCAAGCAAGCTGCATTGAATGCTGACTCAGCTATGGTCAGAGACTTCTGCAGTCTAATGATCAATAAAGCTTTGCTTTCAAGCTGTAAGATACAACATGTCTCTAGGAAATGAGCCAAATCCACCTCAGCTTTAATCCACATCTGATTTTGAACATAATTAAGGGTGTCTTGCCACATTTTATCTTTTTCATGTTTATATCATTCACAGATTTAATACTGTTGTCCTATTAGAAGATTTAATATGTCAAGACATGTTGTGTGGTTACCCTGCCAACAATCAGATAACTGTAATCTGATGAGTTGGTAGAGGAATGTTAATTTTCTTCAGTAATGTGATTTTGTCATGTCATAAATGGAGTTTTTACTTGTAGACAATGTTGATTCTACTTGCCCGGACAATTTAAACAAGGCCAGGTTATAATATGTGCTCTGTAAATTAGTTGCTCTAGTTTTACACTAGTAAGTATACTTGCATAAGCAGTTTGTTCACAACATTCATTTGTTATTCATTTGAGATGAACAAGTTTATTTAATAATAAATATAACACAACCATTATTGTCTTCATAGCAATAATTTATAACATATTAATCCATTAATCAAATAAATTCATTTATTCCAACAGTATAATGTGATAATTGCACAAAATATAGAAAATATTCTTCATATCCACCAAATGCAATTGTCATTTTACAAATTGAAATTTTTCATAGTAACATAGGCATGTTGGGTGGCAGCAGTGGTGAAATCCAAATTTTTTTACTACCGGTTTTGTGGGTGTGGCTTGGTGGGCGTGGCAGGGGAATGATACTGCAAAATCTCCATTCCCTCCCCACTCTGGGGCCAGCCAGAGGTGGTATTTGCTGTGAACTACTCAAAATTTCTGCTACCGGTTCTCCGAACTACTCAAAATTTCCACTACCGGTTCTCCAGAACCTGTCAGAACCTGCTGGATTTCACCCCTGGGTGGCAGCTATATTTTTCATTGGTAACAAGTTTACCCCTAGCTCTAGTATGTCACCTGGTCTCTACCACATCTGTTCACCAAGCAGAAAAGAGTTTCTGTTTTCCTTCTGGACCAGATCCACTCAGCCCAAATTTTAATAATGCCCATCTTCTCTCCGTATAGAACTCTTTCCATTTGCATTTTAGTTCAGCAGGATTATTTGGTGTTCCAGGACTGGAATAGAGAGTAGGGTGAAAAGTGTATAGACATAATCAGTCAGTCTCTGACCCAAGCATTTGTTCTATCTTTCTATCGTAGGGTTGACAATCTATGGGTCATATTCATCCTTGCCATTCTTTTTTTTCCCCCACCTCAGAGTCCTGGAGAATTCTACTGATAAAATTTGATAGCAAAATGGCAAAAATTAATCCGTAAAATAGATGTCTTAAACATCTAGAAAGATTAATCCTATCAGTTGTACTTCTAAAATCTTTTAAAGGATCTGGAAAGTTTGATCCCAACAAAAGCTGTAGATATAGTAAGAACATGTCTAAAAGGATACACAGAGTTCAGTGTAGTCCCTTCCAAATACCCTTTCAGAGTTTAGTTTTTAATCACTGAGTTTGCTTTTTCAATCTCAAAGCTGTTTATGAAAACAGGGTGGATTTTTCTTTTGGACAGCACACAGAAATATGTGGGGAACGTAGACTTTGCTCATAAACATAGAAAACTGCCTGAGAAACATTTTTTTTAAAAAAGCAATTTATACTCACTGGTGTCAGGAATGTCTCTGTAGTGATAGGGATTACAGTAATTAACCTTTGTCCTTTTTAAACACAAAGTTACAAGAAAGACTTCTTTCCTCAAAAATACTTAATTTGAGTATACTACAATGCAATTTGAAATTTTTTTTCTAACTAATGAATTATCTATAATTATTATCTTGATTTGATTTTAATTTATATTTTTATTTTTAAACAGTTAAATTCTACCTCACAGAACATCAACTTGGGACCATCTGGAAATCCTCAGTAGGTTTTAGTTAAATATAAATTAGCCTTTGCAGTTACTTTGTTAAAGGGGGGCTGGGAGTAAAGAGCACCCTGCATGTAATATCAATTAGGGACAGGTTTAGAAAGAAATTGTTGCAATTTGGAACTAAGAGAATATTGTCTTGCACGTTATTAAGTACAAATAAAAAAGGGAAAAGGATGAATTTGTGGAAAGTCAGTAAAAGAAACAGTTAGATGAAGGATAATGAGAATGCACATGCATAAAATAGGAAATACTATGTAGAATAATTGGTGCTCTAGAAGACTGAAATACTGCAGATATGTGATTGTTAAATTTGTACTGTGATGGAGAGCACAGTGAACACTGAAGAAATAATTATTGGGAAGAGAAATCTGGGAAGATAAGAATATGTGGCATGACTGCCTTTCAACTACTAAATAGCTATCTTTTATCATTTTGATTACCTGTTTTTCTTTATCCTGAAACCACTCCAGTGCTAAACCAACAGACTTTGACTTCCTGAAAGTTATTGGGAAGGGCAGCTTTGGTAAGGTAGGTTTCCTTTTATTATTAAATACTCTTTGCTCATACCACTCCATTTGAGCATTTTTTTTATTCTATGGGTGGGATATATCTTTTTGTTGATGATATGAAAAGAAAACTTACAACTGCATGCCTTAGATATCAATCCCTGGAATCTCAAGGGTGATTTTTAAAAATTAGAAGTAATCTAACATCACTGCATTATCTCTATATAGTTGCTACTTGTAAGAACTGGGGGAGGGGGAAATTACTTGAATTCTTCAACAGGGTTGAACAGACTTTCTATGAAAATTCTTCTTTAGGTTCTTCTTGCAAAACGAAAATGGGATGGAAAGTTCTATGCTGTTAAAGTGCTGCAGAAGAAAATTGTCCTAAACAGGAAAGAGGTAAAAGGGAAGAGATTTTGTTTTTCCTTCCAATTACAAAATTATTCCTACTTACTTATTGACCCTTCATTTCCTCATAGCAAAAACATATCATGGCTGAGCGCAATGTGCTCTTGAAAAATGTGAAACATCCATTCTTAGTTGGACTGCATTATTCATTCCAAACCACAGAGAAGCTATACTTTGTTCTGGATTTTGTTAATGGAGGGGAGGTAGGTATATTTTTCACTCTTTATATAGTAGTCAAATGTCATCAATTTTGGCCTGCAGTTTAAGAGAAATTGCAGTAACCAATTGTAGTGGCTCAACATAAATTGATTCCCACATTGCAAATATAGACTCATTTGCTACTATGCTGCTTTATTGCTTACTACTTTATGTATATGGAATATTTAGTGTAAAAGTATATTCATGATTTATATTAACCAAAAGTTAGTGAAACATGGGTAGCATTCACAAATAATCCGAAACCAAAATCTTCAAAATCATTTGCTGGTTGTGGTTATGTGTAAACTAGACCATTGTAATAGTATATTTAGCAATTGTAGCTGTAGTTTGCCAAGGCTACAGATGTGAAAAAATAAGGAAATGATTAAAGGAAGGATGTGAATATTATGCACAATATTTTTTCACTGTTTTGATAACTGTTGATAGACAACTGCAGAATATGTTAATCTTATTACTAAGAATAACACCGCTCCATGCATATTTACAGCTCTTCTTTCACTTACAAAAAGAACGCACCTTTCCTGAACACAGAGCCAAGTTTTATGCTGCTGAAATAGCCAGTGCACTGGGCTACTTGCACTCCATAAAAATTGTATACAGGTAATGACTTAGACTAAAAGGGAAAATGAAATAATTGCAGTCATTTTCTATTAATATATATTTGCTTTTTCATTTTATTATTTGTTGGTGTATTTCTTATTAATAGTTACACAAGAGCATGATTCTTGCTAGAGATTTTACTTACAATGAATTTCCTTCTTTCTCATTTATGCCCAGGGATCTGAAGCCAGAAAATATTCTTCTAGATTCATTGGTAGGCTGTAAATATTTCTTTCTATTATCCAAGAAATTTTAAATAATACAATCACTAAAATTCTTCATTGTTTGACAGTAGATTTTCAATTTTCAATGCAGGGGCATGTTGTCTTAACAGATTTTGGACTCTGTAAAGAAGGAATTGCTACTTCAGATACTACCGCAACATTTTGTGGAACTCCAGAGGTAAGTTAATTTACTTGCGCATTCTCTCTCTCCTCTCTTACTCAGAATAGAATAGAATAGAATAGAATAGAATAGAATAGAATAGAATAGAATAGAATAGAATAGAATAGAATAGAATAGAATAGAATTTTATTGGCCATGTGTGATTGGACACACAAGGAATTTGTCTTGGTGCATATGCTCTCAGTGTACATAAAAGAAAAGATATGTTCATCAAGAATCATAAGGTACAACACTTAATGATAGTCCTAGGGTACAAATAAGCAATCAAATCATATTATGAAACAAGTAATATAAATCGTAAGGATACAAGCAACAAAGTTACAGTCATGCAGTCATTAGTGGAAGGAGATGGGTGATAGGAACGATGAGAAGATTAATAGTAGTGCAGACTTAGTAAATAGTTTGACAGTGTTGAAGAAATTATTTGTTTAGCAGAGTGATGGCTTTCGGAAAAAACTGTTCTTGTGTCTTGTTGTTCTGGTGTGCAGTGCTCTATAGCGTCTACAAACCATAAAATCATAAAAGCAAAGTAAGTTTCAAGACATCTTGAAAATTATATATATATAAGAAATCGATTTTGAACTCTGTTAAACAGTTGAGAGTGGAAGGCAATAGGCCTGTGCTTAGCATCATTCATACCAAAAGGATTTGTGCCTCATAGTGATTGGTATGAGGTATTTTTCCCTTACAGTACCTGGCTCCAGAGGTAATCCGAAAGCAACCCTATGATAACACTGTAGACTGGTGGTGTCTTGGAGCTGTTTTGTATGAAATGCTGTATGGTCTGGTAGGTAATCTCATTTTTCAAACTGCATACCTTAATCAATGCCTAAAAATATATACTAGTTACTAGAAGGAAATAACTTCTTACAATACGTCTTAGCTCCTGCTGTTGGAAACAGAATACGGACTAAAATTATCCTTATTCTGATCTAGTAGAATTAAGTTCAAAATGAACTTAACTTTAATTAAGCTTAATTTAACTTTTAATTTTTGACATAAAAATAGTAACATCCACAATGCATATATGTGAATAGGCTACTTTATTCCCAGCCAAGTCTTGTGGTTTAGTCATTTGCTTCTGATGTTCTCTCAATTTCCTGGCTGTAGTGGAACAGATTATGTCACCAAGCATAAAAGAATAAACAACTGAAATAGCAATGATAGTATTTGCTCCTAAAGTGAATGGAATCATTTAGAAAAAGCTGACAGTATCTAGGACATTTCTAACATCTTTTCATTTATCCTTTCATTCCTCATTGATAATAGGATAGCAGAGATCCTTTTTGGTTTTTGTAGTAATTATATTGAAATGTACATTTTTAGGTCTTTAGAAAAATGCCTGTTTCTTCATATCATCAGACTTGCTTCCTGTCTCAATTATAAAACATTTTGCTTATATCAATAAAGCATATATAATAATTTTGAGTGAGAATATTATTCGTCATGTCACAAGCCATTTTTGTTTAAATATATTGGACAAAAATGGAATATAACATCCAATGCAATAGGATTTTGATCTGAGATCCTTAAAAGCATAATATGTCAGAATAATAGCAGCTATTGCCAATTAGAACCAAATTATTTTCCTCCTATGATCCAGAGAATCAATGTTTCTTACCAGTTCTATTTCAGATCATTCTGAGTGAGGTTGCTTTCTTAAAAACACAGTTACCTGAGAACATGCTTCTTTGGGGTAAATCTTATACAATCGACCTATTTTTATAGCATAATATCTATCAACAATTTTTATTTTCCTAAATTTTTAGATTAGGTTTATCTTCAGGATCTGGTATCAAATTTGAAACTATAGTATCTTCTAGATCAGATAGAGAAATTAAGTACCGCATTTTTCGCACTATAAGCCGCACTTCCCCCCCCCCCAAAAAAAGTGGGTGAAAGTATCTGCATGTCTTATAGAGCGAATATTGTGGCGGGGGAGTGGTGGGTTGGTCATCGCCGCCGCCTGACCCCACTGCCACCATTCGCTGCCACCAGGGAATGCTGGAGCCTTCGCTGATGAGCAGCTGACAGCAGTTGGATCGGCCTCTTGGAATACCACCAATCACCGCCAATTGACCCTGCAGCCTAGAACAGCCGATCAGCAGTAATTTGGGAAACTGATCCAACTGCCAATCAGCTGCTCGGTAGCAAAGGCTCCAGTGTTGCCCACCGGCAGCAGTAGTTCAGCTTAGTTGACCGGCAGTGGGCACAACAGAGTGGAGCCCTGACGAGCCACGTGCTGGGGTTACGATAACATGCTGAGGCTGACTTTGCTGTTTGCTGCAAGGACGCTAGCCAGATGAATACCGGATAGATGCTGGGAGGCAAAGGCAGATTTTTTTTTCTTGTTTTCCTCCTCCAAAGCTAATGTGTGTCTTATGGTCCAGTGCATCTTATAGTGCAAAAAATATGATATTTAATTTAAATGATCCCTTGTTTATTTAATCCTAGGTACTAAAAACTCTTGTGACAGTTTAGAAACTGTTCTGTTGCATGAGTACCAAGCAAATTCTAAAATGATGGTTGAAGTCCTAAAACAAATCATCTTTCATATCTTTATGACATGCATTTGTTAAGCAGTATATTGCTCTTCTCAGTGGTTCTCTGTGATCTTTGAGGATGAATATTCTGTAGAATGGGCGATCATTGCAATCTCTCTCCTTACATTTCTTGAACAAGTATACTATTAGCTTTGTTCTGTTATCTTTCCCTACAATCCCTCCAGCCGCCCTTTTACTGCCGTGATGTTGCTGAGATGTATGAAAACATTCTTCATAAACCGCTCCATTTAAGGCCAGGTGTCAGTTTTACAGCTTGGTCTATTCTGGAAGAACTCTTGGAGAAGGAGAGACAGAACAGACTTGGATCTAAAGAAGACTTTGTATGTAAAATACCTGATTTTAAATCAAGTAGTAAATAAAAAACATTTTGAAAAATTAATTTGTTACTATGTGAAATGCAAATATTTGTTCCTTCTTAAAAATATTATAGGTGACCTGAAAAATTTAAATAATCAAATTTGGGTACTGCATTTCATTCCAGCAAGAAGAATATATTTATTTATTAAATTTATTTGCCAGCCATCTTACTGCAAGATGACATTGAAGATTAACTCAATCTTCATTGCTTTGGATGGGATTTAATTTTCTTTGAATCAAGAGTTAACCAACATGAGGTGTTGCCAAATAAAAATGTTTATGTGGGTTTTTAACAATTAAACTATTTATAGAAAGTTACCCATCTTCATTATAATTGTGTTTCATATAGAATCAGAGCTTTTATGGTACTGAATTTCATATATATGCTCATGAGTTTTTATAAACTCCATAGGATAGGTTGACATTATCCATTTTAGGGAGTTAGCCCAAGCCCAGGACAGGAAGAAGACTCAAGCCTTCTGGGAGTGGTGGGGTAGGGGGAAGGCCTGCAAGCTAGTGGACCTAGCTAGCCAAGGTCTCCCAGCTTGTGGCAGGTTTCTGTGTGCCAGTGGGCCTAGCCAACTTGCACCACTCCTGCAATTGTAAGGGCACATGTTCTGCCAAGTGACCAAATTTTGGTCACATGACTATCTGGCTGCTGCAGTGGTTATAATTTCAGGAGGAAGATGCATTCGGGAAGAAGATGCATTCAGCACTGTCAAAATTTTGAATTGTTCTAAATTAACAGTCGTAAATTGAGGACAACTTGTAAAATATACAGTAATTACACTGCAGTTTTTGAACTGTTGCCTTTTCCAGAATCCAAAAAGGGAAGGTTGGAAACCAGTGATAGCATCTTGAGGAGGTGTCCATCATTACTTTCTTTATGCACGTAGTATGATCCTCTCACTTAAAGATAAATTAACCATTGTTTAACCTCCTGGGAACCATGACCAACCAGAAAGGGCATGGTGGAAGCACTGACATTCTCCAGAATACTGCCCACTTAAAATTCACAAACTCAGACTCCTGCCTCCTTCAAGGCAAGCACTATCTCCCTGTTTCTCAAGTAATTATCACCTCCCCATATTCATAGTGCCATGGAGACCTTGAACTCCTGATATCCATACAGACAATACCTATGACATGCAAACTGAAGTTACCTGGCAGTAAAAGCCTAGGCAACCTCCCCACCAGACCATCAGACATGAGATCCAAGAGCTTTGGGCATTCTCTGCTGGACAGCAGTGGGGTTAGCACCAGCTCTAGCTTTATTGTCTGCCCTGATATTCATGCACATATAAGCATTCACCTCTATTCACCAGTGGAGCAGTACCTTTGATTACTATAAAGGTCTCATAATAACTCATCATTACACTCCCTTCCCTTAGAGTTTTTTATAGCAACTCTAAAAAATATCTGGGCCATTTAATTTTCTTCCTGATTTTGCTTGCAGATTGCTTCTTTTTCTCCTTTTCTAAATTTATCTGTTTTAAGAATAAACTAAGCAATTTCTAAAATTGAAATTATACAGTGAACAGAAAGTTGGCATGAGAAAGTATTAAAGCAAGTTATTGTAAGACAGTTATGTCCATCCTATCCTTTCTTTTTGTACTCTGGCTTTGTTGGTAATGAATAGCACCTCGGGACAATTTACATTTACAGAGTATTAGAAGCACAATCTATTATCAAGGATACATGATTCTGCCCCTGTAACTTCAAAAATTAACACTGCTATGTGTTAATTCACAGTCACCAAAATGTTTAATATCATACATAGGAAATTCAGCAAAAGATCCATAATCTTTTGGAACCTGATTTTAATCAGAACAGGAATATTTGTTAACTTTTTGTGGTTGACACCAGTTTTCTGATACATTTAAGAAAAATTATATAGCTTATATTAACCTTCATTTTGTATTTTAGCTTGAAATTCAAAGGCATCCCTTCTTTGAATCTGTCAGTTGGAATGACCTCTTAGAAAAAAAGATTCCACCACCATTTAATCCTAATGTGGTAGGTCCAATTCCTACTCCTTATTCATTAAGTCATCATAGCTAAGATGAATGAAAAAAATCATGAAAGGAAGGGATGAATAGAAACTGAACATAGTATTGCATAATCTCAAGGAATTACCAGTATTATCCCTTGATTGTTGCATAATCCCTAGAAACAAACAAGTGACTATGTAGTATATTGTGCATATTAGACTATATACAACTATAACCATTTATTGATAGAATCAGAATGAATGAATTCCTGTTACCTTTCTCCACTGCCTTCAGAGCAGAGGGAATAACTAGAAATATTATTGTACAAGTGGAGGATTCACTGCTTAACAAGATAGATTATAGTATCTGTATATGCTAAACTATTTTGTTGAAAAAAATCTTTAAAATCATTTTAAATTGATAATATATGGAAATATAGACTTCTTCCTTGCAATATTTTACATATGCTTTATTTTCTAGTTTGGTCCAGATGACATCAGGAATTTTGATGCAACATTTACAGAAGAGATAGTACCCTGCTCCGTTTGCATTTCTTCTGATTATAATATTGTAAATGCTAGTGTACTGGAAGCAGATGATGCATTCATTGGATTTTCTTATGCACCACCTTCTGAAGACTTATTTCATTAAGCTGAAGATTGGAACATTGGAAACTATCTCTAGAGGAGTGATGAAACTATATGATTATAAACAGTTTCTGAAATATATGCTACAAGTGCCTCATTTGATCTGCTGAAGAACAAACTTTTTCTGCTGTATTACGAGGATAATGGGCATTTTGCATTCCATTTTTAGACTGTTAAACATGCTGCACAAAAATATTTTTAAAAATGCATTTAAGTAAAAGTTCCTAACCTTGAAACTTTTAAAATAAAGATAATAGCTGTTTTTCATTCAGTTTACATTAACCTATCTATATCAGCTATCTTTATGATCAGCACACCCATTTAATGGGCTTTGTAATATATTGAATTTCTATGCTTGAAATACAGCTATGCAATTACTTTGGTAAACTTCTGTTTAAAAAATAAGCTTAACTACTTTACTTAACTGGCAATAATCATACTAGTTTACTAACTAGAGGATATATACAATATCACTTGGTTTAATGTAAACCTGTGCCACTGTAAATCATGATGGGCATATATAAATGAAGTCATTTATCACTTCACTTAAGAATTTGATTCATTCCAGTTACCAAACACAGGAATTTCTAAGTTAAATAATGGTGGAGCAAATTATCATTTAATATTTGTTGACAATACATCTCACAATGACCATTTCTCCTCTTCTTGTAGAAGAAACTAAGTATCTTTCTCCCCAAGAAATAAAAATTTAAGCATCACGCCATTTGTAGAAGAGAAACTCCTTCCTTCTATGTTGAAAGCTAATATATTACAATTTGATTATATTAAAATATTATTTCCTTGTTATCTGTATTTTAATTTCTGTTTCTTTTTATTTGGACAAACACTTGGACAATTTGCTCCCAAATAATGTACTAATGTATAACTTGTTCATTTTTGGACATGCATGCACATTTATCCCAGTATAATCAGTGATTTGAGGGTGAAGGAATGAGCTTCAAAACAGTCTCTGTGAAATTTGAATAGTGAATACTTTTTTCTTGGCTTTTACAGCCTCTGGTTGAATATAAATCAAATCTTTGCTTTACAAATTAATTTCACTTTAAAATATAAAGAAGTTTTTCTTTGGTTTAGTTGTCCCATTCAAAGTAAAAGGATGAACTTATTTGAGACAATCAACATAAATTGTAATATTGTTACTGTTTATTTTTCTCACTAATAAATGGAATTAATATTGACTAAGAAAATGCAAGTAATATCTTAAAAATACAAATTAAATATATATTTAAGATAAAAGAAAGATGTGTTATTTCAGGAAATCTGATTTGAATAACGCTAAAAAAAATGGTAACCTGTGAAGATGTTTAACAAGATGATGTATATACTCTCTATTATTACACTGATTAACAGTCTGATTGTAGCAAACAAAATACAGGTAGTCCTCAATTTACGACCACAATTGAGCCCAAAATTTCTGTTAAGTGAGAAACGTGTTAAATGAGTTTTGCCCTATTTTATGACCTTTCTTGCCACAGTTAAGTGAATCACAGCAGTTAAGTTATTAACACACTTGTTAAGTAATCTGGCTTTCCTATTGACTTTGTCAGAAGGTCACAAAAGGTGATCACATGACCCCGGGATGCTGTGACCGTAATACATATGAGTCAATTTGCCAAGTGTCTGAATTTTGATCATATGACCATGAGGATACTGCAACAGTTGTAAATGTGAAAAATGATCATGTCACTTTTTTCAGTGCTGTTGTAATGGTTACTAAAGGAGCTGTTGTAAGATGAAGACTACCTGTAATGTATGGTGTATATATACACAAGCGCACTTTTATCTTCACCATAGCATTCTTCATTGGAGTCCTAACATCAGTTATGTTCCTCATACAAGATTCAGTTTTCTCACACAAACCACATATCCGATGAAGTAGCTAGTCAGGTTCATAAAACCTTGGAGAATATAGATTATGTGGATCAATTTCAAATGTATTACTGGCCTAGTTTGGGTAGCAAAATTGCCTTAATCATCCAACAGATCACCTCTACCATGAGTATAACTTTGTTGATCCTCCTGGATCACTCAGCAAATATATGAAGCCATTTAGTAAAGTTGTGTTTGGTGCCATCAGTATGCTCACACCATCAATAATAGTATTCTGCTGAAATGACGTCTATATTAGAGTAGAGTATGATGCATTATTCTTCAGTGATCCTATTCCATATTCCGGAGTTGGCATGAGAATGTGACTTCAGCAAACTTCTACTAAGCCATGGTGTCCCAAACATATCAATTTTGCTAATCTTGTTTAATTTCTATATTAATCCATTGAGTGAATTAATCAGGGGCTTTGGGATTAAAGACTGCCTATATGCTAATGATGTGTAGCCCTTTTTTTCCCTCTGACATTGTGTGTTCACCCAGCACTTGTGTGTTCGCCCGATACCAGGCTGCGCCCCGGTGGTTGAGGACATCTGTTTTATGCCATTTTCTGAATTTGGTCCACTGTCTCCCAAATATGGTACACTAAACTAGGCCTAATGCTCATGATGGAGTCTAACCAATACAGATCATCATTGATTTGGAAACTATTTGAAATGATACAGCCTAAAACTGCATTTGCCTTTTTTTTTTTTTTTTGCTTTAATTTATATGCCGCCCTTCTCCGGAGACTCAGGGCGGCTTACAATGCGTTAAGCAATAGGCTTCATACTTTTGTATATTTATACAAAGTCAGCTTATTGCCCCCACAATCTGGGTCCTCATTTCACCTACCTTTGAAAGGATGGAAAGCTGAGTCAACCTTGAGCCTGGTGAGATTCAAACTTGTAGTAATTACAAGCAGCAGATGTTAATAACAGTGCTTCAGTCCACTGTACTACAGGCTCTGGTTTTTGCAGTCAACCCCTGACAATCCCTACTTAGTTTGTAATTCACTACTTTTCTAAAATCTTAAAAGGGGGTGAGTATATTGAACACATGGTAATGCTTCAGAAACAATAGTTGTGAATAGATAAAAGGCCAGTTAAACTAACAAACCGATAATTATTAAACATTTTACTAAGAGCGGGGCTATGTACATAAGGAGTATTCGCTTTTTTCCATAGGTTTGCTTATAATGTGGCATTAATGCAATAGTAGCTAATCAACATAAATGAATGTCTCATGAATAAACTCGGTGTTTCTCAGCCTGAGCAACTTTAAACTGTGTGGACTTCAACTCCCAGAATTCCCAAGCCAGTATGCTGAAGTCCACACATCTAAGATTGAGAAATCCTGAATTAACTGATCTGAGGTAAATCTTATGCCTGAGTTTGTCAAGGCTGAAAATCTTGTCAAGCACAACATTTCTGTACAGCACTGTGAGACTGGCAATTGTATTACCAAGCACAGCGAGTTGGAAATCTGGTGTTGGGCTTCGATCCTTCTGAGGAGAGAGGAAGATCTGTTGCTGCTGAATGAAAGACGAACAAGGCAGTCTTGCCAGTGGCAGAAATACATGAAGGATAGGAGGGAAGCGGAAAGAAGGCCCAAGGAGGAAAAATAGGCATAAACTTTTAAGAGACGATACAGAAAGTTTATTTATTAAAGAGTTACAATTTGAACAACAGTGTCCCATAATCCATGAGATGAGGGGGGAGGCAACATGTCAACATCATTCATTGGAATGATCATCTAAAGGGGCTTCTGGGTCCATTTACAAAATCCATTCAGCTTTATCTTTGTGACATGTTACAGGATTTTTTTTAACAAGTAGAATTAAACAGATCACAGGAAGCAGTAAGAATATAGTTTCCCTTACCCTACCCAATAGTTGGAGGTGTGATTTTGAATTTTTTTTTTAATTAAGAGAATGAGTTGAGCTCAACTTTCACTTTATCTCGTTTTAAATCTACATTTTTGAGACCCATTTAAGTTTTCAAAATACAAGCTGTTAATTGACTAGAGTAGTTGATGAATCTCTTGTAATCCCATTTCACACACAGCCTGGGTTTGAGGGTAGGTTAACACAGTATCTATAACTAAACGGTTGAACTGAGGTTACCACAGGTCTCAAATTATAGTAATTCCTTTAGCAACTGTTCTAAGTTACAATGGCACTGAAAAAAAATTATTTACAACCAGTCTTCACACTTACAACCACTGCAGCATCCCCATTGTCACATGATTAAAATGTGGGTGCGATTCACTTAAGAACCACCTTGCTTAGCAATGGAAATTCTGATCTTAATTGTGGTTATAAGTTGAGGACTACCTGTATTCAGGCACACTTGACAAATATCATTATCCCACAATTATATTTTTTTATTCTTCACAGCAACATAACATTTGTAATCTAAGGATTGGGTAGAGAAACAAGATTGGAGTAAATGAAGTTGGATCTTCTGAAAATGAAAGAAGCTGCTTTAATTTATCTTGACAGGAGTGGTGGTCTTCAGAAATTTGTTAATGACTGCAAATTATATTGTAATGGTATTTACCTAAAATTATTATTAAGTAATCAAAATTATTTAGCTTAAAACAGTAAACAGGAAGTTTTAACATTTATTCATATCTGGCCTTACAGAATCTAGCCAAGCTTGTGCTGTTTTCCGGTTTCTTATATTGGTAAACCCATCTGATATTACTGAGTTGGATGCTACTCTTGGAAATTATATTTTGCATCAACCTGTGAAGGGTACTCAGATTTTTCGATCAGTAAGGAATCTTTTACATTTTGATCAAATATTCTATGAGTATTCTGAGCCATAATTTTCTCATAAATTTTGAATTTTGAATTATAGGTATGTTTTACTGCAGTTAAAACATTGTCATTAATACAACAAATAGAGACTGAAGCTCAGGTGAGTATTCACCATTATTTCAGTCCTATTTTTTCTAAAATAGTGACAATAATTTATATTTTAATTACATTATGCTAGCATATGACAAAGATTTGTTTTAATTACCTATCTTTCTACCCTCCTATTTATTTTTTCTCCTTGGTGTAATATTTTTTCTGAAATATAATTCTTAGAGAAAAATGCATTTATTATAAATTTATATATGGTAACTAGATAAACAGGAAAAAACAGAATTCATCTACATGCCGACAAACTTTCAATCACACAGACAGTTCTTGTTGTGTAATAACTTTTAACATTAATAGCAAAAGTAGCTTTCTATGTATCATCATCAGTCGCAGACTTGTTCCCAATCTATGATCAATACAGAAACACTGTATGTAACTGGATATTTTGCCTGCGCATGTATTTGTATATATCTCAGAAATAAAATTACCAAAAAATGTGGATCTGATCTGCAGAAGTTTTAACCTGATCTGCAGAAGTTTTAAAGTTTATACAAATAACCTACATTTTAAAGAACCTTTATTTATATAATGAAAGTCAACTAAAATAGTTAACTAGATGGGATACTGTAGTAGATGACACGGGACTCATCTTGTTTTACTGAAAAAATTGTGCTTGCATTAAAAAAAGTTGCCATATAAAAATATACAGGATAGTTTGACATTTAAGCTTGTGGGTGAACTTTATATTCAGTTAAACTTTGGAAATAGAATGGTTTGATCAGTTAATATTTTAAAATAACCCTTTTTCCTATTTGCAAATGTCCAGTTAAATGTCTCTTGTGTTATATGGTGTAATTTTTCTGTGTCTGTGTTTCTGATTAATTTTGGGGGAAACAGACTTTATACTATATAGTGTCATCTGCTCAGAATTCATGCCACTCTGCTAAACTTCTTGGGCATGTCTAATTGGCCATGGCTGGGAGTAATGCAGTTATTTTATTATTTTTCCCCATTTTGATGTCAATTTGGCCACATCATTGTTTTAATTAATTAGCATTGACAAAACACAGAACGTAAATGTGTCTCTTCGTTCAAAAAGCATTACTTACCCCTGTTTTATTCCTGGAACTTATTTACTGTATGTTTTAGACTATAAGACGCTCCAGACTATAAGACACACTTTAGTTTTAGAGGAGGAAAACAAGAAAAAAAAAATCTGCCTCCCAGCATCCATCTGGTATTCATCTGGCTGGCGTCCTTGCAGCAAACAGAAAACAGCCTGGTCAGCTTCAGCACGTTATCACAGCCCCAGCACATGGCTCATCAGGGCTCCACTCCGTTGCGCCCACCATCAGTCAACTGAGCTAAGCTGCCACCGCTGTCGGGAAACGCTGGAGCCTTTGCTGAGAAGCAGCTGATTGGCGATTGGATTTGCCTCCCGGAATACCACTGATCAGCTGTTCTAGGTGGCAGGGTTGCCGCCGCACATTCACCGCCAATCACAGCGAATGGGCGGTGGCAATCCCTGACACCTAGAACAGCTAATTGGCACTGCACCAATTATCCCCCTAATAAACCCCTCACCCCGCTGCAATATTCGCTCTATAAGATGCACAGATATTTCCACCCACTTTTGGGGGGGGGATGCGTCTTATAGTCTGAAAAATACGGTATATAATTATAACATTTTCAATAATGATAATATTTAAATGTCTGTCCTATTTGTAATCAGCTCAATCATTTTTTAATTCTCTTTTAGATGAACATAGTCCTGAAACTAACACATTTACCTTCCTTACCCTGTTACGTTCTCAGTCTTTGCAAATTTCCATTTGATTATAATACTCAGAGGTTTTATGTGGCAGAGGGAATAGTGATTGCAATGAGTATCATAACGAAGTATACACAGGGAGCAAAATTTATTTGTTGTGAAGAGACATGTCAGTTTTCTGAAGGTATGCTAGTAAGCTTGAATTTAAATTCTTTCATTTTTGAAGCCCAACTTTATAGTTTATAATTTTGTTTTGGATACTATATTTCATTTCTCATGTGGATTCATATGTTAGTCAAGATTATTTTCCTACAGCATATAATAGAAAGCAAGAGGAAGCAGAAACTAATTATTTTCTTCAATATTCATCCTAACACGATTCCCCTTATGTAGAATAGATTCCAAATAAGTTGAGCTGTTACAAATTTTAACAAATTCAGAATGATTTCTTATATCAAAGAATCAGAACCAAGATGTTTTAAAAAGCTACATGAAATTTGGGAAATATGTTTAAGTATGACATCGAAACATGCGTGTTGTCAAGTTTCCTGCCTCCTGCTCATGGCAATTTGAAAGCTTTGCACGTTGACATCTGTATTTCTACTGCATTGATCCACAGTGTAGGTGTTGTGGCTCCGTTACTGGAGCCTGTGTCATCGTCAGGAGAGGACTCCAAGAGTGAAGGGGAGGAGTTGGCAAGGCCTCCCTCTCCAGGACCCTCCTCTCTGGCAATGTCTTCGGTGTCCGCTGAAGGGCAAGAGATAGGGCCAGGGCCAAGCACGTCCACGCAGCCACAGATGGACAGTGATGAGGGTAATAAGTCTTGGCTGGACCCACGCCAGCGTCGCAGAGATAAGCGTGTGCAACAGAAGAAAGGGCGTGCCCGAGATTAGGCTGAGTCACTGGACCACACCCCACAGGATATAAAAGGGAGCGTGGTGGCCAGTCAAACCTTGTGATAAACAAAGCTGAAAGCTTCCACGCCATTCTGCATTGCCGGACTTTTGCTTTAAGACTGGATTATCTCTGGACTTGATTGTAATGATTAAGCTGCTTTCCTTTGATGTATCAGAAGTGGGGAGAAGTTATCTCTCCTCTTTGTAAATAATAAACTCTTGGCAGGCAGCCACTAGGTTGTTGCCAAGTTCCGTTATCATAAGGAAAAGGATTTTGCCGGCTGGTTTGGTCTTTAACTCCTGAACGTCTGTTGGTGTGTGTGCGTGGGGTTGGGGACAGAACAGTAGGGTTCAATAAATAATTGTGCAGTTACAACTCTCCTCTGAAACGAACTTATTTTTGAAAGTTGAAAAAATGCTTTCTAATTTTGTGTGTATGTAAAAAGTTAAAATCTCGGGTGTCTTCCAGCGTCATTTAAAAGTCTGTTAGTTAAAATGCTTAAAATCCTGGCTAAGATCTCACCTCAAAATCCTCCAAAATCCCAACAAAACACTTTGTAAGGACTTTTAAAACTCTGGCTAAAATCCTAACCAACACTTTAAAAGTTTGGCAACATTTCGACAAGCTCTCTACCTTGTCATCTTGCCGAAGAGCAAGGGCTATAAAAGGATGTCATGTTTTCAGCATGATATGGAAATATCCTGTTAAAGTGCATAGATTTTGAGCAGTTTTCTGATAAAAATACAATGAAAAATATCTGCTTCTGAATTTTTAGAAAACTAAATCAATCTTTTCTATGATTCTAGGGTTTCAGTATATAAGAGTACATACTGCTGGAGCTACAGAATCTGCAACACTAAGAAATGATTTTGTATGCAGCTTATGTATGTCACCACTGAAAGAAGACAAGAAATATCGAGTACTTGGTGGTAAAAACTAAATAGCTGTTATTAATTCAACATGATACAATTTAAAGGGCTCCATACTACTGGTATATAAGGGGGATGGCTACTGGACAACATAGAAAAAAAGGAGAACACACAGTTGTGAACTAGGTTTAGAAAAGTACATGAATGGCAAAGTGTGCATACATCAGTAAAATAGATACAAGTGGAATCTTTTAAAAAAATAAATCATCCATTAAATTTGTTTTAGGACCAGTTCAGAAAATAGATTTATCTGAAACAAAAATTGTGTATTTGTGTGTTATTTATTTGTTTGTTTGTTTGTTTTTAAGATAAACAAATGGTTGAAATGATTGACTCTAAAGCAGTGAGTGTGTTTCAGGGATTTTCTGGAAGTAAAACACATTTCAGATTTCAATCATTTACAGTGTTTCTAAGAGGTAAGACATATGTTTCTTTGCGTTGTTTTTCAGGGCAAAGCCTTCCCAAAATAGCCAGTAGAAGATACATATATACATAACAGGAACATTATATTTCCAAATATTTTTGGAATATTTCCAAATCCATTTATAATGCATCCAGTCTAAACACCCAAAGATTATCTTCTTTTTCTCTATCCATCTGTGCTATACTTATGCTCTTAAGAATTTCCCAGCTCCTACACTTCCCACCCAGTCAACTCCATCCTTGGATGAACTGACACATCCCTATGAAATTCTGTTGTTACAATGGAAAGACTATATCATCTCAGCATTGTTCCCTTTCAGAAAAGACTTTTAGATTATCCTTACTGTTTTCCAGAATTCTTCATATTTGCATGATAGGGTACAATTCACAGGTCAGAAATTTGAATTTAAATCCAGGAACTTATTTTCAGCATTTGGTTTCAATATTTTCAACAATGTTATTTGTTAAATTCCTGGGAATGATACTTCCTGCATCAATTATAATTATATACTTTAAAATTATTGTATGAATGAGAAGTGAGGCATAATTACATGTTTTACTTTTGAAAATATTCAACAAGGATTTGATTAGAAGGGGAAAAGACATTCTTAGTGAATTTGTCTTGGAAATAAAATATAAATGTTATGATGTGATTATTTTAGATTTAATTTTTGTATAAGACATTAATGAAGAGGAAGTAATAAAAATAAAATCCAAGACTTCAATTAAATAAAGACAGCTACTTTAACTACTGCAGCAGTATCTTGTCTTGCTGGGATTTGACTTCTCTTTTCCATTTCTTATGACAAAATTGTTCTGTGGTAATCTAACATATTTTAATATTCTTTAATTTAGCTGTTTCTCCTTGCCACTTCTTGTTTTTATGATCCAGATGCATATATTTTTCTTAATAGAATTTAATCCCCTATTTAATTATATATTTATCTAATTATACAATCTCCCCTAAGCTAAATAATACGAACAAAATCTTTAATTCCTGATCAGTGATTGTGTTATTTATCTAAGAAGCAGTTTATTCACAAACATTTTTAAAAAAATAATGTGAAAAGAATTTATTATTTATATGCACTCTAAACTGTCACGTCACCATAGTAAAAGTATATATGTACAAAACTGGGGGAAAAAACAATTTAATTTTCTTGGCAGAATTTGTGATTAAATCACATCTGTTTGGACCTCTTTTAAGAATGTCTTCCCCTATTAATTTCAAGAAGGCTAAAAGCTTTAGCAAAAAGCTTCTTCTCCTCTCCACCCTAGCTTGTATAAGCCCCCAAGTTTAGAGATATTGATATTACCCTGACTTAGAGTACTTTCTCATGGCTGTTATTGTGTGTTGTTTCTGCTGTTGAATTGGCAGAAAAGTTAACATAAACTGTACTGCCCCTCAACTGAATTTTACTGTGCTTTAGCAATGATACCAAAATATGGTGTTCTGCTTACAGAGTTCCTGAAGAAAAATCTCAGGACAGTAACTGATGTACTCTTGTGCTTTCTTTCCCATCCCAGTCACCAATTACTTTTTGTAACATATAACAGAGCAGGGCTAAGAGACTAATAACATATAGGCATTCTCTTGGGGTGCAAGAGAAAATGGATAATTAGCTTCTGCAGAATACACCTGTAAGCTAGGGGTGGTATTCACTTACCTTCGCTACTGGTTCACAAATGGGAGCGCGCTCGCTCGCTTTGCTCGCATGTGCCACCTCCGCACATGCGCAGGATCTTCTGCACATGCGCAGAGCATCAAAAATGGGACATAATGATGTCCGGGCAGGTGGGTGGAACCTCCTGCAGTGGCCGCTACCAATTCGCCTGAACCGGATAGAACCGGCTGAATACCATCACTGCTGTAAGCCACATTTTTCTGGAAGGTGGGGGACTGGGACTATCTGCTGGCAGACCAACATTGTTGTTTAAATGACACACAAACAGAATCTGTCAGTTGGAAAGGTATGAGGGTTGCATTAGGATTATAGAACAATGGAAGAAATCAGCTATGGGAGATCAGTTGTCCTAGGGCAAACATTAAAATCCAGTTGATAGGATTATTATACACAAGTTATAGGAATTCTGCAGCACAAGCCAAACTGAATGTAGAAGTCTATGCTTGGTGACAAACCAGGAGATTGACAGTCCTATTTTTTAAAAAACATAGATGTTACCAGTATTACAATAATTGTTAGCATTCCATATCATTATTCCCATTCGAAACAAATAAAAAGAATCATGAAAGTCACATGTCTAGTGTTTAATTACTCAAGTCATAATGCTATATAGGTCAGTACCTAATGACTATATGGAAGGATGAGCATTCAAGAAATGGTCAAAAAGAACTCACTAGATTCCTGTCCTGAACTCATCATTGCCACTCTTTTCAAGACATTATGGATTTGTAATATTTGTATTATTATTCTTTAAATATATCTATCAGTATTCAACTCAGGGGGAACAATCTATGTGCATGTTGCTTTTTTTGCACACTTTTTTGTCTCAATTTTTGCTTTGATAGTTGTTTCCCTGTTGAAGTTATATTTTAACTTTGGAAATAATATAAAAATTATTTTAAAAAGTGGTTCTTATCTTTACATTGTTGAAAGGATATGAATATGAGTCCATAGAATTATTCTGCCCAATAGAAAATCCTCACCTGCCTATTTGTATTTTTCCCAGATGAATTATCCAATGAAATGAAAATGGGAAATCAATATAAAGTTATAGGAATTCCTGTCTGTATGCAAAGCTGCTTACAAGCCACAATTTGTCTTGAAGCTAACAGCATATATCCTTATAATTCTACAGGTAGGACAAGAGGCCAGTGAAAACAGACAATAAAATATACTTGTTCCAATAATAGGCAACTGAAATGCAACTGTCTCTTTCTTTTCATTCCAATTTTCTTCTTCAGCAGTTCTCAAAATGTGATCTAGGGACTTCTGAAGATCCCTGGATCTCTTTCAGGGGGAATTTAAGACAAATATATAAATATTTTAAAATGTCTGTTTTAATTTCTAATACAATAAATACTGCTACATATAACCCACCTATTTGGGGTTTATTAACATTTTTTAGATGGGTACTAAAACTAAAATATTTGAGAATCACTGCTTTATTTAGTATATTTGCTGTGAAAAAAATGTCTTAATTTTCAGCACATTCATTCTCTCTCTGAGAGGCAGGAAGAGTAATCCCTGGTGAGTTCAGGAGCCAAAAGTTCCTGAGAAAGAATAACAATGTAGAGAAAGCATGCAAAGCATGGCTTCTAGAATTCTTTTCATCTCTTTAGTAATAACTCTCCTCTGGGTCAGCTAAAAGCAACATTGATTTCATGGCACATAATCCATCCATACTGAATCATGTAGGCAGCAGGAGGGAGGGGCTATGGAATAAGAACACTTGGCAACATTCTGAGACATTGCTCAACTGCCCTTCCAGTAGAGATGCACTGGGATTTTTTTTACTCTGCAGACCCAGAGCAGAATGGGCCAACTTGCCACAGCCAACTTGCTGCAGCCAATTCACGTCAACAACTTGACACGGGAGAACTCACCACTATGGAACAATTTAACAATTCAATTTAATTTCTGGACCAGGACGCCTTGCGCACGGTTACTCATGCCCTCGTCACTTCCCGTCTGCACTACTGTAATGCTCTCTACATGGGGCTCCCCTTGAAGAGCACTCAGAGGCTCCAACTGGTCCAGAATGCGGCCACGCAGGTGATTATGGGAGTGACACAGCGCACCCTTGTAACACCTCTCCTGCGTGAGCTGCACTGGCTCCCGGTGGTCTTCTGGGTGCGATTCAAGGTGTTGGTTACCATCTTTAAAGCACTCCATGGCTTAGGACCTGGGTACTTACAAGATCACCTTCTGCCACTGATAGCCTCCCACCGGCCAATATGCTCCCACAGAGAGGGACTCCTCAGGGTGCCGTCAGTCAAATAGTGTCGACTGGCGACCCCCAGGGGGAGAGCTTTCTCTGTGGGGGCACCTGCCCTCTGGAATGAATTGCCCCCGGAGATACGTGTGATCCCTGGCCTATGAACCTTTCGCCGTGCCCTTAAGACTTTACTGTTTCAACAGGCTGGGCTGGCTTAAATAATGAATTTTAATGGGTGTTTTAGTTTTTTAATATAAGGGCCAAATTATTTAATATGTTTTAAACTGTTTTTAAATTTTATGGATATATGTGTTTTATTGTGGCTGTGCACTGCCCTGAGTCTGTCGGGAGAAGGGCAGTATAAAAATTTAAATAATAAATAAATAAATATTTAAAATAAAGAAAAAATATTTTAAATTTTGTCATTCACATTTCATTTTCTCCCATCTTTTGCATCCTTTCTTTAATGATTTTATTGCACCATTTCTTTGATATTAGTGTAACTCATCCCGCAATGAGTTGTGGCAAGTTGGCTGTGACAAGTTGTGCCATGGTGAGTTGGCCATGGCAAATTGTCATAGATATCCCACCCCACGTCTGATCTATTTTCAAACTTGGGTTTTTCTTTAGTCAGCTTTTTCCCTACACAAAATTTGACTCCATCGTGTTCAGTTTCATTGGATTGGAAAGAATAAAAAATGACTAAATAACATTAATATTGATCTCTTCTTATTTTGTACTGGAAGGGATATTAACATGAATTTCAATTTCAGAATCATAGTATCCCAATCTTCAAAAACAAAGACAATTATACCTAAATCTTTTTCTGCTCTAATTTTGTTAGTTTAGCTATATTCATCTTGTATTCCCTGAAATTGAAATCTTTCAGGTCCACTCGTTTTCTTACTAGAATTCAAGAATTTATCTCCCTTTGAACTAGAATTCTGGAACCTGATATTCCTTTAGTGCTATTTGTTTATATTGTTTCCTGATGTACCTACAATGAATTGAATCCAGAGTTGTGTTCTAGTGGTAGCAGCAGTTTCACTTATATCTTACCTTTATCAACCACCGAATTTCATCCTTGTAGATGTTAAGGTATCTATCTTATTTTTGTTTTGTATCAGGGCCTTCTTGCATCAGTGAAAAATTTAAGTACCTGCTTTCTTTGACTTCAAATTCATGTTGGAAATTTACAGCACTTCTGGCTGATAGCTTTGCTTCAAACGTTCTTCCATCTGGCATTTATAATATTCTGAAATTGTCCATAATGTTGAGCTTAGTACAGACGATTGATGGAGATGACAAAACAGCAGACTACTTAGATCTTCTGGTAATAACAAATGATTCTCTTATACTGGAGAGGTAATTATTCTTTTTCTTATGGTGATGTTATTAGTTTTCCCCAGTAGGAAAGTGCTCTCTCTCTCTCTCTCTCTCTCTCACACACACACACACACACACACACACTTAATTCAGCAACCTGTGTTTTATTGTATCATCAGTAACAGATGTTGCTGTAATCTGAATTATGCATAACTCCCTTTTCTGCATATATAGATTTATTCAACTGAAATTCAATGCCATGGTGAATGCCATGCCATGGTGAAATACTGCAAATTCATTAGTGAATTATCTATTTTCCTCAATCATCTAGAATTATGAATTATAGTATATGTCTTGTGCCTCGAGGCATTCGGCACTTTCCATCTGGTGAAGTTTTTCCAACTGTATCAAAAGATAAACATGGGACTGGAAGTGCTATTATTCAGGCTGGTAGTGCTTTAATGGCTAAAAATGGAATATGCTTTATTGGAGAGCTGACTTCATATAAGAAAGAGAAACTTGAACAACTACAAGCAGGTACGGCAATTAGCAAGTATTTGTAAAACCAAGGGTAACTTTAAATATTTCTGCTAGATTGCCTTGCAGCTTTGAAATCCTAGAGAAATTATTTTAATCACTAGCGATATTTCTATACCAGTCAATTTTAGTACTGTACAATCAATATTTTTCTATTACAAAGTTATATGTAAAATTTCCTTGGAAATATCATGCTGTATGTTCATTCCACTATATTCTGGTTGACAGTTACAATGGACATACAAGTAAGTTTTCATAGAGCTAATAATGCCTCCTTGCAGCACTCTTAAAAATATGGCAATCTGCTTTATACCAATTTTTCAATCTGGTATCTGACATCTTCAGATATTAGGATGTATGTCTATCCTGGAAGCAATACTGGCAATGCCCCATATAAAACATGCAAAACATCTCACGATTTGGTGACTTTTGTGAGATTTCAGACTTGAGACCGTGTCTGGGTTTTCATGTTGGATTATGATAGCACTTAAAATTGCTACTGCATGTTTGGCTGACAAGATCTCCAGGGTATGAGGCAGAGTTCTTTCACATTATTTATTTTTATTTTAAAATCAAGTATTGACCTTGAGATTTCTTGCATGAAGGGTACATGCATACTGTGATTTTTGTATTGTCCTAATGGTATTATTGCAAAATGAAATACATTGGTGTAAGAGAGAAATGTCAAGCTTCATTGCTTGATACATAAATATACATATAAAACTACACATACAATAGTTCAAAAGTGAGCCTAAACTAATCTTGTTTTCTCTAGATTCTGACAGTTCCAGCAGAGCTGGGCTAAAATGATTTTCACTTGTAGAGATTGCTATTTTCACTACCAAAATAATCCCCATAATATCTGTTGAATTATCTGAAACAGAATGGAAATATTTCTTTAACAGAAGCCCTCCATTCAATGCTTGTTCGTTTAGTAAATAGAATGAATTCTTCTATTCATCAAGAGAGACTGGATCCAATCCATGTAAACCTTTTGGATGATACTTTTGAGAGAGAAGCATTATAGAAAGAACATTTCTAAAATTGGGAAATATGCAATTAATATCCAAGTTCCTTTAAAAGCAATGATTTAACACATACAGTAAAGTAAGTTATATAAATCACCATATTTTGAGTAGCATTTTTCTTCTTGCTGTTTTGACTAGTACTAGAGAGCAGGACAATTACTAAATTCATTCCAGGAAAGAAATATGGAGAAACTAGCGATCAGCAAGTTATTTTTCCAATTCAAACAAGTTTCTGGTCATTTATTGATGTGGATTCATCTTCAAAAAAGCATATACAACTGGATAATACTGTAATTGGCCAGTTGGTGAGTCTATATTTAAAACAATATTGTACAATATTGATTAGGAACAGTAATACCTTTTAGAAAGGCACTATAGATAAAATGCCAAGTTAGCATGCATTTTCTAAAACATGCTAATTTTCCCAGTCAAGAAACGTATTTTCATCATTCTATAACACCTGGTATCACTCAAATACCATAAACAAATTAAATAAAAATCATGGTATAACAGCATAAATATCCAAGAAATTACTACCATAGCAATAAGTGCATCAAGTAATATTCTGAATGTTCCTTTGTGAAAAACACTGAATCTTGCATTTTTAGAATGTCTTTTAAATATTTTTAAAATATTAAGAGTTTATTCTAAATTACTTTTTAAAATTAGGATTTAAGCTTGATTTCAGCTACTCTTATAGATGCATTTGGACTTTTGATATACTGCAATGAAGCATCATGTTGTCAGTCTCCATTTCCTGTTACGAATTTCATTTTTAAAAAATCTATTGATTCAGAAGAGATTTATACTACCACCCAACAGTTCCAAACCCAAGATTATGAGGAAGTAAGTAGTTATTAGAAATTATAACAAAAAAGAAACAACTTTTTAATTACATTTTATTAAAATATTAATATTTAATTATTAAATATACACTAAATATATTAGTGTTTTTCATAAATCATAATTTATACTGTCATTTCAGTTTCTTGCTTTTTCAAAGAATTTGCATGTAGAATTATGTCCCGAATCAGAAAGGTTAATTCATGGCTACTATCTAGCAAGTCGAAGAGTCAGAACACAGCTCATGAACGGACCTAATCTCTCAGCAACTTCACTAAAAATCTTGTAAGTTGTAAATTGACACATGCTAATTAAATACTGCCCATTTTGGCTTTAAGTTGGACTAATAGATGAAATTAAGAGATGCACTAATTAGCAACTCCTGATCTCATTCAAACATGTATCCATAAATGTGCTTCAGACTGCATAGTAATCTTTATGCTTTCTCTATCCAGATATTAGTCCAAACATCAAAGCACTGTTGCTTAGAACATACATCAAAGGTGTGTCTAGTTTGTACAAGTGTGCGGTCCCATGCACTGGTCAAAAAAGATTTGTCCACTTTGATCCACATATTCAATGTCTTTTCAGATAGCATTTAGCTGTTTATCCCTAATAACTGTTCAGATTCCGCTCAGTGGGTTTTTAAGTCGAAGCAAATGAGTCATTTCACTGCAAGACGTTCTGCTAGTGATCAGAGTAGACCCCTGGATTTTTCCTATCCAGTTTTCTAATAGTTACCATAAAAGGCCACTAGACAGACATATAATCCTTTTATCAGTTTATTTGTTCAGCAATTGGTAGTGTGTGTGTGTGTGTGTGTGTGTGTGTGTGTGTGTGTGAATGAAATAGTGGCTATACATGTATATTATGTACATGTTGGAGTCATAAAAGCAAGATTTTCAATGAGAAAATTAGTCATCTGAAATGTACAATGGATTTAAAAGTTTTATTTTTGTTTGTAGGATTTCGCTGTCTAAAGCGCATGCTAAGCTGAGTCTAAGGACAAAAGTACTCGAACAAGATGTTTTAATTGCAGTGTTATTATTTGAATCATCTCTTACTTTAAAATATGGTAAAAAAATTAAGCCAAGCAATTGCTCATAAATCCAAGTAAGATCACATAAGATACTTAACAGGAGACTTCACACATATAGTTGAACACACAAGGCCGAAGATACCAAATAGCAGACAATGCTACTCATGAGATTTCTATCCTCTTATCAATTGGCTGAAATAATGTTATTGAAAAGTAATGGTAGGAGATATTTTACTATTTGTCTTCTAGTAGCATGTTTCAATTTTCAGAATTGATTCAACACAGCTTGTTATGTGTGGGGTTCTTTGGGGGGATTGGTTTGGAAAATTAAATCTGTTCTGCTATCGCTGAACTATTAACAATCTTTCTGGTTCAACTTTATTAAACCTGTAATACTTTAGCATCTGAATAGCTATTGAGCCCCTATTCTTGAGGTAGAAAGTAAATAAATGTTTATATTATTCTTAAATATAGTTATATAAGTAATCACTTTCCAAATTAATGACATAGGAAATTGAGCAAATGCAAAAATTTGAATCATCAAGCATTAAGATAACTTTTATTCCGTAGTTATAATAATAAATTTCCATTTCCAGTTACTATGTAATCCATATTACAGCTTTTTAAATAAGGTTTCTTTAAGGCATGATTTGGAACCTTTTTTCTGTTGAAAAACATTCCCTGGGGGATAATCCAAAACCAAGAGGGGATATCATCACTGTTCTCTCTTGGTATCCTCTCTTCCAAACAACAGGTTGCAGATCAGATAGCTTATTAGCAGTCTGAATTGATCTATTGCATAGAGATTGATATTAGGGTATAGGTAATTTTAAAGATAAATGGAAAGGCATTTTTCCAAAAGGCTAATTTTGCAATTATATTTCATATATAAAAGGATATTTAACTAGCAACTTTTCAAATAACAAATTTATAATTTGCTTTTGCAAATTTATGCTCAAAAACAAATTCCTAGATTTATTTATTTATTTATTAAATTTAAGATTAACGTGTGATTTTAAAATATTAATTAATTTAAAGATTAATTTTCTTTATACAGGTGCGTCTGTATTTTGTGTGGCTCCTAATGCACTTTTTCCATATGAACTCAATTCTGAGAACTCCCTGAATCAAAGGGATATTTACTTGACGGAGTGCCACCAACAACTGAAACAATTCATTGCTACATATGGGCCTGTGACACATGTTCTCAGCAGTGAGATTTAACAATACACAATACTGAATCCAATTCTCAGGAAAATTAATTCATTCGTCTAGCCTATCTTTGCCCTTCCAAGTTATGTTATAGAATACATTAATGCTGTAATGGCTCAATTAATGCTGTAATGCAGGGGTGTCAAACTCAATTTCATTGAGAGCTGCATCAGTTTTGTGTTTGACTTCAGGGGGCCACGGTGGGCATGGCCAGGGTGAGCATTGCCAGCTCAACGTCACTCGTGTCAGGGGCACCTGTGGTGGCCCAAGCGCTTTGCCAGAGAAAACAGGCTCTCCTCCTGCAAACCTCTGCCAGCGTGTGGCCTTCCCGAGCACCATTTTCGCTGGCAGAGGCACTGCAGGCCAGTCCTTCACTGTTTCCAGGGTGGCCCCACAGTCCAGATCTAAGAACCCCGTGGGCTGGATCAGGCCCCTGGGCCTTGAGTTTGACAACCCTGCTGTAATGTTTCAAATTTAACCTTTTTTTAAAAAAAAAGTCTTGCATTTCAGCTAAAGCTAACATTCTATTCTTGCTGTACAGTAGTAGTTTTTTCCCCTATATCTTATTAGATTTTTCTTATTTTGAATGTTATAACAAGCATAGGAAAACAGATACATTTGTTTTAGTTGTCTCATCAAATTTTCTGTTACTGAAATTGTATTCAAATTCTTCACATAGGATTTTACTCTCACCCCCAAAAATTAAAATCACGTTCTATAATATAAAACAAGAAATGAAATTTAATGGAATTCAAAAATATACAGGCTGGTATTCAATCTCCCACATAGTATAAATAAATGACAGTTCATTAGTAAAGACTTCAATTTGATTCAGTGCTAAGGCTTACAATAACATTAAAAACAGGTATACATACACAAAAGTCAACCATGGTTGTGAGATTGGATTTTACAAAGATGTAGGAAAATAATCTTTGTATAACCATGTTATCTATCATGGCAAGTCTGCTTTCCTCGCCCAATCTTCATGCAGAAACAAGAAAACAAGCTAACTGAAAAAAAGTTACCCTTTCCCGGAAATCTGAGAAAAAAATATGGTGAAAAATATCCTTAGGAAAATGCTGAAGTGGTAATTGTCCTATATATGTTTTTAATTTAGAATTACATCAACATCAAACTAAAGTATTTGTTTAAAATTAATTTCATATTGGAAAACGATCACTCTTCCGTTTGTCTTGTCATATCCTGCAAAGAAATAGGGAGATTAGTATATCACATTAAACAACAGCACATTAAACAGCAGCAAATGTTATATTAAGGTAATATATTAAATAAAAAAGGTTCATTCAAAGCTGTCATTTTTGTTTTCAAATTAGATAAAGCTATTTTCAAATTAGCAAATGTTTATAATTTTCAGTAAGGATCTCAAATGACACAAATGTTAAGTCTGAACAGCAGTTCATGACTACTTGGGGAAATATGCCAATTAAATCACTTGGAAAGACATTTTAATATACAGTATTTAAATATTCTAAGTAAATACTTTACATGGTATAATTAAAGCTTTACTGGCACCTCAGAATTGGAAATACACATCACACATTCAGATGGGTAAACGGCTAAAGGAAATCATCATTGTGCCAGCGATAAAATATATTTCCCATTAATAAAAACATGTATTAAAATATTTTCCATTTTATCATTGATTTGCAAATATTTTTATTTATTTTAAAGGGGGAAAAGTAAAACAAACAAGCATTCATGTAACTTTAATCTTCTAGAAATATGTATTCAACTTTCCAAATGCATTTATTAATCCAAATCACAATTCTTACTCTTTATATAGTAAGAGCAATACTCACCATTTAATATGGGATCCAGTGAGGCATACTGATTGCTCCAAAACAAAACAAAACAAAACAACAAAAAAAGAAATCAAACAGTTGGCAATATTTAAGTGTAATACTATTTTTCATGTAATAAAATGGAAGCATCTAGGATTTTTAAAATTTTGCATTTATGAATAAAATATATTTATGAATAAAAGCATTGTATTGCTTATAATTGCTTGGTATGCAAGTATGTAGGAGATCTCATTCTATACTATCCTTAAAAAACAAAAACAAAGCACAGCTAAAACACTGGATCATCCCCTTGAATGTACTTTGAAGCTTTTTCTCTCAAAAGAATACATTATTAACATTACTCTCTAAATTTACTATTCCTATGTTGCCACTTCATAAGAGAGTTAATGAAAATACCCATCCATGGATTGTAGGAGCAGCGCACTGGAAAATAGTCATGAGCTGGCTACACTGTACAAGGAGCTTACTAAAACTGGGCAACAGCAGCTGAATGCCCCATGACTTTAAAACACCCAAAATGCCCAAAGAAGTGCTGGCAAATGAAACATCTCAGTTGCAAAGACAATAACTGAAAATAACCTGCAGTATGTTGAAGTAGTTATAAAATTCTGAAAAGGCCTTTATTCTACAATGGACTGATTTGGGCTGTTGCTGTTCCAAAACTTATGGGAAAACTACAAAGGAAGAGTTAACCCAGAATTAAACTATTTTATTCATTCACTATTCTAATGAATGAATCTTACAGTTACTCTTGTTTAATAAGAATGAAATTAAGGTTAAGGTTTACAATTTCCACTCTTTGGGACTCCAGCTATCTGAACTAGTAAAACATATTCCCTACAGACTTGGTTCAGGCTGAGAGCTAAGTACACTCCCCCCCCACCCCCCCACCCCAAAAAAACCATCAAAGTCTCAATAAGATAGTATTCCTTGGGTTAAATTTACTGTTACAGAGTAAAGAGGGCAGAGGTCTGGCTCCAAGATGACTCTCTAGCTAATCCCTGCACCGACAAAGAAGCAATTAATCATTAGAACAGGGACATCTTAGCTGATGCTACTGATTTATGAAGACATCAACTGCAGTAATGATCACTACTTGCACAATTCATCATTATTCCGACAGCTTGGCAGGGTGGAAATAAATAAATAATCAATACTCGAAGTATATTTTCCCTACAGTTTCTTGAAAATCTTAATTAAAAGCCACCAAATTCTAGAAAATATACACAAATGGAACCAGGAATTAACAATTTTATACACAACTAAAAGACAGATGCATTAAAATGCCTATTACACATACACATATATATGCTTCAAAAATGAAATTTATTGTCTGCTCTAGGGGTTGTAAAACTTTAATGTATTTTATGTCCAACCAAAAAACCCCAGGTCCTATCTATTATAATGGGCACTTTTTTGAAAAAGATTTTTTATTCTTGTAGGCATTCTTTTATTATATTTATCATATATTATGAATTTTATGAAACTCTGCTGTAGTTTACAATACATCACACAATATCTCATGCACAGCAAACACTTTATTTTTTGTTTTGGGGAAATGAAAGTAATATTGGAAATGGTTTGTTACATTTACGACGATAGCAGACTCCTGTCATTTTTCTGCCTGAATCAAATCAGCAAAAAGCACTATTGTCCAAATAAAAAAAAAATTAGAAAGCTCAACATAAACACAACACATTAAACTTCAAGTAAGGGTAGTGACCACAATTAAGACTAACTTGGTCATTAAGCAACGCTGTCATTAAACAAAACAGTTACTGTGTTTATGATCTTTCTTTCTACTTACTACTTTGCTTTACAGACCTGCAAAGGTCATAAATGTGAGGATGTGAGTACCATGATAACAAGTTACAATGGAACTATCAATGGTCCCTAACTATATAGCATGATAGACAGACAAAGACTCTGAGAATACCGTGGACACCCAAGAAAACAATCTGATATATCATTGAACAAATCAACCCAGACTTCTCACTCAAGGCACAAATGACCAGGCTCAAATTATCTTTCTGCAGACATATTATGAAAAGACCTAGCAGAAGAGGACAACCAGCAGCAAGATGCATAAATCTTACAATGGTAATGAATGCACCATTGGCAGACTTGAAAGAACAACTTAGAGACAGATTGTCATAGAGAAAATCTATGTGGTCAGTAATAATTGAAAATAACTTGGCACATAATCAACTTCATAGCACGATAGCAGGTCTGGGTCAAGAAAAATGGGACAAAATAAATTCCTAGGAAGATCTAAATAAGCTGGATATGATTTTAAAAGAGGATAGCAGCAAAACAAGAAGTGTTACAGCTATTTTAAGCTTCTGAAAGGGAAGCTCTATTCTATAGTTTTTCTCTGCACTTAGCAGATGGACAGGAGCCACAGGCTGTCTTGAAATCAGTCAACTTAGAAGCTATCACCAAACTTGTTTCCTAGTGAATGTCTATTTCAATAATAATTACAATGTCTTTTCTGTTTCTGTATTCTATCAATACTGGTGCAGCTATTTGTGTTGTCACAAGATCCTTTCTTGCATTAGTTATGTAAATCTTTCAATGGAGGTGATTCACCACACACAGAAATGCAACATGCAGAAAGCTGGGAAAGCATTCTTATACAATAAACCTGAAAGATGTATCAGCTTTAACAATTTCAAAAACTCTCCTATAAAAATATTCCTGTGAATTCCAAATCAATTCTTCTGAAGAATCTGTAAAGTCTTTCTAGTTTTTATTAATTTTAGTTTGGAGAAACCAAGTTATGCACTAGAAGTAATTACAAGGAGTGTAAGAAGTATGCCTAAAATAATATTTTTTAAAAATATGATTATCTTCTTTGCACAGATATATTTCAAAATATCCTTTTGTCTACCAAAATATATTTGGAAAATGCTTTCAAATTATTGTTTCACAATTTAGCACAACTAGAAAGTTTTTTATTGCTTCACACTCATAGTGTGAGTTTTCAGGTTTAGTTTTATAGGTGTTTTTTTTTTAATATTCTGTAACGTTCCAAATTTAATTCTGTATCTTTTCTGTAGTTCCTTATTTGACATAATAGCACAGCCAAGAATTTGGTTACCATTTGTATTATGTATAGGTTTATGACAAGCTCAACTTGTACTTCAGGATCAAAATCAATTACAGAGAAAGATCTTCCTAATTACTATCAATACGTTTCTCTGCTAAAATCTATGTAGTAGTTCAGAACTCTTTATCTGACTTGTAACACTAGAGATATGTTGTTTCATCAAACTATTTTACTGCTTCTGTAATAGCAAAATTACTTATGTGTAATTATGTAATATGTTATGCCATCACAGATAAAAATCTGTAAGTGAATATTTTTTCCCAAATAATCATTCTACTTCTACACACCCGTTTTTCTATGTACACTACCCTAAGAATATAATTTACCTTAACTACAATACATTATAGCATCATATATTATTGCTGGATAACCTGTACTGCTTTTGCACAACAGCTCCATCTTGTGACAGTTGGAGGCTTTGAAGCAAACCAAGGTACTATTTAAGAACTTTCCTGCCTTTATATTTTGTAAATAATTCAAGGTGGCAAGCACACACAATACTTCTTCCTTCTATTTAATTAGCTGATGGATAGAACCATGTAAATATATTGAATTGTACTAACAACTTCACTAAATTCAGAAGTAGTATCTTATTATTAAACAAAATATAAAGGTTCTAGACAAAAAAAAAAAGCTTGAGACCTTCAGTGTTGCCGCCATGTTTTATATTGTCATTCTTTCATGTAGGTTCAATTATTCTAAGCTATCCTTTCATATTCAGTACCGCAGTTCTGATTTTTCCCCTTCTTTCTCCCCAAAGTCTATCATCTCAGCCTCTGTCCTATAATGTAGTCAATAAATTCTGGAAACACTTCAACATTCATCACTGGCATAAAAAAAATTGTGCTACTTTGCAAATTTACAGTAGCACTATACTAGAAAATGCACTAATAATTTGTTCAGTATGGCAAATGTAAAAATGTAATCCATCATAATTCAGTAATATTTTGCAGATTCCAGTACTGTCAAAGTCAGTCTGTTTCAAATTTTGTTGGATTAAATAAATTTCACTTTTAAGTGTTTTTAAATAATCACTCAAGATTAGATAGCTATTTTTCTTAGATTCTTTTGAAGTTACAATTAAATTATCGCATCTGTTCTCCTTGAATTGATTATCACTATTTGACATGAGAAACTGATCTGTTGTCCCATGTGGTAGATTTAATAGCTACTAGCCCAATAGTCACTGCCCCAACCTCGAAGGATTTAAAGGAGCAGCTGCTTCATCCCCAATCATTTTTCCATTCAATCCCAATAGCACATCACAACAAAGCAGATTCAGCTCAGCAAATCCAATCTTCCCGGCCATGTTATTAGACAGAAAGTACAATCAGCAAATTAGTTAATAGTCCAGTAAGGAGCTGACATTGTAAACTCCATAAAAGAAGTTTTGAGATTCTGCAGGCCAGTAATAATAGAAGCAAGTACAATATGCAAAAGCGATCAAAGCTTAAACTCCTCTATTCATATTAGGCAGAAAGTCTCCCCGGGGGAGCCTAGTGATTTTAAGGGCGAATTATTAAAAAGAGCATCAAGCCCTTTTTTTCTAAACCTTGGCGAACAACTAATTCAGTGCTCCTCCATACACACCAGTATTCTCCTAAAGAGACGACTTGGACTCCGACGAGCTCGGGAGGCTTAGCCCCTCCGCCGAGATGGACAAAATGGCGCAAAGCTCGGTCTATTTTTAAGAACAAGGAGGAGTGCTGTGGTTTCTTGAGGAGGGCGCCATCGTCTTTCTTTTTCCGTTCGCCCACCCACATCAAACCGAGAGGCTCCGAAGAATCTCCCGCCCAAGACCCATTTCCCGGCGTAGCAACCGTTTGAGGAAAACGCGAAGCGATCGCGCCTCTGTCAAATGTCTACCTCTCAAGCCCTCGGCGCCGTCCGCTAGAAGGTCGTCGGAGCTTATCTTTGCTTCATCACATTTCTCGGGTCAGAAGAACGGAGGAGCCCAGCGGTTCCGGGGACGAACCTGCCAAAACGGAGGGAATGTGAGGCCTACCCGGTCGTCCTTGAGGGCACTCTCAACCGCAGCCGACTCTAAGCGAAGCGGGCGCGCGGGGCTCCTTCACCACGCGGGGAAGCCACATGTCAAGTCTCGCGAGGAGCGGGAGCCACAACGGTCCTTTTGAAGGTCACGTGATTCGGGGGGGTCGCCCTCGGGCCTGGGTGGGCCGAATTTATTATTTTTTTTCCTCATCGATTTGATAGGTCCATATAGCACCGAAGTTTAATGCCGTCCAGGACGAGTTTACAAACACAAATGACATGGGATACTTTCCGAGATTTCTTTTAGGCCGCTTTTAACGAACAAGCCAACCACTCGTTTCTTCGTGAAAACGGCGCGACCTCTCGCGGTAGGATCGGCCCTGAAAAAATACAGGCTCGCGATGCATTGTGGAACTTGTAGTTCCAGAGGCGGCCAGTTTGGGCTCGTAAAGGTAGCAAGCTGGAACTCCACGAGCTGGTAGCCGATGCTAGGAAGGCAAACACATCTCGGAACAGCATCTTATTACTACTATATTAATTGTTATAGCCGCCTACTCCAGATTACAAAATCCAGCAAAAATATTTAAAAATACAACACAGGAAAAAAAAAACCCTCAACAGGGCCTTGGCAAATACAGTAACCTCTCTCAAGGGCAAACATTTACGGTCCGGCTCAGCAATATTAGTGACTTGAGCCATGCTAGCAATGGATGAATTAGGCCAGTTGATCTAGTTATAGCTCTTTCCTACTGCTGTCCACTCTTCACTGAATTGGGGGGGGGACTAGAGGTAGTTCTTGACCATGACCACAACTGAGCCCAAACTTTTGTTGGGGGCAATAGGCTGACTCTAAACCATTTAGAAAGGGCTGTAAAGTATTTTTCGCTCCATAAGACACACTCCCCACCCCAAAGTGGGTGGAAATCACTGTGCGTCTTTGGTGAATAGCAGCTGGGCCACGGCGGAGTCCTTTTACAGTGCTGAACCCCACCTCTTCTGTCTCTTTTCCGCAGTGCAGGAGTCAATAGGCAGAGCTGGCACATGAGAAGTCACCTATCTGTGGTCCTCTTGGGCTCTGCCTGAAAGTTTTTTGTCTTGTTTTCCTCCTCTAAACCGAGATGCCTCTTATGGTAAGGTGCATCTTATGGAGCAAAAAATATGTTAAGTCTATTATTTATTTATTTTATTTTATTTTATTTTATTAGATTTCTATACCGCCCTACTCCCGAAGGACTCAGGGCGGTGCACAGCCAAACAATAAAAACACATACATACAAAATTTAAAAATAGAATAAAATCAAATTAAATAATTTTGGCCCCGACAAATTTAAAACCCCAAACTTTTAAAACCAATTTAAAATTGAATATATAAAATACTAAAAGATATTTAAAATTTTAAAAATCTGTTATAAAAGAGGGGGAAAATTAGGCCAGGCCGGCCTGGTGAAATAGTAAGGTCTTTAAAGCGCGGCGGAAGGTGCGCAGATCCGGGATCCTCCGTATCTCTGGGGGGAGCTCGTTCCAGATAGTAGGTGCCCCCACAGAGAAGGCTCTCCCCCTGGGGGCCGCCAGTCGGCATTGTTTGACTGACGGCACCCGGAGGAGCCCCTCTCTATGGGAGCGTACCGGCCGGTGGGAGGCTATTGGTGGTAGTAGGCGGTCCCGCAAGTCTAAGTGCTATTGCTATTTTTTGTTGCTAAGCAAGACAATTGTTAAGTGAGTTTTGCTCCATTTACCACTTTTTTTGCCACAGTTGTTCAGTGAATCACTGCAGTTGTTAAGTTAGTAACACAGTTGTTAAGTGAATCTGGCTTCCCCATTTATTTATTTTTTGCTTTAATTTATATGCCGCCCTTCAACCTTGAGCCTGGTAAGATTTGAACTTGCAGTAATTGCAAGCAGCAGTTGTTAATAACAGTGCTTTAGTCCACTGTACTATAGGCTCTTTTTGACTTTGCTTGTCACATGTCCCCACGACACTGTAGCCATCATACATATAGACAAGTTGTCAAGTGCCCAAATCTTGTTCAGGTTACCATTCAATTGTTTTAAGTGTGAAAAATGGTTAGAAGTCACTTTTTTCAGTGCCATTGTAACTTTGAACCGTCACTATAAACAGATCGTTGTAAGTCAAGGACACGTGTATCAGCATGAAATTTCCTGTCCTAATTGCCAATCTCTAGCCTGCCACTTCCTCTACCTCCAATTATTACTGACTGCTTGTTTCTCTCTAGGACAGGGGTGTGAAACTCAGGTCAGCACGTTGGCATCGTCAACTTCTTTCCCCTTCGCTAAACCGGGCGTGGGTGTGGCCAGTGCATGATGCATCCAGCCCACAGGGCTGGGAGTTTGACAGCCCTGCTCTAGGATGATGGATGACAAAAGCTAATAGTTACTTAGATGGTGGGTGAATAAAGAGAAATACTATTTTAACACTATCTTGCCCTCCTTATGCTGGTTTAGGACTATAATAAAGATTTGATTGATAGATACTTAAGCACAATGGCTTAATCTTTTTCACTCATGGGCTTGGAATAGTGAAGGTCCAGTAGAAAATAAAGATACAGCCAGGACATGTTTATGCCATGTGCCAGCAAATGTGGAAAGGCCCTATAATTTGTTCACAGGTTTATTTGATATCATTGTGATCTCAGGGACATTCAGAAGCAGGATATGATTTAAAATTACCCTGAAGAGGGAAAATAAAAATATTTCCATTTCTATTGTGAATTTGAAGAGTGCTTCAGCAGCTAGGAAGAGAGGCTGAGGAGTTGTAAAGTTGAGATCTTTATGAGGTGGGAGACAGATGTGGGTATCACTTTTTAGTACTGTATAATTGTGGGAAGCCGCTCCCCCCTCCTAAAAGAATGAAATATTTTGGGAAATATTAAAAAGGCAGAATATTATATTTCCCCAAAGGGAGAAATGGAAAAACATGCTCTTAAAGACAGAAAGCAGACTCAGTCTTTCTTAATAGCAGCCCCCCAGCAGATATTTTGTGCCCATTAAGAAAGACTGGGCCAGCGTATCTACAAAACAAAAGACCTTCAGCTCCAGGGTGATGGGATTAAGAACAGGGCATGATCCTTCAGGACATAATAGGATTAACCCATTACCAATAACAGAAGTCACAGAGATCACTACACTGCATAATCTCATAAGAGGATTTCAGACATTGCACAACCCCACTAGCAGCATCTCTGAAATTTATAAAAATCCATGTACTCATCAAACCAATTGGCCAGCTCTACCAGAACCACAAACCCTGGTGGTTCTGTTCATCCATAAATGGACCTTTCTTTCCAATCAGCCTCTTATTTTATTTCTAGCATCTTTCTCCCAGCTTGGAACTGAACCAGATGGATTTTTCTTTCAACACTGTGTTCCTCCTATTCCTTTTCTTGTGCATGTTAATGGTAAAGGTACACCATTATAGATCTGCCCTTTCTTATCCATCGGGATTTTTATGTTAGTGTTCCTGCTATGGGATTACTTTCTGAATTCATGTGTCCTCTAACAATTGTTTCCATTCATTGTAAGTACTGCATAACCTAAAACACTAATGCCTAATACTGTTTCCTATCCTTTTCTTTGCCATTCTTTTTTTCATATATGTTAAATTGTTCAGATTATTGCTCTTTAGGAATGGACTGTTTTGTTTATAATATGTGTGCAACATGTTTTAGATTACATTTAAATTTGAAATAATAACATAGCAGGTCTCCACCATTACATCACATTGCATATTTTGGGGAAAATATTTGTGTTTTCTTAGAATGATAGCATTTAGCATAGAGAGCCAATTTAGTATAGTAGTTAAGGCAACAGGTTACAAATCAGAAGACTGTGAGCTCTGGTTCTGCCTTAGGCAGAATGGGATGACTTTGGGCTGGTCACTCACTCTGAGTCCAATTCACCTCATTGGGATATAATTATGGGGAAAATAGAAGAAGGAAATAGCATTAGTTATGTTTGCCATCTGAATTATTTAAAAATAATAAATTGGATAAAAAATTAAATAAATATAAAGACTTTAAAGCAAATATGAACTATGTAGAATAATTACATCCATTAAAGAGTATTTATTTTCATATTTTAAGATGCAAAAATGTTAATTACACACACAAAATACATACATGAACTTAAGCCAAGGAAAATTATTCTAAATAGTGTAAGCAATGTGTTTGTCCTGATGTTTATAATTACAATATCATATCCTCAAGTTAAATATGTTTTGGATTAATATATGACTTCCTAGTCTCCATTTGTTTTTTAGAGATAACTTAGAACAGACACTGTGTAAAGCCTTGAAGTATGTGAGGAAGGGGTGGGGTGGGGGAAATAAAATGGAAAGAAAATGATACTAAAATGATTATTTCTCAGATTATAAAGTATTGTAAAAATACAAAGTATTTTTTTATCTGCATGCATGCCAACAAATCGCAATGTAACCTAATTATGAACTGTTTATACATATTTTGGTGGAATCAAAGTTAATTGTTAGAACAACTAAAGAATAAATTATTGCTAAAACATACGACTTTTCACAAGGACTGTAAAAATAATTCTTTTTAAGAGCTATGTTGGGAATAGAAAATAAAGCTGTTTCAGAATTCAGTGGTCAACCTTTAAACACATTCAGGACAAAATTACAAGAATCTTAGGCTACAGTTAGTCCCTCTGAAAATTAGGATTGTTTCTTGAGTTATAGAATAGCAATACGCAGGGTAACGTTTGTTCTCTCTTGTATTATGCTGTCACAATGCTAGAAATTCAAATAAAACTACAGCACTACTGTTTTTAACCAGTTTTCTTTCTTTTGCTTACAGTCATCTGGTAAAAAATATCACTGAATACGTACAGTTGACTAGAGTATTCCTGAAGAAAAAAATCATACATGATATAAAATTTTGTTAGAAAGTAATTCTATCACCCTGAATGAAAGATCTTCAACATTTATTAGCCAATGAACACATCTGAGATTTTAAGAGAATGAGTGCCATGAAGACAGGCTACAGTATGTCAATTATGTATTGCCACCATCAAGAAAAAAAAAAAAAATAGTGGGTGGCCTGGCCATTTTGCCATCATGGCAGGATCAAATTCGGAGGGTGGGTCGGTCGAAACTGATCCACCAGGATTCCCTCCTCCCATGGAGGGTCTGCAGTTGATCCAGCAGGGAGCCGAAGCCCGTCTGTATCGGGGCCAATTCTTAGGCAGGCCGACCGTGATGAAACTCCGGTTCCCGAAACGTTACCGGCACCCAATGATGGATGAGAGGCTCAGCCACAAGCGAACGGCACAGGAGGCCCGTTCGTTGCTACGCTGTCGATGGGCAGGGATTTCTGCACCTGTTGTGTACTTTGTGGACTATGTTGTCAACTGTATATATCTTGAAGACATTGTAGAATCAACTACTGTTCGGGACTATATAATCTCCCAGCAGCAATCTGGTGAAGGTATCAGCAATCTTATTCAATTAGCTGAAAAGATAGGAGAGATATTGGCACGAATGCATGATGAAGACCTCATACATGGGGATCTCACAACGTCTAACATGCTTTTGCGACCACCCGTGGAGAGGCTGGAGTTGACATTAATAGATTTTGGACTAAGTTTTATTTCTGGCCTTCCTGAGGATAAAGGTGTTGATTTATATGTCTTAGAGAAAGCCTTTTTGAGTACCCATCCAAACACAGAAGCTCTGTTTGAAGCACTGTTGAAGAAATACTCAGCTGCATCTAAAAAATCAATTCCAGTGATAAAAAAGCTGGATGAAGTACGATTAAGAGGAAGAAAAAGATCTATGGTTGGATAAAGAATGCAGACAACACAGGGAGAAAAAGAAGAGGAACTTAAATTTTATATGTCCTTTAAATATTTTCAGTTATGTCTAATAAAATTGAATTTGGTTGTTAACAAAAAAAAAAAAATAGTGAAAGGAACCTGGAAGATGCAAGTGAAAAAGCATGGTCCTCTATTTGGAGGAAAAAAATTCCAAAGGTAATATTTCTGGATCCCACTGTATCTAAGGAAAAATGGTCTATTAGAGGAAGTGCGAGAAGTAAAAATTCATCCTGAGCAGCAGTTAAAATTATTCTCAAAATTTAACTGATTTTCAGTTACAGATAATACTATTTTACGGTAGATTTGGAAAACTGTAATAGGATTTAATAGTTATACAACTATTCCATGCTTTACTACTTTGAAACATCAAATAAATTTACTTAAAAAAAATATGAGATTCTCAGATCTTGAGTTTTAGTATAACATTTGACTTAGTGATGATTTTTTTATAACCTGTGATTGTAATATGCAGCCCTCTTTCCACCTTGCTATATTTCTTTTATTTTTGTGTGCATATACATATATGTATAATATACTGAAAAGGTCAATGTAATTCAGTACTGCTTAACATATATACCAAATATTGCTAAAAGTTTATGAAGAGTTTCATGTAAAAAAACCTTATTCTAATAACCTAAAGACAATGTGCAATTATTCCTTGTGAACTAATAGCGTGTGAAAGTGTGTCTGTGTATAAGAAAAAGAGGGAAGCAACTTTCAGGAAATGCTAATGTTAGGAATGGTAAACAGCACCTACAAAACTCATACATGAGCTAAGAATATTTTTTAAGAAATGCCAAAACAAAATAGACAACTTGATGGCATGTAATCGTCATCATTGCATTTCAGATAAAGCTTTTCTTCAACAATGGAGATGTGAGTTTTTAATACTAAAAAAAAAAATACATTGCCATAACTGGATTGATCCATAATGATAATTTACTTAAAACCCCAACTTTACTAAAAGATGTACAATCCCTTAAAAACCTTTAATCTGATTTTCTTCCCTTCCCAGGAAATGTTTGCATTTTTTTAAAAAAAATTCAAGGTAGTTTTAAAAAGTACATAACAATAAACATTATTTGAGAGAGAATTTTGCAAATAATTTATTCATACAATAAGAAAAATTGTCTGTACTTGTAATCATTTATTAAATCTAATTAACCAAATATGCAAGCTTCATATTCTGTGGTGAGCATCATTTGTAAAGCATATGTATATGTTGAAGCAGAAGTAAGCTCTTTCCCAAAATAATTGGTACTTTTAAGATACAGATAAACACAACCAATAGCAAATTATACTATAGAGTTAATAGCCATATTTAATCTACAAAGCTGCATTCATTATTTTTATGCCATACTTGTGTTTTGGAATAACTTTTGTTTCTGCTTTAGCTAGTTAACAAAACAGCATGTAAGTAATATTTCCAGTGGGAGAGCTGTCTTGATTTGCAAGAGCAAGAGCAAAGAATCTTCAGGTACTCTACAAACTGAAATAAAGATAGGGCATACATTTCTCAGGATCAGTTTCATTAGTTGTATGAATTGTTGTAAATTGAAAAGTGATTATATATACACAATATAAATAAAATGATCAAGTATTTATGAAAAATTAATAGATGTACAGTTTATAACAATACATTGTAAAAAGAATTTTGAACATATTTTTAAGAAAGTGTGAAAGCTTTAACTTATTCTTCAAAGTAACATTTTTTTGCTGAGATACTCTAACATCAACAGAATTTCATGTCTAAAATTCGTACATCCAGTTTTGCAGTATTTCTTGGATTAATTCTTCAAAACACCAACTACCTTAATATTGAGGGCTTGAACTGACATCTTAATAGTTATTGAACACAATTGCAGTTTAGATTTGACTTGCTTACCTTTGAGCATGACAAATGTTAAGGACAACCTGTGAGAAAAATATTGCCTTATGTCATCTATCACAATTCTGTGACACACATGGCAAATTATGAATAAATATATCTGAGTATATGACATGGATCACTGGAATACTTGAAATAGTTATGCAGAACTTTTCTCAGTTAAAAGTCCCCAAAGCTTGGATGCATTATTTATTTTATTTATTTATCAAATTTATTTCCGCCCATCCCACAGTTCAAGGTGACCGTGTGGCTCAGCTTTTAAACATTAGCTTAAAAATCAACTACAGTATTTGGTTATCTCATTTAATTTTTTTGGAATTGGTGTACATCAATCCACATTTCATAAATTATCAACAAAGGTTGTAGAATGCCTGTAAATTATCCACTACATTACATTCAGCCATTTCTTCACAAAGAAAAGGATATGTTCTCATAAACAAGATGACACATGAGCTGGTATCTTATGGATTTCAATAGTAGCAACATTCACACAATGAAAAGTATATTTTGCCTTTTGAGAAATAATAGCTATGTAAGAAACAAATGAATTATACTGCACAACTGAGATGAACACGTTGTCCCTGGCTGTGAAGAAAGCAATCCAAACAAATATGCTGAATTTCAAGACTACCATCTAAGGATGCTGGTCAATTGGAAGAAATATCACAGATATTGGAAGACTCAATTTAAATATATATGGAATAATAAATATAACAGCATTTAAGAAAAAAACAGGATTAAATTTGAGAATTTGTTGAGGTTTCTCCTTGATTTACATTTTCTGCTTGCACTGAGGGATTCAAAAATTGTCCTGATGCTCCAATGTATAGGCGTGATCTCATTGGCCATTTCTAGAAGATGAAGATGCAAGATAATTAGTATTGCTTGCACAAATGCAGGAAACCAGCAGCTTTATTAGCAATTACATGAATTAAGCCAGTTCATTTAAGAATACGTTTATCAGTTATGGAACTAAACATTCTCCCATTTTTTATAACCTGCTGTTTGCATTGGACCAATGCAAATAGTAAGCATGTGTAAATGGTATGTGGGAATGCTCTTGGGAGACAGAGAAAAACCAGCCAGGGGAACAGCTGAATAAGAAGTAGCTGAGTTTGCAGCAAAAATGTGGGTGTGACAAACTCAGAAGGGACACTCCCTAAGTTTTTTGGGCTGTACAAACAATGGGGGAAAATATACTTTGAGACTTACAAGATCTGTTAATGAAACTTTACAATAATAATTCAGATAGCTCATCAGGATGTGTTTCTTGTCTGGATCACCTTGCAAGACTGACATCATGAGAGGGAGAACTATGTAGATTAGTATGGAGAAGGAAGAAGATCTTGCTACCTCATTAGATACTGTACCTTTAGATTGAGCTCTTACGCCCATTTAATTTTATTGTGGCGCATGTCTACAATTACTGACAGCTTATCTCTACAAAAGATTTACAAACTGGTGGCAGAAGGTAAAAAATATAGGCCAGCACATTTATTAGGTTTAAATCATCATAAACTACTGCCCTACATTAGATATTATTGCTCATATATTCTGCTTGAAGAATATCATGTGTTTTCATCCATGTGTGTTTTCGCACCAGATTCTTAAAAAATAAGTTTTCATAAAAGTACACCACATCCAATATGAGATTAGTAAATACGTCTGTAAATTTTATATTTAGAAAAAATGCAAAGTTTAATAGCATTTATGTAATCCTACACACACACACACACACACACACACACATACACATAAGCACTTTGATCCTGTGTTTGCTTATTTCAGATAAACACAACTATATGGAATTTATTTTCTCATATACACATATCAGAAAATAAATCCCATTGATTTAGTTGTGTTTATCTAAAACAACTAAGCAAAGTGCTCATGTCACAATTATATACGGGTACAGGTTTCCAACAGTGTGATTTATTAAAATAGAAATAATTGCCGGTGCTATTTACTTCTCAGTGTTATTAGCCAGACCTAATGTAAAATCATAAATTCCATTAATCTGTGAAAAAATGGGGAATGAGCTCTTCTGGTTTTATAAACTAATTTCAAAAAATTAGAAAGGCACTAAATGATGGCAAAGAAATACAGAGAAACATTGCAATGCCATCCAGTTTTGCAGTTTTGCCTGCTGCCTTGCCAAATGGGATAATCTGGTAGATGATATCTAAACAGAACTTCAAATTGCAAGTAAAGTGGCATTGTGAAGAAGACATTATGAAAAAAATCTTTTTCTAGAATTTCTGTGACGTGTCTCTAAAATAAATTATAATATTTTTCAAAAGTTTACCTCTGACATAATATACAACCTATTGAATAAAAACATACAATTCAGAAACCTTCAGTAGTTAAATATACTGTAATGCAGAATCAATTGGACCATATTTATGGCATGTCTCTTGGTCGTGACTAACACCCGGTTTCTTGACAATGATTTGAAAATGCTCCTGAGATGTCAATGCTGTTTCAATTATTTTAAGACAATGCTTTACTTGTTCTGCTCTACATTATCATTTCTGCTGTATGTACTCCTATATTATAGCCAGAATGAGTTTTTAAAAACAATTCAAAATATAATTATTTTTTGCTAGAGGACAAATGCGTGACTAATTCTATACGAAGCCCATCATTGGTTTACATTTCAATAAAACTATTTTTAAAAAGTGTATACAGCTTCATTCAAGATTACTGTTAGATAATGTTAGTTTTGGAAACAAATAATGAAAGGACTACTTATATCAAGATCCATTTAGTTTGGTTTAAGGTAATTCTTAATTACTAGGTCTTTAACTAGTAGTTTCTTGAATTAAGCTAAGTGTAATTTATTAAAGAAATTACTTATTAACAAGCTAGTAGTAAGGGGAAGTCCTTTTGTAGTTTGAACTTGCAATATGAACTAAAGATGTTTCATAAGGCAGTGGATTTTACATTGGGGTAATTACTCCCGAATGGGATATATTTGGACATATCTTGGGGGAAATGGGGCAATTTACAATGACATGTTTGTGAACTGAGTAACCAGTTTGGGATTGTCAGTCAAAGTGCTTGTGTAAAAGAACAGAATCTATTTTTTGGTGGGAATAATGACATTATTTGAGACCAGGAAAAGGGATATCTGGCTCAAACAGTTTACAAGTTACTGTCATAAGTCATAAACTGCTTTGTAATAAAATCTTAAAACCTTGTCCCTGGTGTTGGGCATAATGATTATGGTACACAGAGGTTTAATGCTGTATCTATCTGAAGTGTCATATGTAATTACATCAATGAATTGTGGTTCAGTTGGTTCTAATTGATTCTGCTGATTCTGTAATGCTAAAGCTTTCTTGTATAGACTAGTGTACTTGTATATTAGTATGCCCTTTTGCTTGAAAATTTCTGCACAATGGAAAGGTTTTCAAACAATGCTATGATTGGACCATCTAGGGAAAAAAAATTACTTGTTTTGCCTTGCTTACCTTAACAGGGTGTAGGTAGCCATCCCCTCTCAGGGTTCCCAAGCCCTTGCCAGGCAATTCTTCTTCATCCTGCAAGCTGCGGGTGAGATGGGCAATGTAGGTGGTGGCTAGAAGCAATACATCCAACTTGGAGAGCTTAGTGTCAGGTGGTACAGAGGGCAGAGTTCTCTGTAACTCCAAGAAGGCATGTCGTAGGGTCTGCACTCGGCTACGCTCTCGGGCAGCGTTGGCTGCTGCAGGTCTCCCCAAAGTTGCCCCATTCTGTTGTCCTAAGGAGTTAGTGCCAGATGTGGAGGGTGGCAGGGAGGCATTTGAGCTTGGAATATTGACCTTGATGTTCTCGGGTGCATTTTTATAGTCCATTGATAAGACCAAACCTGCAACCAACATGATGCAAATTCCCAGCTTATACCTTGAATTGTCACAACCATATTTTCTTTTTTAGAACTATATTGCTATCTAATTTTTAAGAACTTTTTGTTACAATTTTCAGTATGCTGCAATATATTCTGTTAATGTGGTACCCTGTGCCAGCAACCACTAACCTTGCAGTTTTATTTTCAAGATAGGAGAATTCAGCTGAAAAATCATCAGCACATAATTCTAACAAATGATTCACAATTCTAATGCATTCTCAGAAAATAATGACCACATTTAAACACTATATTAGGACATATTTTTAAGCATCTTAACTTGAAATATATTTGGCGCCAACATTTATTATCTTTGAGAAGAAGTGAATCCCAGTGAATGTGACTTAGTATCTAGCAGAAACGATTAGTGTTGAAATGTTAATAAAGTGTTCCGATAAACATAAAAAGTCAAGCCGTGCACAGCTCCCAATTACTTTATAAATATATAAAGTACATTTCTTTACAGTAATGTGGAAGTGATTTTCTTCCTGGATTTTTAGATATTTTTATGCATTTATTTTTTACCTCCCAGTAGTCCCCAAACTACAAACTGGGATCTTCTGATGGTTCTACAAGTAAATACTAAAGAGATCCAATTCCACCCATTTATTTGGATGATTATTTAAGATTAAAGGCTTCTACCACACTAAAATAAATAAATATGCAAGAATATAAGCCTCAATTGTGAACTCATTTATTGAACTGCTTTTCTCTTTGGTACTGATACATGCTGACTTTAAAAGATAAAGATTAAATAGATTTGGAATATTATTTGGAATTCTTTTAAAAATGAGTGCTTTTGCAATCTGTAACCCATAAAGTACATTGAATCTAACTTGTATTTGCATTCAGTAAATCTTATATTTATTGAGAACTGTATTCACCTGGACTGTGCCTTATGAATTATAATCTAATCTCTATAGTTATCAATAGTGGTTTTTGTTAGCAAAACTAGCAATTAATTAATAAAAGCACATTAAATTTGTGTGCTGCCCAACTTTATTATTTAACTTTAATAAAACAATTTTTCTCAGTTACAGACTTTTCTATTCAGCTGAAGATGCTTTTCTGAAATCAAGCAATGGAGGAGAGGAGACATAAAGGGATAAAAAGAAGGTAGGATTGGAAATAATTGCTCTCTATGAAGTTTTTCCTGGTCAGCTTGAGAACTGCCTCAATTTCAGTTTCAAGTTTCTAAATTTAAAATGGATTATTGAATAATAAATTATTTTAAACAAAATACTGGTAGATTTTTCCCTGAGTTAACATGGTTACATGGTTGCCCTACAATTATGCCTTTTGTAAGGGCCTAATAGGTTTTCAAATGTATCCAATTCTTTTTTGTTTTAAAATATTTATTAGCATAATTATTCATTAGTTCTGATTTAAATTTTAGTATTTAACACTTAGCTTATTAAAACTATACATTAAAACTATTTTATAATTGGGCTATTTTACTGCAAAAGATTGTATTTAAGTTGTATTAAGTTGTATTAAGATTGTATTTAAGTTGACTGAGTTTTTCAATTAAAGCTGCATTTGTGCAGGTCAATGAATTTATTGGATATTTAAAATTTCTTTATACAGTATATGGTTTTATTTATTTAGTATTCATTCATATACTAGGAAAGAAAGCTTTTGGTGTAGAACACTATTCTACATATTTATCTGAATTGCACATAGATGGAAAATATTTCTGGGGCTTATTTCCACATACATATTTAACACCTGAACAATCAGACTAAATAGCCCGTATAACATTGGCATCTCAATTCAAAATGTGAGACCAGTGGGAAAAATCCCACCGATTTGAAAGTCATATATATCTAAATTCACGCTATTTTTATTCACAGCCCTATTTCACTTAGAATTTGTCTATGTATTTTTAAAAACTAAGTATACGTATTTACATGCACATTAACCATATAAGAACGGTCATTGGACGCATTTAAAGTTTTCAAATCTATTGTACTTCTAAAGTAAATAATCAGAGCAAACCAAAACTCATATTAGCGCTCCTCGCTACAGATTACAGAGGCTAAATAAATCCTTTAAAATGATTTGGATTGCCTTTTGCACCGGAGAGTATTGCAACGCTTAAGTAACCTGTTCTCTAAGATTGCCTCGCTTGCATATTATTTTCTTATGAAGATATTGAATTGGAAACAATTCAAAGAGGAATAGCAGGATACGAGCGAATAAACGGTGGTTACTCGGCAATAAAGTTTAGGAAAATGAGAGGGATCCACACACGACTTGCAATTCAAACTGCTTTGAGGATCTTTAATTCCAGAAAGGCACGATCTATCGTAAGCCTGTTGGCAAGTTCGCACAACTGCGGCGCACGGAGGGGTTGTATAGAATTAGGGGGCGACCAGATTCGTGTATCTACCCAAAGAGCGCGAGGGAGCACTGCCAGAGTATTGAAAAGTTGCCTCAGAAAGAACTTACTTGATCTCCTGGGGGCCCCGATCAGGGAGACTGAGCGCCGCCGCTCTCCCGTTGCAGATCTAGTCCAGGACGGGTGTGGGGAAGCCCCGGGCTTTTATAAGGGTTGGGGAGCGCGCCCACCAGCGCTCGGCTTTCGCTGACGCCTCTCCCCCACCCCCCTTATCGCGTCGCCCTCTGCCCTTCCCGGCCGGCTCTCTCGCCTGCGGGGAATCGAGGCTGCTGCGCGCGAGGGCGGAACTGCCTCTCGCAAAGCCTCAACGGGTGCGTCCCCATCTTCGTACGCGCTCCGTCCTCCGACATCCAGCCGCCACTTCGCGACAGTCGAGTCGGATCGCCTTCGAATGACTTACCAGGTTGCAGATCTACGCAATTTTCCTGGCGTCGTGAAACCTCACTGGTTTCCCATTGCTTTTCCAACCGAGTGTCTCGGCTTCTCAGAGAGGCTTATTGGTCTGGCCTTCACAGATAGCCCACTGCCCAGATCGACGAAAAGAAGAGCCTGGCATCATCTCGCAAAAAGTATGAAATATTAAGAACTCCTTCCTAAGCAACACGGGTTGGGGGCAAGGACCCACTCAGACACTTTTGGGATGATCTCTCAGCCAACCTAATTCACAACCTGTTGTAAATGGGGCTTAGGTGTACTGTTGCATATTACAGGTAGGAAGAAATAAATAGAAATAAGAACGTATGTTTTTATAAATGATACATGTATAATATGAAATTAATAGAAAGATAACCATTCCATAAAGGGTTTCTTTGACAGCTGTTGAATCCAGGGGTGTGTTAAAATACTGAAGATCTGGGCAGTAGAATAAGCAGGCACATAAGTCACTTCGCATTACCTTCTCTGTACTGTGGAACACTGGATTGTTTTAATATTAGTCACTATTTTTAAATTAAATTTATACATACTAATGTAAAAGTGTGCCATTAGGAAGGCCTATGCACTTTCCCACAAATGCTATGAGACTTCAAAGTGATCATAGATCCTGTCATAGTGAAGCCAGAGATCTCTGCTTTGTAAATCAAGACATTTGTCCATTTAATATATATGTTGGACTTCAACTCTCACAATCTGACCAGCTTCTATTCTGTTTGAAGATTATGAATGCTCACAACCAATACAGCTGGAGGATACCAGTTTAGGAAAAGATAAATTAAATACACATCTATTAATGGCATAACACAACATCTGTGAAAAGTTGTTAGCTGGCTGATCTTTTTCATTTCCTCTGAATATCAATAGAAAGGTTTAGGGATTTTGCTTCTCTCTCCCTCCATAAATGAATATATGTGCAGAAAGTAATTCATTGGAATTAGAATTCCAAATAGCTACTTGTCTTTGAAATGCACAAAAATGCATTTACCAGATGCTTGATAACATTTACAACTGTAATTCATTGGATTTTCAGTAATTGAACTTATATATTTTTCACACTATCTTGTTTAAGATGGAGAACATATTGATTTTGTTATAAGCTATAGATTAACACTATTTATCCACCCAGTAACTACATTTATTGAGCAGCATTTGTTTCTAATTATAACTGCAATTATAATGAGTTGAAACAAAGCCACAGAATCTGTGCTCCTGCTGATTGCCTGGTAGGGTGCAATGATTATTGCTGCAATGTAATAGCACCTTTAAGCCCATGAAAGACAAAGCAAAGCAGATCTCATTGTAGAATAAGGTAGTGGCAGCAGAAAGAATTTAGATTTATCAAGCACCTGATGAAATTAGCTTCCCCGAAAATTTTAAAAACTTAGCATGTGTTGTTTCACTTCACTTCTGTCTTCAGAAAGACCTTGGTACAGTGAAAACAAATGCAATGGGTCCCCTCAGGCAGGACTTGGCAGCAGCAACGTACATTTTCAGGCATGTTGCCAAAGTTTAATGGTGGATGAAGGAGTGTCATTTCACAATCAACAGACAGCTAAATGAGTAGCTCCCCCCAATCCCATACAAACCCCCAGCACATCACACAATAGATAGAAAGCACACACTGGAGTACCCGAGAGGAGGATTCTAGATTTGTTGTAACACTGAATGACAACACTTCTGTGAACATTGCATTGGAGCCTCTCTGGAAGGAACAAACACTTTGCATTATAATAGAAGAAGGGAGGTCAACACAATTGGGGAGGGAGCAAGGTACATAATTATGAGTCAATAGAATCTGTATCCAACATATCTTCCACTGTTAAAGTAGCCTGCTAACCAGCTTTAGTCTTACAATAGGGACTGTAAGAAGACTAGCTTCTTCGGCGCAACAGGTGGCAGCATTAGCAAACATGGTGAATCTTGTAAAAGCACCTTATTGGAACAGAGATCTTCAGGAAATTCTTGACATAAGATGAAAACTAAAAAAAAAAAGCAGTAGTAAATCATGTTGATATTGTTGTCAAGATAATATGTAATGCTACCTATACCTACCAGTAGCATACAATATTTTTTCTTCTCTGGATAAAGCTTATAAATTCCATACTGTAGTGTAATACAACTTTGCAGAATTGGTATACAGGTGTCTTATTTCATTCAATAATTCTTATTTTAAAAAATTAAATAATTCTTATTTAAAAAAAGATAAGGTACACATGTAGGCATGTAGCATTATACCTCGGACTATAAATTGAATAAATTAAACATTAATAATAATAATAAATTAATAGTATTTGGGGAGATTTGCAAGGCTTTTGATTATTATGGCATGAAGCAACTGGGGAATTACATACAAGTGGTAACATGTATTTTGACCACTACACCGTGTGTAGTTATTAGGCAAGTGAGTATTTTGACCATATCATCCTTTGTATGCATATTTTCCACCTCCAAGCTGTATAAACTTGAATGCTTAGTGGATATAAACAGATAAGGTGATGTATATTTGTGTAGTGAGGGAGGGTGGGCCTAAGGAGATCAACATCCTATATCAAGGTGTGCATAATTATTAGGCAGCTTCTTTTCCTCAGGCAGAATGGGCTAAAAAAAGAGATTTAACTGACTCTGAAAAGGCAAAAATTGTAAAAGGGTCACCATGGTCACAAGAATTATTTTGGGATAATTTTCAAAAGATTGTGATTCAACATCCACCTTTTTTATTGCTGGTCAGATAAACAGCATATAATATTTAGGTGATAGTATAATAGAATACACATTTGATATTCACAGCAAATAATTGAAATTTAAAGTTAATTCACTTCATTCTTGTAAGTATAATTTCCTTCCATTTAGTTTCTATTTTCTAAAGTGTTTCCTTTTATAGACAATGGTATCAAAATAGACAAAAGTATTATATTCATTGCTACAAATGAAATAGCTATCTTTCTATTTCATCTGTGTATTTTACCTTTGTGTTTTAATGAATTATACTAAATATATAAAAAGTTTGCATTTATTGTCCACAGTTGCCTATTCATTTGAAAGAAAAGCCACTGAAATAGGATCAGCAAAATTCCAGTTTCATGAAGTATAATTGCTTGCATGTAAATCAGTGATAAGAAAAACTAATAAGAGTAGAAATTAATCTAATTTTGAGATTACTGAGCTGAAATTTGTTATCTAAATATTTATTGAAATATCAGAACAAAGTTATTAAAATAACCAAGCAAGTATTGCAATCATTCAAATCATGGACACTTTGACATAATTCAACCGGTTAAATATTTTTCCATCTCATTGATTTCAGTGAAAACTTCCTAATATACTTAATAGCATAACTCCATGCATGCCTAAAATAAGCGAATAATGCTAAACTCCTGTGACTTTATGGATATACAATATATAGTGGATATAGAAAATCTATATACATTTTTGTTAAAATGTCAGGTTTTTGAAAATAAATCACTTCAGGAAAAAAACACCAGTTTAAACTCTGAACACAAAGTTACATAAATGTTATGATTTATTTCCATAGCAGATAACAAATAGTCACTCTTATATGGCTCAATTTCTGCTTGTAATAATATATTACAAAAAAGATATATCTTCCAGATTAGACTAGTTGAGTTTTCTGTTGAGAAAGCCTATTTATTCCTGGTTAAATGCTAGACAACTGAGTTACACTGCTGAGCTCAGCTTCTTTAAAGAGTTGCTGATAAACCAGATGTGCATCCTCACATATGCTGCTTCTTTGAACTCAAATTGCCAGTTTTGATGTCAGTTTTGGTCCATTTTGGCCACTGTCCCTGAAGCAGAATCATTCTATCTAGGGAAAAAGATGTTTTGTAAGCTAATATCCCACCTATGAGGTACGTACAGTGTTCTGACACACTTGCTATAAATTCAAAAACTGACAATAAACCAGGCTTCCTAATCATGCAAAACAAGATGTGAATTGACTCTCTCAATAATGGACGCTCTCAATAAGCCATTAACCGGCACTTTATTTCACTTTCCACTAGGAAATAGTTGCAAGGACTGTGAATTAATCATCTTCCTAGCAGAGGCCTGGAAGGCATTTGCACAATGGAAGCAATGCTTATGCAGTATTCTCTAGATACCAATATTAAAATTACTCTTCAGGAAAATTGTTTAGGTTAGGATGTAGTAACCTTTTGCTGGAGGGAAGTAATTTAAAGATTGGACTCAAGAGGTTAAACAATTAGTGTTTTTCCCTATTATTATTTTCAGAATTTGCTAATATTGACCTTTGTTTTGTCAAACTGCAAAGCCATATTTTTTTTCTGGTTCTTTCAAATTTTCACTTCTTTATCCATAATTAAATAAAAATAATATCAAAATACCCAATAATGAGTAAGCTATAGTTTAATACATATCATCTATCTCATAGTGAATGTTAGTAAACTTAATCACAGGCCAGCCAATTTTAGTGATTCCCTATTCATATCTGAATGAACAGTGAATATTGTGCAAATTTTACAGGATTCATAGAACATAGATTTAGGATTCTGCCATTAATGCACACACACATGTAAATGTTCCACAACCAAATATATTTATGAGGATATCTGACAATAAGAAAAATTACATTTGGTTGGCTGGGAATTACAGATCAAAGACATTAATGAGAAGAGACATTCAAAATAAATAGGCAGGGTGTAGAGTTATACCAACCAAGCACTGGGAATGAATTTTTGATTGTGAGATAACATAGATACAATAAATCAATTCTTTGTCCTAGGAAGGCAGAAAAATAAGGGCTGAATTATTAGCTACCCTTTATGCTAGCCAAGAAAATGGAAAGTTTAAACTTGCAGTATAATTTCTAAGTTTCTGGAGAAAAAAGGCATAGTGCAAAGTGCAGAATACTGTTAAAATATTATGATCCTAAAGACACAGTGTTCTTATGTTAATTCCTCCTAAAGTACATGCTGGTTTCAACAGCAAACAACAAAACTTTAAGTACTGGAAATTTAATTCCTTCAAAACAAATAATATTGAGATAAGTCAAATTATATTTTATATTCAAGCCAATTAGTACACCTTTCTAAACACATTTATTTGGTATCATGTCTCTTTAAAATAATTGAATTATGTTTTCAAAGCACACTGAGGACTGTGATACAAATCAATATGAATTCAGGATAATTTAAACTGTTAAGTCATGTTAAATAATTTGTTTGTGTACGTGCCTTTGAGTCAGTGTTGATTCCTAATGACTGGACTAACTTCTGCAGTTTTCTTGGCAAGATTTCAGAAGCCACTGCCTCCCTTCCAGGGCCGAGAGGGAGAGACTAGCCTGAGTCTCCTACAAGACTTCATGGCTAAACCAAGATTATAACTCAGACTTCTGGTTTCTAGCCTGATACCTTAACCATTTCATCAAATTGATTCTATTAGATAACTTGCATTTTCTTTTGTTTGCATTTTACTGAAATAAAGTTATGGAAGGCTGGAAATTTCACATTAAAATACAGATCCTATTTTTTCTCATTCAGTGAAAAAAGAATTAGGGAATGTTTTCTTTTTTTCGTAATTGCAGTCTATAGGAAAGTAAGATTAATCTAGTTTAGATTTAGGTTTTAAGACCAGATGTTTACAAGAACTTCTTGTATTAGGGGTGTCAAACTCGTGGCCCGCGGGTCGGATGCGTCATGCGCTGGCAACGCCCACCACTGTTTTAGCAAAGGGGGAGAAAGTCACAATATGTCATGTGATGCCGTGAATTTACACCCATGAATTAAAGTAATAAAATGAAGTTCATACTTATATACTGTATAAAGCAGACACTAATAAAATCAAGTATAGGTTTAGAGCTGGTAATAGCGGATTCCACAAACATAGGGTATCTCAGATTTTGTTCTTGAGATAAGTGGAGACGGAACAAGTCTTTCAAGTTGCTATAATACTAGCATTATTATTAACTAATGATCTAATTCCATTATGTGATGGACTAATATGCAAAATAAAACCATAGCAAAATAACATGTAACATAGAATTTTTTTAGTTTAGCAACAAGCTAACCTGCATAACAAACCAAGTTTTCAGATACTTTTCCATTTTTTTCTGATCCTCATTAATTAAGGAGTCAGAATTCATCCAATTCCCATTGTTTAGTTGTTCTCACTAATGTAACTCTTTGAACTACTACGTGTATTTCTAAATCTTAGCGTTACATAGTCATATATTCCAAAACCATATTTTTGTCTACATGTTATGATTTTGGCTACGCAAATATGGTACTTAGAAATGAGTTCATTATTCATATGTAGGATGAAGGTTCTACTTCTTTAGATCATGAATGGGAAACATTTTTAATCCCAAAGTTCTGAAAACTTGTTCACTGATGGTTAAAAATTGATACCAACTCATAGTTGCATGTATCTTTTGTGGCTGTACACATAGACCCAGGCACAATGTGAAAGAATGGCGGAAATAAGTACCATCTGTCATCCTGTCAACTGACATATAAACTGTACTAGATAGTAGCTGGAATCTGGGAAAAGAATCAGATAAAAAGTTTTCACACAGAAAGAGTAGCAGTGGTGGTGAGGGAAATTGGTCAAGAAGAACAAATATAGATGGGTAGTATGCAAAACTAGAAATTGGAATGCTGAAGAGAGACAGATTCCAAGGAGACTCAAAGAGGAATTGGCATCCAGGTTACTATGTAAAATGGGCAATACATAGATGCCTCTACCTTGCACAGATTGATTGAGATCTAAAGACACACAAAAGAAGATACAAGTTTTCTAATTGGGAGAGGTGGCCAGCTATATTTTAATTGGAGATTTGATTAAGCCTTTCTAGAAATTAATAGGAATTAAATTTTGGCATATTACAATAGGCTTCCTTTGATTTTAAAACAGCAATTGCTAATGCCAGCAAGGAGATAGTTAATCTAGCTATGGTAAAGCAATTAGACCATAAAGAAACTGGCTACATTCCATCCATCTTTGAAGGCAGATATCAAAGTGAGGCAAAGGCAGAGAGAGGACTGTTTGTATGCATTAGATCTGCTTGTATGCATTAGCTGAATTCCATTTGTGAATTACGACTGGAAAAGTCAAACTTTGAACGAAAATGATCTCTTTGTACCCTTGTTATTCTAAGAATAGAGGAAAAAGTTGATATATTTTCCAATATGACCATTGTATGTTGTATTTTGTCTGATCAATCCAGAGAATAGATAATAATATATATATATGTAATATATAATTCTGTCCTAAATTCCATAGACCCTTCCCATTTCCAGTGCAATAGTACCATATCAAATCATTGGCTATAAACTCTTATTAATCTGCTGGGCCCTAGTAAATGTAGTTAAAATTTCATGATTGTCCACCAATACCTTAGATAAAATGATAGTTTAATCAGTGGTTTAATTAAGATGGCTACTACTTTTAATATCAAAACATACTTGCATAAGGTCAACTTATTTTAACCCTTTTTTTTTTACTTAAACTTACATTGGATCTATAATACAAAATATTTTAGACTGTGCAATATCACTTCGTTTGCAGTAAAAAACAATTTTTCTTCATGTTTGGCTCTGAAGCATATCTTTTGTTCTGATGATAATATAGAAGCTTTCTAGTAGCTGCTTAGAGAGGCATTTGTCTAAGGAGATGAGGTTCAAATAGGTCTTTCTGTTCATTTTGAGAAGCTTTCAAGGCTGAATGGCTGTGTGGCAAAATGTTATAAAAGAGTACTTTAAGGATAAAATATTTAGTTACAATAATAATTTTTATAGACCTCCACTAACATGTTAAAATGTTTCTGTTAATTTCTACATACACTGGAAAATAATAACAGGGCATATTAACATGTGAGAAAAAAATTAAGGTTACCATCCTACAATTTTCATAAGTTTATCCCCCAGACCTTCAAAGAGTTAAAGAAGCCAAGTATTTTTGCATACTTTGGATCAAACTGTCAGAACTGATTTCCCAATTTAAAAACTACAGAAATAAATTTCATCTAGTTATCCCTTAAATAATGTTTCAAAAACATACTATAGTATAGTCTTCAGCTTACGATGGCAATTGAGGGCAATGTCACATGACTGCATTGCTTAATGACAACAATTCTGGCATTCCTTGTTGCTGTCATTAAGGAAGGATTGCATACAACTTTAAGTGAAGTCATATTACTATGATTTCCAACTTCTTGCTGATGTCTCATTGATTTGTTCATGGGAAATTAGCTGGGAATATTAGAAATCGCATGATTGTAGCTCACAGTAAGGTCATAATCACGAGCTGAGGCCTGAATCACAATCACATGACTACAGGAATGCTATGATAGCTGGAACTACAAGGATATTTATGAACCAATATTTTAGTACCATGGTAATTTTAAATGGATGCTGAACAAATTGTTGTAACCCGAGAACTATCTGTAACATAAATGAAAAAAAGGTTTTGAACACCACTGTAATATATAGGAAGGTGGAATATATAGCTTCCTCTACATTGCAGTAGGATACAGAGCTTTTTTGATACTCTTAAAAGCAATTCTTATTTCTACAGTTGTTCTATTTCTTACACACACGAGAACCATTTTGCAAAACTGTGAGTAAAACATTAAAGCAGCTGCATTCTTTGAAAGGCTAGCAAGTGTTTGAAAACCTGATTCACTATAATTGCCGATTGCTCCATAAGTGATTCCAATAGAAATGCTCCCTATGTGTAGACCCACATTCAGGTAGAGAAACACAGGCAGTTTTCAAAGCAGCTGAGTGAGCTGTCCAGAGCTTCTCCCTCCACATGTTGACACTTTGCAAAGCAACACTTTTGAATAATTCCCACACAAATACATTAACATATATGGTGTGCATTCTTTTTAATATTTGTGTTTTGTTTTAAACAGAACAATTTTTAATTTCAAATATCTGTCTAATTTCACTACAGTAGTTATTTAACACAATGACATGGACTTGAGGTTGGATTCCAGTGGTATTTTACAGAAATCATACCTGATTTTTTCACTATTTCTGTTTTCTTCATATACTGGCTGAGATTCTTTATTATAAGGAGTTCTGTGTACCTCTCTGGAGACTGGGAAGTGGTAAATAGGAAAATGTGTATGTTCTGTATCATTATCATCTAGAGGATGTAAAGATACAAAATCGTGTATTATTAAATTTTACTCAAAGTATACAAAATAATTAACACAGGGGGCACATTCAAATCTTACATTCAAATCTTAGTAAATTGCAACAGCTAACTTCATACATTTATAACTGGTATATAAAAATATAGCATATAAATGTTCTGTTGCAAAAGTTACCGATCTGCATATTTTATGTCACAAGGTCCCTGAGAATATTATACCAGCACAGCAGCATAATCAATAACTGTGACTCCTGAGGACGTGGACAGGATTCTGGGGAGGTTAAATGCAACCACATGTTTATTGGACCCGTGCCCCTCCTGGCTGGTACTGGCCACCCGGGAGGTAACACGAGGCTGGCTCCAGAGGATTATAAATGCTTCTCTGAGTGAGGGTTTCTTGCCTCCCGCCTTGAAAGAGGCGGTGGTGAGGCCCCTCCTCAAGAAGCCTTCTCTGGACCCGGCCATTTTGGCAAACTACCGTCCGGTCTCCAACCTTCGCTTTGTTGCGAAGGTTGTGGAGAGTGTGGTTGCGCAACAGCTCCCACAGTACCTGGATGAAACCGTCTATCTAGATCCGTGCCAGTCCGGCTTCAGGCCTGGGTACAGCACGGAGACGGCATTGGTCGCATTGGTGGATGATCTCTGGAGGGCTCGGGACAGGGGTTGTTCCTCTGTTCTGGTCCTGTTAGACCTCTCAGCGGCTTTTGATACCATCGACCATGGTATCATGCTGCGCCGGCTGGAGGGATTGGGGGTGGGAGGCACCGTGTTGTGGTGGTTCTCCTATCTCTCTGACTGGTCACAGTCTGTGTTGGCAGGGGGGCAGAGGTCGACCTCGAGGCACCTTGCTTGCGGGGTGCCGCAAGGGTCGGTCCTCTCGCCGCTCCTGTTCAACATTTATGTGAAGCCGCTGGGTGAGATCATCCATGGTTTTGGGGTGCAATGCCATCTGTACGCTGATGATACTCAGCTGTACATCTACACCCCAGACCACCCCAATGATGCCCTCGAAGTGATGTCCCAGTGTCTGGAGGCCGTGCGGGTCTGGATGGGGAGGAACAGGTTTCGGCTCAACCCTTCCAAGACCGAGTGGCTGTGGATGCCGGCGTCCCGGTATAGCCAGCTGGTGCCATCGCTGGCTATTGGGGGCGAGTCACTGACCCCCAGAGAGGGGGCTCGCAACTTGGGCGTCCTCCTGGACACACGGCTGTCTTTAGAAGAGCATATGATGGCCGTGGCCAGGGGGCTTTTTATCAGGTTCGCCTGATACGCCAGTTGCGCCCCTTTCTGGATCGGGACTCCTTGTGCACAGTCACTCATGCCTTGGTCACATCACGCCTGGACTACTGCAACGCTCTCTACATGGGGCTCCCCCTGAGGAGCACCCGGAGGCTCCAGCTGGTGCAGAATGCGGCCGCGCGGGTGATTGTGGGAGCGACGTGGCGCTCCCACGTAACACCTCTCCTGCGCGAGCTTCATTGGCTCCCGGTGGTCTTCCGGGTGCGCTTTAAGGTGTTGGTTCTCATCTTTAAAGCGCTCCATGGCTTAGGGCCAGGGTATTTGCGAGACCGCCTGCTGCTACCGATAACCTCCCACCAGCCAATACGCTCTCACAGAGAGGGCCTCCTCAGGGTGCCGTCGGTCAGGCAATGTCGGCTGGCAGCCCCCAGGGGGAGAGCCTTCTCTGTGGGGGCACCTGCCCTGTGGAATGAACTGCCTCCTGGAATACGATTGGTCCCGGACCTCCGGACCTTCCGTAAAGCCCTGAAGACGTTTTTATTCCATCAAGCCGGCCTAGCCTAAATGGTTTTTAAATTGGGATTTTAAATTTTATGGATTTGGGGGTTTTAAATTGGGAAGCTAGTGATTTAATTCTTTTTAATTATCTTAACTTTTGTATTTGTATGTTTTTTAATTTTGGCTGTTCACCGCCCTGAGTCCCTTCTGGGAGAAGGGCAGTATACAAATTAAATTAATAAATAAATAATAAATAATAAATAAAAATGGAAGAAACAGAAAAATTACTGGAAAAAAGGCCTTTGTTACTGATTTTATCAATTAAATTGTCAAAACTCAGATGAATTTTTAAATCGGGGGAAAAACCATTTAAAAAGTGTTTATGCAATAACTAAATGTATGATTCACCACCAATGAAATTATTTAAAAGCATGCAACCATACTCCATACACTTTTATAATACTGCATTTATTTCAAAATGTTTTAATGAAGGCTGTTTGCTATTCATTCATCTTTATACTATTTTTATAGTATTATAGTTTTGGGAAATAATGCTTTTATTCTACATTAAAACATTCTGAAAATGTTCATAACTAATTGTCTTATGACAAACTTATTGGAGCTTGTTTTTGTCTTAATGTTGATTCTGTAATTGATTAAAAAGATATAGTTTGTTTTACCAAAATGTGAATATGATGCATGCTCATTAATGAAGCTTTCTACTTTGTTTTTCTTCCTGGCATCTCTGGAGGCTTTCCAATTTGTCAGGAACTGTCTTTCCATTTCTTTTATTTCTTTTCCATCCAGAAGTTCTGAAGAAATGTTGTAATATGTAAATTAACAGACAGCTTTATATTTTTAGGAAGGCAAAAGAGCGTTTTTGTTGTCAAAGATATTGTTCATTTTCTATGATCAATGCTATTATACCTGAAAAACCACCAAATTGTTGATCATTTGTCTTTAATACTACTGTACTAGTAGGTATGAGCTGGACAACTGATGAATAGCTTGTTATAGTACAATAGTGAAAAGGATAGACCTTAAAACTGTAAAATAGTCACTACAATAACAAAAAGACAGAGAAGCAAAACAATCTCTCTGCTGCTCACTTAGGCTGAAATCTATAATTACCATGCAGGGTAAATGATATATATGTGGTCTATGCCCTATATAATTTTAGTTATATAACTCAATTGTTATATATAAGCCATCTGGGAAAGCCAAGGAAAATAATCAAAACCATAAAAAAGCAAAAGTTAGAATATTTTGGACAACACCCAGAAAAATACAGCATACTTCACTTAATCCTCCAACGAAAGATTGAAGGCAAATGAGGTCCAGGCAGAAGAACAACATCATGACTTCAAAATCTAAGGGACTGGTTTGGACAAAACTCAACAGCACTTTTTCGTGCAGCTGTTGATAAAAATAGGATCGTTAACATGATCGCCAATGTCCGATGATGGATGTGGCACAAGAAGAAGAAGAACCCAATTATTTAATAATATAGCATTAATGGAAAGAAATATGACTCTGAATTTTTTTTTATTTTTTATTTTTTTGATTTATATGCCGCCCTTCTCCAGAGACTCAGGGCAGCTTACAATGTGCTAAGCAATAGCCTTCATCCTTTTGTATATTTATACAAAGTCAGCTTATTGCCCCCACAACTGGGTCCTCAATTTACCTACCTTAGAAAGGATGGAAGGCTGAGTCAACCTTGAGCCTGGCGAGATTCGAACCTGCAGTAATTGCAGGCAGCTGGTCTTAATAACAGGGTGCTTTAGACCACTGTACTACCAAGGCTCCTAATTTAAGATACTCCCCCACAAAGAAAGATATTAAAAATAATTAAATGCAGTCAAAAATCTTGGTAGTAACTAATTGTCTTCCTAGAGTTATCAACTTAAGTTCTGAAGATTTTCCCAAAACATACACACCGTAAATGTAAGTAATATGCTTGCATACACATAGGCAACGTCTCTTTCTCACTCTGTCTCTCTGTATGTACTGTATGTATGTTATGGGTTTGCCAGAAACCACACTCCAAGGGAAAACCCGTGACAAAAAGTATACTATTTATTGAATTAATCCAGGTAATCCTCCATTTATGACTAAAGGGCTCAAAATCTTGATTGTTGAGCAAAGTAGTTATTAAATGAGATGCCATGTAACCGATTCACTCAATGACTGCAGTCCTGGCTCTATTTATTTATTAGATTTATATTTATTTATTTGTTTGTTTGTTTATAAGATTTATATGGCTGTCCACTCACCCTCAGTTACTCTGGACAGTTTACAAACAATATAAAAAGAATAAAGCAATAACCTCCCACCGCCCTGGTGACAACAAAAATCAAATGAGCCACTTGATGGGCTCCATCACTCTGGGTTCCCCAGGCTCATTGGCCGAACTACGCATTTAAGGCCTTCCAAAAGAGTGTCAAAGTGGGGGCCACTCTAATCTCTGTGAAGATGATGTTCCAAAAAATGGGGAAGGTTCTTCTTCTTGGTTCTACCAAATGTACCTCCTTAAGAGATGGGACCCGCAACATTCCCTGCCTCCCCGCTCTAGTGGGTCGGGTGGATGTAACTGGGAAGAGACGGTCCTTCAGATAACTTGGTCATAACCCAAGAAGGGCTTTAAAAGTGACAACCAGCACCTTGAATTGCACCCGGAAGCTAATCAGCAACCAGTGCAGGTCCCCAGGAGAGGTGGCATATCTGCAGTCCTAGGTCTGCACAAACCATGTGGGCCGCTGCGTTTTGAACAAACTGGAGCTTCCAGATGTTTTTCAAGGGCAGCCCCATCTAGAGCGCATTGCAATAGTCAAGATGGGAGGTGACTACAATCATTAAGCGGCTATGTGGGTTGTTAAATGGAGTGCCGTGGAGAGAACCTCGTCCTTCTAGGTATGTTGGGGCAAGGAGAGGGCTTGGGCATTCTACCCATACCACCAAATAGAATGATCATGGGAATCATGGCATTTGCTAGCATTTTCATTAGATTAGAGGTCTGTTCTTCCAGTACATTGAGAGATTTCTAGAACAGCGGTCACCAACTGGTGGTCCGTGGAGACCATGTTGGTGGTCCGCAGAAAAATTATTTGCATTTTTTATATTGCATTAAATCAGGGGTCCTCAAGCTACGGCCCCTGGGGCAGATACGTGCAATGAATGTTTGTGGTGCTACAGAGAGTCTCCCCCTTCAGGGTCTTCTTGTGTGAGTTGGAGGGGGGCAAAAATTCTAACTTGGGATCTGCTTCAGCCTCCTCGTGCGGGGCTTTGGGCGAAGGCTGGCGGGAAGCGCCACTGGTGGCGAAGAGCAGGAGGGCCTTGTTCCAGTGGGATTGCAAAAGAAGGAAAAAAGGGGTTGAAATTTATCGGGCAACCTTCCAAGTAAAGCTGATCTTCAAAAGCAACAATTTTTTGCAGCACAGAAGTTTTCCTCTATTGGTACCTTATGCTAATTCTTTTATATTCACAATTTCTGTTCTTAGTATTGTAATGATGTAGTCTTCCTCAATTCATAGGAAATTATTTTGAGACAATAATTTTTTTTTGTAAAATTCAATGTATTTTCTAGTTTATCTTCTGACACATTATAATTCTACTAATTCTACTCATTATTTATAATCTTAAAAACAGCTTTAATTATACAAATTGTACAAATACATGAAAGTAAAAGCTGACGGAGCAATTATATTAGTAACAATCAGCACTGAGGGATAGCATTCTTTGATTTATATCCTGCCTTTGTTCAGGAGCTCAGGCAGCAGACATAGCATAGCATCCCTCCTACCTATGTCGCAACAACCACCCTATGATACAGACTGAGCTGAGAAGAAATAAAGTCATCCAGCAAGCTTCTCAGGCTGACCACACAAGACACCACACTTGACCAGATACAGATACATCATGATCAGACGTAGAAAGCTAGATCTTATTCTTGGAGATTCAAACCCTCTATTGTGAATTCAATTCATGGATCATTATGTTTTAGATTACTGCACTGCATTAGGTTTAGAAATCACTTCAATCTGAGAGGGGGGGGAGGTATCTTATGTCAAGCTCCTATATACAACTCTTTATATTACTTCCACCTACCCCTTTCTCTATTTTTAAACAATGTATAATGAAACGAACAAAATGTTAAAAAGTTATATTTATGTAGTTACTCACCAAACACATCTAAATTATATTAAAGTAATCAATCTTTACAATCTCCAAAGCATTTTTTGAGCACCCTAATGTTTGGAAATTGAAAGTTGAAAATTTTAACCTGCCCTAAATATCCTGTGTAGTATTTCAGTTACATTAACTACCAGGAGGCATTACATTTAACTGATTTTATCTTTATTAGGAATTTAATAAGGAACTATTACTAGGAATTTTATTAGATCCTATATCTTATGGAATATTTCAAACTCTGTCTCAATGATGCCTGTCCAATTTTAATCATGAGAATATGCTGGCTCTCACAGATAATTTGTGAAGCGCTCGATAAATGTCTTTTTCTGTTAACTTGTCCAAGACCTAGAACAGTCTTCTGAGGGAATTTTGTTTCATATTCAGTGGAAGATTTTGGGCACAAAAGTTGAGTAATGTAATATACCAAAAAGGTGTTATCGATGTCTGTGATAACTATGCTGGGTACCCTGCAGTAACACATTTTATTATTGCCCTCTTTTATGACTGTTTTAATTCTAGTTTGGTCCAGAACTGCACACAACAGAACTTTATGAGGAAGGAGAACTGGAGAGACAAGCTTGATTAATTCTTTCTTCTTAAAGATCTCTAAATCTGATTTTGGAAGGACATTCTAAAACTGGCTCTGTTTTGATCCTGACCCCATTTGTGAAGAGATGTTTCATTCTATGGAAGTTCAAATGGACTGACTCCCCTCATTTTAAGATACAGTTTATCAAAGTGCAGGATATACAATAATATACAGCTTTCAGATAACTTTAAAAGCATGTCTGATAATTGGACAGATTATAATTTGTACGCTAGCTAATAAGCATGAAATATGATAAAATTGCTTCTGTTTTTGTAATTTGGATGGCCTCAGAATTGATGGGAAGCAGAACTGAGTGCAAGTGGGATTAGATGGCTTCAACTGGAGAAAATATTGCACAACAGATTCACAGGAAAACAGTGGAATTTAACATGAGTAATGACCTTGACTCCTGGGTAATATCCCTATGTATCAATGGCTTAATAAATCAATAAATATGAAATAAAAGAAGAACAATCTCTGAAGTTTAGATATTTTTACCAAGAGATTTTGACTGCAGTATTACTTTGTCTCGGTATTTTGGCTTATGACAAACAGGATTCCCATTCAGCTCCATTTTGTACAACTTAGTCCATATACTCAGAATAAATTCCAAGTCCTGGAAGTAACAAAGAAAAACATCACGTATCTAGTCCAAATATTACCACTAAATTTATAAATCTTTCTTTGATTAGTTGTAACATGTTCCATTTATTTCAAAAGATGTTATTACATTTAATAACACAATCAAATATCTGTGTAGTTAAAAATACATTTTATCCGCAATATTTATAAATGATATTTTGATAGCTATTTTACTTCTTTATTCATAACTAGTCTATTTTTGTGTTTTCACTATTTCATGAAAGTTTAAATATAAATGTAAACCAGAAAAAACACAAAAGTTAACTACACTGTTCTGTGGCCTCCCTAAGTTTTGCAAAAATATATTTGTAAATATTGGAAGCTAATAGCATTTAATATAGGACAATTATTCAGAACTTTTGGCTGTAAATAAAAATTATTATTAAATCAAGCTAAACAAATTCAAGAAAAAGCATACGTGGGATACTTTTTGTATCACAAATTGTAATAATGCCATGTATGACAGAAACCATAGCATATATGGAACTATGGAAACTATGGTAACAGTGTTAGAAACAGGAAACCAATGTTTGGGAAACAATTTCTCTTCCTTTTCCTTCTTAAAATGGTAAATTTGTAATACTTTATCAGTATAATTTTGTTTAGATTTTGAAAGAAATTGATGGAACAGAAAGGTAAAAGATTATTCTCTTAATCTCTGTTGCTCCCTATAGTCCTCCAGTTGTTTTATTCTAACTCCATCCCACTGGCATTCAACCACTGTATATAATTATCACATCTGTCTAATATATATATATATATATATATATATATATATATATATATATATATATCTGCATCCTATCTATCTATCTATCTATCTATCTATCTATCTATCTATCTATCCATCCATCCATCCATCCATCCATCCATCCATCCATCCATCCATCTTGATATCCCATCAGTCCTCTAAGAGCACAGGCAATCAGACATAATACTCCCTCCTTCAATTCCTATTCCAAACAACATCCCTGAAATACATTCAAGTCTATTAGCCCAAGTCAGCCAATAGTTCTTTATTTTTGGGGTAAATTTGAACTTAGATCTTTCTAACACTTTAGCCACATACTATGCTCTATCTGTCCAGATATTTGATATAGAAGGTTATCAAGTATTTGGCAAAGACAATGAGGGAAAACTGAATTATTCTTTTTTCCTTCTGTGACAAAGACCGAATAATACAATTTCAATTTAAATGCATCATTAAAAGGAATTATGCAACACTGGTTTGTACATTATCTCCAATCCAGTTACGCATAGATAGGTATACAGTATAGTATAAACTGGAATACTCATATGAATGTACCGTACATAATTTATTCTGAAATAATTTCTATATTGTATCTTTTCCTAAATTCACCTTGTTATGAAACCTACAAAGTTCAAGGAAATATTATAAATAAAACTGAATGTTCAAAAGAATAAAACTTGATATTCATTAATTTTCAATTTAAAGAAGCCAAAAATGAAAACTCAAAAGGATTTTAGTGCTACTTGTCAAATTTACTATAGAAGACATTCCGTAATCTATTTTCTTTCTATATAATTAATTTTCTGCAAAAGAATAAAGTCTCCTTTGAGTGATTCCTGGTAAATTCATGGATGTATGAAATAGCTATTTTTGTCAATAAAAATGTTAATTAATAAGCAAATTAAATTTATTATAATTAATATTTATAACATTAGATAGAACTATATACTTTCCCCTGTATATTTAGGTTTAAAATTGTATGTTTGAGCAATTTAGCTTTTAATGGCTAAAATTAAAGCAAAGTTTATAAACATGCAAATAGTGCCTTTGCTCACAATCATCCCTTTTTTTATTTTTACAAATTTATCCAGACCTATGAAATAGAGCCTTTGTTAAACGCATAATAGTATCATCTTCACTTTGTACATTTGATTTAAAAATGTACTTAAAAATTATTCAATTAAATATTATTTTGAAAATTCAAAACAGTATATTTCTTGGAATTCTGAAAACCATTTATTTTTGAAGAATGCATAGAATTTTTAGGTTTTCATTAATTAAGCTTGGTTGATCAATTATTCAGAATATCTTTACTCTCGTTTATCTAAGAATGCACTTATTCCATGCTGAAATATTACTTTTGGATATTCCCTACTTGTTCACTGTTTTCCTGTCTCCAATAAACTGCTTTCACTTTACATCCTTTCAATAAGCTATACTAAAGGGACTAGATAGTTTTTTGGGCAGTCTCTATTTGATAAATGATCATGTCATGTTATCACTTAGAGGTCTGCTACAAAATACTAAAAAGCAAATTGTATTCTAGACTCATGATGGGGGTGGGGGGGGGTATAAAAGCCTCAGATGTCATTCATAGCACAAACTATAGCCTTCTTCCCAATTAGTGATAGTCATTTAAAAACCTACATTTGACCAATGCACTCCAATTTTTATTGGCTGTGTCTAGCTCAAATAGCCTAACTACATCTGCAGATAGCAATTTGTCATCATTCTGACGGTCTGTCATTATCTCTTTCAAAAAATCTATATATTTTTTCTTGTACCTGACTGAATTGTGAAGTGAAGGAATCCATCTTTTTGATATCTAGTGTCATAATCAATAATGGCAAAGGTTGAATACATTAAATATTTACAGCCAAATCTTCAAAATACCGAAGCCTTCTGAAATAAATAGGACTTGTATTGCTGAATGTATTATAAAATAATCTGGATTTATGAGATATAGATGGACAACCTCCTAATACATAGGACATGTCATTGCTTTCATCCTGTCCTCTGGTATATATGATGTAATAAGAAGCACTATATGTTACATCATAGTGAATGGAATTAAGAGAAAATTAAAAAATAAAGAAATGGAACCTTCTCCAAGTATTGCAAAATGTCACTTCTTTAAAAATTCAATTCCTTAAACATCACTCTCCAAATTGTACTGTTTGACTTAACAGTAGTTGTAGACTTCGCTACTGAGATTTTAGAAACAAATTGAAATTCTGAAAATTGTGATAATGAGAAGCTAAGTGCATGAGTCATCAGATGAGGACCCAGAAATCATTGTATAAGGAAAGAATATTCTGTTATGCATAGATACATGCCAAGAAAAAAGGAAATCTTTGCCCAATTTGGTTTGATATAAGTAGCTAACATTTTGAATGATAACAAACGTATTTAGATGTACCGTATTTTTCGGAGTATAAGATGCACCTTTCCCCCCCCAAAAAAGAGAGTGAAAATCTGGGCAATGTAGCCCCACCTGACTTCTCAAACGGAGGCTTCAGAGGCTGAAAAAAACATCAGAAAAGAAGCTTCAGAAAAGAAGCCCCCAAACAGAACTTCAGAGGCTTTTTTACTGAAGCTCTGTTTCGGAGGCTTTCAGAGGCAGGAAAAAAAGTTTTTTCTGAAACAGAGTTTCAGAAGTTTCAGAGGCAGAAAAAAAAAAAAAAAAAAAAGCAAGGCACAGTGCTCACAGCCAAGGAACCTGTTGCTAAAATTCACCTCTGGAACAGCTGATTGGGGGTATTCCGGGAGGCCAATCCACCTGCCAATCAGCTTTTTTCTTATTTTCTTCCCCAAAAACTAAGGTCCATCTTATATTCCGGTGTCTTATACTCCGAAAAATACTGTTATTTTCAAAGCTTATAGAATTAGCAAGAAGGTCTATTGTTCAACACTTCCAAAACAAACCAGATTTTTTTTAAAAAAAATTGAAAGACAAAAATATATATTCTATTCAAAGTCAATTTTAGCACTTAGCTTTAGTCCAATTTGTTTGAAGTTTTGTAACTTTTTTGTTCCTGTTTAGGTTATAAATTTAAAAGCTTAATTTTATATATGAAGTTAAAATTAGTATCTATTCATTTCAATGAAATGCCTCTAATCTATTGAAAAGGTGGATTTAAATTAATGTAATTATATAGGTATATTTTAATCCATGAAGTAATATATGAAATAGATTATTACAATATTTACAGTCTTCTTATATTTACAATGTTCTAGTCTGTGTGAAAGGTTTTCCCCAATTTTCTTTGTTAGAAATCTCTATAATCCAAATGTATTAACATTTAAGACCGACAACTTTGTAAGCTTCATCTACCATAAAACTGTCTGCTCATAAATTTGTAAGTAAAAATTTGCACAATAAAAGGACACCATTATTCAAAAGGCAATGGACAAGAATTTTAACAATTGACAAATTATTGAAAAATACTTACTTCCATTTATGTAATTTATCAGTCTGCATTGCTTTTATTACCTTTATGTGATGAAGTTGGTTGTCAACAGCTATAAGATGGGAAATATTTTCCAGAATAGATAAGTCACTTAATTCATCAATATTATTATTGCTGATATTCAAAACTGATAAAGATTTCTGTAATGAATCAAAACATATATTTATTCCAAATACAAAACAATATTCAAGTGCAGCAATTGTATACACTTAACTTGAGAGAAAACCTGATTAAAATGTAAAATGTTCTTAAATGTACAAAATCTTAAACAGTATAACAAAAATACCTATAATTTTGGTTCGAAACAATCTTGAAACTCATAGTTAATAATTTGTTAAAATGGAGTAAATAACTATTAAAAGGTCTATTAAAATCAATACAATTCAATACACAATCCTCTTCCAACTGTTTTATGTAACCTATTTTGATGTGCATGGTAAGAGGAAGACGGTGCTATCTTTCCATTTTTAGAAAGGAAGTTAGGTAAAGTAATATGATATACTCTAAATGCTTTGATTCAGTTATTTAAACCTCAGAAAAAATACCAGTAATATAAAATAAAATATAACTTTTCAAATAAAAATATTATATCTTCCAATTATTAGTATATTGTTTGAAAAGTAAGAGATGGCAAAATGTTTTTTTCCAATAAATACTGATATTTCTGCAGATAAATATCCAAAGAAAAGAATTATATTGTATAAGAGTTAACATATTCTTTTAATTAAGACTTAAAGAACAATTGCATCCATATTATACACCTGTAGATACTTTGAAATTTTGTTTGCTTAAGAAAGGTAAAGTATACAAGACAATCTGATTTTGAAAAAAAATATGTATGGTGCACTTTATGCTATGGTATTAGAGGAGATAGATATCCGTAGATATTGCACAGAAACTTTAGCGTGTGGGTCGAAAAAAGCTTGTTGAATCTAAAGCAGTATTTATTTTTTTTTACAGTGTGGATATAAATTCTCCAAGCTTTATCATCCATATATGTCTACACTAGCTAATTGTTCATAAGCACAATGGTAGTAATAAAATGAAACCATTAAAAAATTCTAAGAGTTTACAATACTTATAAAGTATTGTAATTGTCAGGTTGATTGGGTTAAATCATCTGTCACAGGCAAGTAAAGCACGAGTCGGTTCTAAATTTTTTTACTACCGGTTCTTTGGGCGTGACTTATTTTGTGGGCGTGGTTTGATGGTCATGTGACAATTCTTTAGGATTTAGCAGAGGTACTAGTCTACCAGGCTTTTAACTGCTTGCAGAGCTGTACCAGTCTATCCATTTATTTTTGCAGGCACTGGTCTACTCATTTATTTTTGCAGGCACTGGTCTACCCATGTATTTTTGCAGGCACTGGTCTACCCATTTATTTTTGTAGGCACCGGTCTACTCATTTGTTTTTGGAGGCACTGGTCTACCACCAAACTGCCTTTTACCACTGATCAGCTGTAGGGCAGCCCTTTGAAGCCCCGCGGCAAGAGTTTAAACAGTTTTTTTCCTTATAGCCCATCAGCTGGGACTCAGGAGGCAGCAATAGATTGGGGGTGGGTCCAAATAAAAGTAAGAATAACGCGGGTGGGCGGGTGGGTGGGGGCGGCAGAACCGGTTCGGTGACGTCATATCGTCACCGCTACTGGCTCGGTAGAACTGGGCCGAACCGGGAGGAACCCACCACTGAAGTGAAGTACTGCAAATAAAAGCTATAAAAACAAACAAATTAATTTTCATGGGAGAAAATAAAAGTTATAGTTAGGGCAAGTTAAAATTTGAGATAGGTTTTGTAGAAAATTACTTTTTAAATATATATGCTAGTAGTATGATGTTCATAAAGCTGCAAGACTCATGTAACAGAATGCTAAAATGTTACAATATTCTGCACTGTTATTTTCATAATTTCTTCTGAATATAGAAATCATAATAAGGCTTTATTATTAAAACTGAGGAATAAATATAGTATATACCAGATTGCTTTACGAAAAATAATTTTAAAATTTACTATTAATATGTTTTAAAAATATTTTAAATAAAATAAATGACACATTAACCTGTTTTATGCAATATCAGGATACGTATACAATAGAAGCCATTAGCAGTTTTTAACGATTAATGTCTGTCACCAAATAAATTTCAGGTACAGTGTTCTTACGGATAATGAATGAAGACTTCTTGGGTCAAACAAGAGCTTTTCTCCTAAGGGAAGCTGCTGGCTTTCAACATGCAATTCTCTCAATTCCTCTAAAGTCTCCAAGCCTTCCACTACAGTGATACAGTTGCCACCCAAATATCTGGAAATAGAACAAAATAGAAAGGCCTTTCATTTTACAATTTCTTTTAAAATGCATATTTTCTGGAAAATAAAAAAATAATTATTTTACTGAATAATTTCACTATTTCAGAAGTAAAATCAATAAAGCATAACATATTGCACCAATAATCAAATACAACTTAATTAATTTCTATGTGATTATATCTTATATGTTAAAAGTTTATCAAGCTTTGGTTCTTGAATGCAGAGTTTGTATCAAGCTTGTGCAATATAGCATCATATAAAATATATACTCATTCCATTTTATTAGTTTAAAATTTAGATTATTAACAGTGAATCAATAAAAATAGAAACGTAATTTTTCACTTACAATTTTTCAAGTCTTATCAATGATTCTAGATTTTCAATTCGTATAATGCAGTTGTTCTGCAGGTACAGATGTCTTAGGTTTGTCGCAAAGTCCAAGTTATGTATCTGTCTAATATTATTATCATATAAATATAGGACATTAAGATTTTTACACAAAGAAAGATCATCCTACAAGAAAAAATTGACATATGTTACTTGGTAGAATTTACTAACAAGCAACAGCTTCAGCAAGATTTCAAAAGCCCTAAAATTATGTTAAACCTGCAATTTTAAGTATAGTCATAAATACATGAATAAGGTTGAATAAGCTTGGGATGCATGATAAAGATTCCACATAACCTAATGATGCATTAAATATATGATCCTTGAATAGCTGTGTTGCACATCACTTTTGTATACAATAAATTATTTTAAGCACAGTGTGCTGGTTCATTTGAAAGAAAAAGAAATCTTACTCAATGTGCCAAACTTTTACTCATGCTGAAAATAATTATTTTGTATTTGTACAATATCCCATTTCTGGAGAACATTTAACTTAACAACACTGAACATTACCTTATATATCACCATATGTCTGTCCAAAACTGTTTTCCTGCAAATAATTAAATAGCTCAACAATAAAAGACAAATCAAATATATATTATTTAAATTAAACTAATTAAGGCAAGGGCATGAAATAGAATCAGAAATTTATTTCCAACTAGAAACTTATATTAAAACAAAATATAAAATAGCATTAATACTGGCTAATTCTTAAATATAAAATAAAAGCTATATTTTTACATAATGAAAGATTTCTTACAATGACATCTATATTTTTATTAGATAATTTCAGATGTGTTAGTTTTCTCAGATGTTGAGCCAAAGATTCATCTCTGCGATTCTTTTGATTAAGGCTTCTAGCAATAAGCTCCAACGTTAATCGCACCATGACTTTGTGATAAAGTTAGTTTTCCACTGCCTTAAAATAGAAATAAACAGTTGTAAACTATGCTGCCACATCATTATCACATATTATCTACAACATGCACTATTAAAACATGTCTTAACATGTCCTATTAAAACATTTCCTTTACACGATCTTAGCCATTTTCTACATAAATCAAATAATGCATTCTAGTGAACATTAGACTAATTTACATTACATTTTTATATGCTCCTGATGGCAGGAATTGTATTTTATATTTTTGCCAGCCGACTTGTGGCTCTATCAAGGGCTATTACTATATGCTTCCCCTAGAATCAAAAACAGCATGCCCAGTAAAAAGAGGTAGGGTATAACAGTGGAAGATGGTTATCGCTCCCATGTCTTGTTTCTGCTTTTAAATTTCCATGATGCATCTGGATTAACTAAATATGAAAAATAATACTATTATATAGACCTTTGGCCTGATCTATAATTTTTTTGGTATATCTAATTACTTAAATATTATTTCCAACCTGTACTTCTTAGGATTCATTTGTTGTCCCTAATCTTACTTGGATGGATAGTCGTATTATTATAGATGATTATATGAGGACCCAGATTGTTGGGAGCAATATGCTGACTCTGTAAACCACTTAGAAAGGGCTGTAAAGCCCTGTGAAGTGGTATGTAAGTCTAAGTGTTATTGCTATTATAGTTACAATAGAGCAAAGTCATATTTTTATTAGACTATACATTGATGTACAGAAAAATAAATTTCAATTCTACAAGTATTTTGATTTTGTTTCTTTAGGTTTAATAAGGTACATATTTGCCTAAGTAAGTTTAAATAAATTCAGTTAAGTTTATTTCTGCATAGACATACACAAGTTTGCACTATAAAGTGAATAATTTCCTGATACACAATTCTCACCATACTGATTTTTCCCATAATCTATACATTAGGGGAATACATACATGCTGAACCACAAAAGCTTAATATTTTTTGCTAAACTACTGTTATGAGTAATTTGTAGTTTACTAAATGCTGATGAAAGGGTATTGGGGGGGGGGTGTTGGAATGGAATGGCTTGATGAGCCATTTTCCCATTATTCCGATAATGCTTTTTTTTCTTACTAAGACAGTTTTCTGAAATTCTATTAGGCATTCTAAAGCATTTTAAAGCAACTAATAAAATTTGTACTGCACAAATCTTAGTCCAGTTTCAGATCTGTTATCCCACTACCCCATTATGAATGCAGGAAGCCTTAGTGTGAACAGAAAAAAGCCCAAGTTAATATTTCTTTATATATTCCAGTGCTTGAAACAGTGCAAAGGAAATAAAAGATTAATGGCACGGAAAATACCAGGATGGAGAACTGTTTTGATTATATTTGAGGGGGAGAGCTTATTTGCTTTAAGGAAAAGCTAAGCAGAAAAAGTTCCAAAACAAGACAGAGAATTGTGTGACTTTTAATGTTTTTTCAAGGCTGCATTAAATGAATAGATGCCAAATGCTATGTTTTCTCACTGACCAAACAGCCTGACCAATATTCACACTCCTTTTAGAAAACTCCTTTTGGTTAAGGTTGATGCATAGGCAAATTATCAATGAGAGAACAGGATTTTGTTTGTACTGTCATGTGTCAGACAAATCTGAGCCCATGCAAGCAACACGTAGGCAAAGAGACTGAATGGAGGGACCCAATTTTAGAACAAAAACAAAAATGTAATAAACGTAAAGGGAAGGCATCCCTCCGCAGCTCTTCTCCCCCGCTTTTTCTCCAGAACATCGCTTCAGAGGTGAGCTACGACTGGGAGAAATGCTTAGGGAAAAAAAAAAAAACCAGCACACAGCAAACCGGTTCACCAGTTTCGGCATGGTCGTACTGCCAGCCTTCCCCCCCCCCCTTCTGTGATCAGAAAGGTCGGCAGTTCGGTGGTTCGAATCCTTAGTATAGGTCTCCTGCGTGAGCAAGGGGTTGGACTAGATGACCTCCAAGGTCCCTTCCAACTCTACTGTTACCTGTTACCTTTCGGAAAAGAATGAAAAAGAGCTTATAAAGCTCGCGAGGCGGCCTGTCTTCCCCCCACCCCAACCCGGGCCCTCAGGTGGATATTGCTTCAGAGCAGGCCAGGGATGGAGGCGGCTATAGCACTGTTTGTTCCGTTAAGTTTGCTCCTAACAACCTAGACTTCATCCCTTTTCCACACCTGCGAGCCCCCCACCGCGTCTGAGCCAACCACCTACATAAGCGCGCCCCTCCTCGCTCCTCAGCCTCAAGGGGGGGGGATGGGCGGTTCCTCGGCTCGGAAAGAGAGAGAAGCAAAAGGAAAACAGAAGCCGGCAAACGGGTTGCTATAGAGATAGAAAGCCTACCTATCAAAAACCTTCTGCGAGAGGCGGGGACAAGTGGAGCACCCTTGTGACAAAGGCGGCGTGCGAGGCGGAATTAGGCCTTGCTTTCGAATGGTCTTCCCTTGTCTCTTCTGTGGCGGGGGCGGTTTGTTCCGTTCGGATGAAGCCCCGAATTCGCAGCGTGATGATTTAGGCTCACCAAGGAGATTGCGCCTATTTTGCTTTTCTTTTTGCGAATCCCTGTTTTTTTGTTAACGTCCTGAGCTCGCTTCGAAAATAATAATAGAAAAAGAACTACAAGTCTAACACATATAATAGATTCTGGCATTAATATTTTATAAATATTATATGATAGCTGGCATTAATACTTTACATACTGTTAATAATTGTCATTCAAACATATATAAAAAAAGACTGATTTTCTGTTGATTAGGAGTTACTACGAATATCACACCACACACACACACACACACACACACACACACACACACACACACACACGTTATAGACAGGTCAAAGTTTAGTCCTCACAAAGGGTTTCACTTTTTGGGGCTGAACTTGATGGGGTAAAATAATGAGCCAAATGTGTGTTATACACAAAATTAGATTATACATGTTTTTCAGTTCAGTTGTGCTTGGATTAGCCCTTTGGAGCCGGGATAAGACCATGTCAAGGGTTTGCTCTGAGGATCTCTTGGTGGATGAGAAAAAAAAATGGCTCTTTTAATTCAAAGAAGAATACTTGTTTCTAAGATCAAAAGCATATTCTTAAAAGTAGGCAGAGCAGCGCTTCTGGAATTCTTTCCAAGTTCTTCATTCATAGTCACAGAAGGCACCTGTATCTTCTGGGTAAAATGTTATGTATTGCTCTTGTAGATGGAGTCCTGTGGATGGAAGCGCAGAGATGGAGTTTGTTCAAGAATAGGGAAACAGGCGATACTGTAGTACAGTATAAAACAGGTTCTCTTCAGGGGACTGCGGGATTATGGGTGGAAGATCAGGGATGCTCATGGGAATGAGGGGCCCAAAAAATTACATATCAGGTTGGTTAGTTGTTATAGTTATGCTATTGGTTTTTCATATTTTATCCTGTTTAAAGCAAGCTGCTTAGAATCATTGGAGGTAAGTATCATGTAAATTGAATTTATAAATAAGTAGTCATGCATAATGACATTGGCATCCACTCATGTTCATTGAACTTCCTCCATTAATTGGCATCACACACGGACCTTTTTCATTGTTTCCTTGAATAGTAGGCAGAACTCTCATCAATGAGGATAGTAATAAAGCATGATCCTAAATTAAGACCAAGTTCACTTATATTCAAATAAATCCAAACAACCTGCCACCTTCATATTTTGTCCCCCAATGTAATAAGATTGAATGATCAGGGCCATTTCTCAATTGCATGACTGGTTCATGTAAAAGCTGATTTTCTGTCTGCTAAGAAGGAATGTTCTGCTAAATCAGGCAATATATAGTCCAAGGTATATAGTCCAAGGTCTGATCTCATGGTGGCCAATTAGATGCCTATAGAAACCTTTCAGCAGTTGAACACCATCATATTCTTGTGTTTCCCATACATACACACAATACATACCTTATTAAAAAGTATACTTCAGTATACAATATAACTTTGTGTATCTTGATAATTCATAAACTATTATAATTAAGGAACTATTGGTCATTTTTTTTCCTTTTTCACAACCTAAATTTGGGAGAATATTTAAAATTTGTTGTAAAGATCTTTTGTGTGAATTTCTCCTGTGCATTTGCCCACATTTGTATCACACATACATTTTTGCTAGTATATATTGATACATTTCAAATGAGAATGGGTTTTTAGTTGAATCCAATCTGTACTATGTCTAAAATTATTATATAAACTTAAAACATGTTTATCTTTTGGCATTCTTCTATAGGTGTGGATTATTTAAAAGTTGGTTAAAATGCAATGGTACTGTTTGTGAACAAGATTAATGGGGTGGAGCTAAGTAAGAACAAAACAGAACATTTTGAAATACCAATAGAGCGATTCATATTGATTCATATTCTATGTTAAGGATTCATATTTATATTCTATGGACCTGGGTAGAGCAGACAGGTCCTGTTGGGTTATTGAGTGGAGCAGACAGGTTCTGTTGGATCCAATATATTTTAAAGGAATTACTTCAGTCTAGAAAAATGTACCATAAAACTTTAGTTCTTTTTATGTAATGTTCCAATCAAATTGTACTTAATATTACACTTTCAAGTAATACTGATTAGTCATTTAATAAAACAACAGATTTTACCAGTCAGTAAGACAAACTAATTTTCTGAACCCTCAATATAGTAGTTTTATATTAGGAAATGACTCTTCCCATTTTCATTAAGCAAAACAGAGCTCAAAGAAGAGACTGGATTTTACTTGCCCTAAACTAAAAAATATTTTTTCCTTTAAACATTTCTTTAGGAAAGGCTAGATTTTCTGTGCTGAAAGAATATCCTGCACCAATGACTTTAGGTTCTGAAATTACTTTATGTAACTTCATGGTGTGCTAAAGGCAAAAAATACATTGATAGCTTGATCAGTGTGGGAATGATTACAGCATTAGAATCAAAGTGCTACATCTCTTCAAAGGATGGAATTCATCAGATGTGACTAAATGCTATCCTACAGATTCTAGCCTAGGATAATGCATTAAGCTTACAAGGAAAATCACAACTAAAAACATTCACAAATTTAGCACCTATATTTTGTGTGCATAGACTAAGATGCCCTCAATTTGAGTTTGATTCATGTTATTGCATCCATGCAGTTTCCTCCAAATATTATGCATTCTTCCAGGATGATTTTTTTAAACTTCTCACTCCAGTCAAGAGCCCTGGAATTCTTCGGCACTTTTTTCTCTTTTCCAAATACTAACCAGGACCAGCCATTCAATTTCCAAGATAAGCCACAATCAAGTATGTGCTGCCACCTGTATAAATTAGAAAGATCTGACTTTAAGAAAGAATTGTGAACCAAACCATGGATTCATTGACAGAGAAGCATTTCCACTGCAGGAGAGATTGTGTAGATGGGTAGGCACAGTTCAGGAAAAATGGTTTTGGCTCAGCACAAAATTTACCACGAAGAATGAAAATCACTGATAACATTAAAGTGAAAAGGAAAAGAGCAGCTGACCATTTTAAGAGATCTTTATTGCAGACTGTCACAGATAAATTCTAAACTTCTACAACCTATTTATTTATTTTGAAGCAATCAACAAAATGTTAGGGTAAAGAACAGAGCTACAATAAACTTTGAATTTGTTCTTAAAACTAGGCAAAGAAGTGGGAAAGAATGATTTAAAGTACTACAAATCAATTGAAAATTTGGCTCAAGTTCCACTTCTGAAATTAGTCCAAATTGGCATGTCTTCTCTATCTTGTATTTAAGTATCAGTTGATGATATTCTTCAGCCAATGTTAATTTGATTAAAAAGCTTGTCCTTAATAACTTGAGACATCAGTCCATGTATTGCTTCTATTGTGGTTTTGCAGCTGAAAGAAAAATAAAAACATAAATGGCTGAATGCAACTTTCTGTCTTTATATTGCAAGTTAGTCAAATGTCCTAGTAGTAGTGTCCATAATTGCATAAATGTTATCAAGGCAAATACAGTATTTTATAATCAAAAGGAATTAAAAGATAAACTCAACGTTCTCTGTAAGTAGCCATATGACTACAAATTATGGACCTGAATTACAACATAGAAAACATTCTATGGAATATGCTATTGGGCGGTGTGGTGGCTCAGTTGTTAAGATGCTGGGCTTGTTGGCTGAAAAGCCAGCAGCCCAGGTTTGAGGCCTGAGTGCCATGCGATGGGTGAGCTCCTATCCTCATTCCAGCTCCTGCCAACCTAGCAGTTCAAAAGCATGCAAATGCAAGTAGATAAATAGGTACCATTTTGGTGGGAAGGTAACAGCTCTCTGCAACATCATGCTGGCCACATAATCATGGAAATGACTTTGAACAGCACTGGCTCAATGGCCTTGAAATGAAGATGAGCACTGTCCCCTATAGTTGGCAATGACTAGCAGAGTAAAATCTGCAGGGACTCCTTACTATGCTTTACAGTAATAATATAGTACTTCGTGTAGATTCATTAATCTACACGATTCAGTATTGTCTCAACAAATTTCTGTAATTAAACTTTTGAATACATGTAACCAACAATCATATTCTGCAGTCATTCCTCTATTTTCCTAGAAGTTCCTTTGTCAGTCATTTGGAATGACTAATAATGAGGCATATTCCTATTATATGCAAAACACTATACATTGTCTAGGTACACTGTGCTAAGTCACTGTAACTATATATCTCAAATAATGGTTAACGAATTACACTGGCAGGTTCACATATAATGCCAAACTAAAACCCAGCAAGTCACATTATGGTTTAGTGAAAAACTACTTAAAATGTCAAATATTTTCTTCTCATTATATTCTCTACACATTCTATATTCCAGAGAAGATCTGTAAGGCTATAATTCAGATACTAAACACATGTGCTGCATTTAAAAAACTTCAGGTTCAATTACTTCCTTTTCCTGTCAAGACTAAGAAAAACAGATTTTAATTCTAGAAAGCTGCTGTTAGACCATGGATAATACTAAGTTAAATAAAGCCAGAATTTCATTCTATACATTAGTCATCCATGTTTTTTAAATGGGTAATGCAAACACACAGGTGGCTAGTATATGGAATGAAAATCTTACTTTATCTAGCTTAGTACTGTCCATGGTCTAGCAGCAGTTCTCTTAAAACCAGTGATTGTATGGAATACATACATTGGCTGCCTTGAGGCAAATTAGTTCCCCTTTTGGATTAACAATCAGCTTTCCGCTCAAAAGCTCATTAAACAGACTATTGTCAAATGGAAAAATGGCTCAATTTTCCCAATATCCAAGCGTACTTTCATATATTACATAACATACATTAAAATTATTTT